CATAATATAAATGATATAGGAAGCTATTGGTGGTTCTTAAAGAGTTAAGTAATGGTTTGTAAACATAAGATTATTTATTTTCAGCTGTTACAATCGTCCCTTTACTTATTGTTACAATCGTCCCCAAGACCCCATTTCAGCTGCATTTGTTAAAAACAATGCTAGTTAATTAACAAAACTAATCTCTTTTTTTGAAATGTTAATTAAGGTGTCCACTTACATATTCGGTTAATAATGTTTATCTGTTTAAACAAAATTACTTTGTTACAATATAATATTCTAATACCAAAAAAAGTACTTACGTAGCGTGAAAATATCTTTTGTGATGTAACTCTTTCAAAAGTACATAAAAATGGTTGCCAGCAGGGGTGTACATGTAGATTTATTAAATACACCTTGAGCGCCACCTAGGAACCAAATCTAGAACCCGACTCTCGAAATTTTTGTTCTGTTACAATCGCACCCTGTTGCAATTGACCCCACTCTTCCCTGGAATTTGTTACGGAGCAAAGAATCTGATATGCCGTAACTTTTACATTAATAACTACCATAAAATTACTCAATCTTTCTAATTAAATAAATATAACTGTAAAAATAAAGGAATAATAATTTACAGGAAAAATAGATTTTACGGTAAAATGGATTTTATGGATGATGATCTACCGATACTTTATACGGAAATTTCATTTGGAATTTTTACAGTGTAATAATGAAAAGTGACCAATAAACTATGCTTTACGTTTTACGCGTGTTTGGTTGCGAAACTGTGCAATATATGTATTTATTTTTTACTTTTGGAATTTTTTTAGCGTGAAATTTAGAACTCTATTTGTCCATGTAACTCTGATTCCATAATGTACACAATATTAAAAATTATTTTATCACAGAACACAAAACATGTGCATGCACAAAGAGCATAAATTATGAGCTAAGAGTACAAACTATTTATCACAAATGCATATATTTGAATAGTGCTCACATCTAATCTAAAATGAACTACCCCCAGTTACATTAAGAAATATTCTGGTGTAGCCATCTAGTATGTAAAATAAGAAATAAAAAAAGCAGGCACAAAGGATGGATATATTTAAATTTTTTGGCTCATTACTTTTAAATACACTAGCCTGGAAATATCACGGGTACTAGAAATGGGAGCTCACCCAGCGATTTTTAAAGGAGTGAGAAGTAAGGGGTTCAGGGAAAATAACTTAAGTAAGGAAGTACTTGAATTTCTTAGGTGGGGAAAAATTTTAGTTTTACTTATAATTTTATGCAATATTAATCATTGTAAAATTGCAGTGCATGCAATATTCTGTTAAATAACTTTATTTCAAAAGAATTTCTTATGAAGCTTTACAAGGAGGCTTAAATTCTAAATAATTGTTACTTGTTACTATAAAACCACTCATGAATAACTTTCGAATATAGTTCCAGTTTTATTTTATTTCTCGGATATAAATATCATATCAAACTTATCGTTCATTCAAGTATAGAGCGCAACTTATTTCTAAAATGTGATTTACTATTTATCCGGCCCACAAGTATAACTTTCCAAAATATTTAATCAATATGAAAAAAAAATGGTTATAAAAACTTTCTTCCATCTCAACAGATAAATTTGAAATATAAATCAATAGAACTTTCATAAATTTTTGATGTGACTTGGATTAAGAGCTGGGAAAAAATTATATCTTACCAACTTTCTTAAGCTCCTGATGAAACTGAAAAACCCATCAATTTAATCAAAGAGGAACTACTGGAGGATTTAATCAAACTGAAACTTTTCCCCATCCTTTTCAAGTCCCTTAAGGACATTGTTATAATTCTCTTCATTCTATAGAGGGGTTTTTTTTCTAAAATACTTCATACAAACTAATTTCCTCCATTTTAACTTGTTCAATGACCTGATGTTAACAAGTAATTAAGAAGCAAAGTTTGAAGAAACAAATAGATAATAAATAACAATTCAGAGTAAATTTAAAGAAAATGACGATTTGAAATTGTTTTTCAAGAAATAATAGTTAATTTGTTTAAATAATGGCAAGGTTTTCAATCATTTTTAAAACATAAATACTATTCCTTTTTAATTCTCTTTCGTTCCTAATATAACTGAGAATTGATGCCAAAAAAAATTACTAAGTTTGATTACTAAAGCAATGTAACATAACAGAAAACCTTTTAAAGCTATATTCAATTTTTTATATTAAACTCAATGAATAAAGCCTCCTGAGACAAAGAACAATGCTCTATAAATGAATCAGGGTGGTTCAGGGGATAAAACACTCGCCTACCAATTAGAAGACCAGGGTTCGAATCCCATCAATGGCTGGTAGTTGCGAGTTCCACACCCGGCTCACACCGACAGCAGTGCTAATGCGAAATATCCTCAGTGGTAGATGGATCATGGGTTAAAGTCCCCTTGCCATCAGGCTAACCATGGGAAGTTTTCGTGGTTTTCTCATCCATGTAATGCAAATGCGGATTAGTTCCCTCAAATAGTTCTTCACGAAGGCTAGTTTGTCTCAATGCTTGACAAATGGAATCCTTATCTTCTGGATTGGATTCTAAATTACAAGACTGCGGAGATGAACATTGTTAGACATAAACTCAAAAATTGGATTGGCTGTTCAACGACATTTTTAAAAAAATATTTTGTAAATGAGCTGTGGTTTCTCAAAGAATAAAGCACTCGCCTCCCAATAAGGTAACCCTAGTTCGAATCCAAGCAATGGTAAGTCGATACCAATTCTTCTCCACTCTCTCTGATTATAATGCTGACAGAAAATAGCCTTAGTGGTAGATGGAGCATGTGCCAAATTCTTCTTGCCAATCCGTCAAACCGTGGGAGGTTTCAAGATTTTTCTCTCAATGTAACGAAAATTAGGGTAAGTTCTATCTAAAAGTCATCAGTGATGGCCAGCTAGGTCCATGCTTGATCCAGGAGCTTCCTTGTTTTCTGGATTGAGTTTAAAATTACAAGGCTAAGGGATTAAACATTGATAGTCAAAAATTCTAAATTAAATCTGGTGTTCAACATCTGTTAGAAAATATTATATAAAATGTTCTGTAACTAAAATATGTAAAGAAGATTCATTTTTTTAACTTTTAAAAATCTACTAAGTTCTTGCGTAATTATACGTTTTTGCGTAATTTTTTCAAACTTAGGCAGCATTTAATGCGCAACACCGATAAAAGAGCTGATTATCACTCATACGAACTGGATTAGTTAACAGATTCAAAGCAAAATTATAATTTTAAAATGATAGTTTTCGCAATTTCTTAGTTTGGGTTATAGGAGTACACATTAACTTGTAAATTCTTTCGAGCTTAAATAATGTCCTATTACTAGCAATAAATCTTCGCAAACAAAGAAAACTAAGAAATATTGCTTGGTTCGAAAGATAGCTCTTGACTTGGATGGATGGAAAGAATACAATATGATCGCTGTAATTCTAGGTATTTGCACTACTAAGTTTCAACTTCAATGCGCAAGCTGATTGTTACCAGCTTTAAGCTGTTTTGCTTTTTTCTCCTAAAGATATGCCAATATTTTTATAGTTCCTTCTCTTAATTATCTATAGAATGCTAGTGCCAGAACTTTCAAAAACATTTAACATTATGCGATTTCTTACAAGCTACAAACCTTGGCTGATAGTAAGTACATTAATGATTCTTTCTAAAATTGGCCGTACTTAAATGAAGTTCCCCCAATTTCGAAAATCAAAAAGAAACAAAAAAAGAGGATGTCGAAATGGGTGCTAAAAAATGGAAGATCTTGTGCTATCAAAATGGGAGAGCCGGTGCTTTTGCTACTAAAGAGAAATGAGACAAATTAAGAGAGGTAGATCACTGTTCTTATGACATGAGAGATTCCGTCTGTTCAGAAAAGCCAGCTGATAAAGTATGGCAACTATTCAAATGTTCCGAATCCAATTCAGAAAAAATATATATATTTTCTGATTCCATAATTTCTTGCTAGAGTTAAAATTCTTTCGTATTTCTGCTTCGTTTATCTATGTTGAAATATTTACTTCGAATATTATATTTGTTGACAAAAAAATCTGTCAACGATCACGACCTAGTTGTAGTTATTATTAAAAACAATATTTCCTACTCATACCTGCAAATTTCCTTTCCCCATATGGAGAGGTTTCGCAGAAGAGTTGTCTTGATTTTATTACACCGTTTATTTAAAAATGTAGTCAGCATTATGAATGGTTGATTTAGCAAAATGCCAATGTTTACTATTTTATAAACAATTTTGTTGCATTTAGCTTCCTTTTAAGTGTTTAAAATGCATCACACTGAATATTTTTAAACGATCTTTCACAAAGTCGGAATCGTTTATTATTAATGTTTACTTACTTCCGCATTCAACAACATATCATTTGTTGAATTCCTTTTTATTTTTAAAAATATCACATTCCCAACAAAACACATTCTTTAGTTCAAATTATGATAGCTATTTTGTTATGCTTAAGCAATGCTTGTCAACAAAATTTTTGCATAAATTTGCAAATTCAGTTAATAGTTGAAAGGTAAATCGGTATAACTTATATTGTATCCTTAAAAACGGAAACAAAATTCACACAACATCTGGGCGCAGTTTCCTTTACAGGTTTAATGTCATAAAAACCAAACTAGTTTAGTGCAACAAAAATATATAAATTAAATGACACAAAGTCATTTTTATTTATTTCGCATTTTTAAATATTTACGAACTGTCTGCCTAAAACTTTACTTTTGTTTATTGATTTTGTCAATAATAAAAGCATTAATGACGCAAGCAAAGCCATATGATGAGGACATTCCATGCAAAAATGATCTTTCCGTGCCTTTCAAATTGCCTGTAATGAAATGTCTACCTAAAGCAGCAGTCCGCTTTCTCTAGTCCGGCAACGCGTGATCCGGTCACACATGACATAAACCTTATAGTTTGTTTGTTCCGGTCTCCATAGAGATTTCTGTGATCAGCCCCCCTCTAAAACACTTTACAAACACAAAGAAAACTGCTTCCGCCACTAAACGTCATATCTTCTTCAATGATCGACATAATACAAAATATCTTCTTTTTATGACCCCCGGGAAAAAATGGGGTATTTTCTTGCACAAATAAGTAAATGCCACATGTAACTGGTATGTAATTTTTCTTGAATTTATACAGTAATTAATATTTAAAACGATTAGTTTTATTTCGTTGTTAAATTTAATTTTTATTTTATGTGTTTCAGTTTATTGTCTAAATTTATTATTTTCAAATAATTAAAAAAATTTATTTATTTTTTTGCTTAGACAATTTTAAAATTGAAATTAAATATTACCAAAGATTAAGACTTTGCAATTTTAAAAAGACTGGGAGGGATCTTTCAATTAAATAAGGAGAAAAAAATGCATGAAAAAAAATATATAATTTAGTAAAAACGCTAACACTTGAAATCGGTTGGCTTAAAGATTTACCACAAGAAACATTTTTTTTAAAGAAAACTACAAATTCGCTAATTCGTTAATAAAAAAATATTGTATTTAATAGTTTGTTTGAGGGGATCTATCCAAACTATTACTCTGAAATTTTATAATGCACAGTCAGTCATGAAAGTTGGCATGTATTGTTAAATATGCATATCATTATCTTTCGTAGGAGTAGCATTTTTTCCCTGCAATTTGAAAGGAGATATTCATAATTCATAGAAATGAGATATTTCGAAAAATCAGAAATTTTCAAAATTGTCTGTAAGTGTAACTTGTAGTTTTATTTGTTCTGCAAGCTATAAGCTTCCGCAAATTATAGTCTGTACAGTCTTTAGCAAAATAATAATTATACTTAACTGCATTATTCTTAACTAAAAGCACATTTTAAAACCCTTTTACTCTTATTCAACGCAAATAACTATGAAGTATTCAACTTTTACCGCAAATTGTGGGTTCTAGTATATAAACATCTATTGGTTTGGCAGCTGAATAGAACCCCCAGGATTTTTGTTTTAAAAGAAAATTTGAATTTTATGCAGTTAGTGGAATTCTTATCGCTTAATTTTTAAGGCCATCAGAAAGAAAATGTTTTATTCTATTATGTTTTTTTATTGTTCATATGTTAAATTAATTAAATCCACTTTAAATTGAAGATAATATCAATTGTGCGTCAAACATTTTAGAAATTAGCATTTTCGTCACCTCCTTCTTTCATTTTTAATCGGGTCAGAATTCTATGACTTGCTAATGAAATTTGTAATGTGTACAAAGATTGGGCTATAGCTGAAAGAACCTCTCTTGATTGGCATGCAAACTTTAAAAATTTAAATTTTGTCCTCAATGACGCACTTCGTTAAGCCGTCCAGTTGAATTCGATGAAGTGCGCGACAAGGAAACAGGCAGGAAAAAAATTTATGCTCCAAAACTTTTAACTTTTTAAAAAAAAATTTAAAAAAAACAGCAAAAACTATCTAATACTTTCCAGCTTGCAAATATGTCTATAATATGAAAAAATGACACATTTAAGTTTTTTTGTCAGTCGAAAAAGAACCTAGCGAATACCTCTTCCTGGAAGTTATAGCTAATACATTTCATTCATTAAAATACTCATTTTGATAGCAAAATTTAAATTAAACATGCATTGATAAAGTATTGATAGCTATCTTTCGAAAAAGGCTTCTACCACTGATAAAACATAAATTTTCTTGTGAAATTGTCAGTGCAAAATTGCTCTTCTTACAGAAAAAAGGCAACTACACATTATTTTTAGTCACTCTCCATAGATTAACTTGATTACTATTATCTACTCACTTTCGTGTGCGAGGAAATCTTGCCATCAAACAAGCGAGAATACTAAAATAGCTACTGGAGCTTTGTCCCAGATGACAATATGCAAGTTTCAATTGCTTTTTCTCGTCGATAAAAGTAGAATTTATCATGATATTACAGGCAATTACTGTCAAAAAAAATTCTGACCTCGTTCTGAATAGTTAGAGCGCTTAAATAATTTTGATTATTCTTTTAATCTGAGTAATTTGAAAACACTATTTCAACTTTACTCTTTTTTGTGAACTAAAAAATCAATTATAATTCTTAACAATTTATTTGAGGAAAATTTTTCTGATGAGTTAGGAATTAAAATTTGGAAGCAAGTTGAACCATATGCTCATTCAATATTGTTGCAATCTTAATATTCTGCTATATTGTAAAATATTATTTAACTTTTTAAACTTGGTTCAGTTGAATAAGAGGCATGTCTAATTCATTATTAAGATAAAAGTAAGTTTGTACCTCATTATAGTTTGGCATGCCAATATTTTGGTTCAAATTTGAATATGTATTTATAAGAGTTCATGTACTTCTTAAATATGATTACAGGATACTTAAGATTGATTTAAATAGTAACATAATTAAATTTTCATTCATTATTAAGGTTTCAACTAATTTCACCGTATTATGATTCAAAAAACTTATATTATTATTCAAGTTTAATTTGTTCTCTAAACCTTGAATTTCTTAAACTTGATTCCATGATACTTATGGCCATGATATAAATTAAAACAAACTTAAATTTCATCCCTTATTTAAGTTACAGCAAATTTTACTCTTACTATAATTCTGATATTAAAGTTCAAACTGAATCTGTTTTTCTGAAGTGAATAATCTTGACAATATGTTCTTTTAAAAGTTGCACATCGGTTAACGATGAAATATTTCAGGTATGTCCTCTTTACTTTAAAATATTCCTTGCATGTATTTATGAAATATTTCAGAAAAAATCAATAATATTTTCAGAAAATTGGGCATTTCTACGTTTTTAGAGACTTAGTAAAAATGTTTCAGGGACTATTTGAAATATTTTAAACCTAAGTTTTGTAGTTTTATTTATTTTTCTGAAACATAATTTCAACGCTTTGTTTCGTGGAGAGAATTGCAAACACAGTTAAATTTATTGACATTGTTTAACGGAGAATAGTTTTTAAAGCTAGATTAGGGATGAAACAAGAATAAAAAGAGCCATGTCTATTATTAAAGGGAAATATTGATAGTAATAGTAAGATATTTTGTAATTAAAAATGTGTTCCATTCATCAAAACAACATAAATATATTTTTGCACTCGGTATTCAATATCTGTGAAATAAATAAATAAAGATGCATCGAATATCACGATTATTTTTTTTAAAAAATTTAAATGAGTTTGTTGTAAATTTCAAAACATAATTGCAATTATTATATAAACAAAGTTATCAACTTAGTTTAAAGTTTGAAAAAAAATTTCGATAACTTATAGATAAAAATGATACTCATTAATTTATTTATGTATTATATGTGGCATGTATGCAAGACAACAAGCAAAAAAATTCGTGTTAAAATTTTAATTTATCCTGTTGGACCTATTTTAAAAAATCATAATTTTTTAATGAAATAAGGCGCAAACAAACAACAATTTTAAATTAGTTTTATTCAACTTTTAAACAATTTTAAGCACTTTTGCTAAAATACAGAATAATTTCAAATATGAACAATTTTTACTGCATTTTTTGATGTTTTTGCTTATTAATATTAAGAATTATAAATAATCCATATTTTTTTTTACTCTAAGCGTATTTATTTGTTTGTATTAAAATGTTTATAATGGATCTCTGTTTATTAAAAAGCTTAACAACAAAAATTTTAATGCTATTTCCTTTTTTTACTTATTTTGCCGTCTTATTTTCAATAAATGTGAAATTTAATCCATGTTTTTTTATAAAGAAATTACCTCAAAAACTGAAAATAATAACATCTAAATAAAGCAATTATTTTTAAATAATTTAAATCTTTACTCTCTTAAATAATTCTATATTTAGTGCTCAATTTCATGATTTAATTCCTAAAAAAGAGTAGTTAATCAAAATTATGTTGTTGTTGTTTTTTTCTATTCTTACAATCACCTATATAATTTAGCCAAAATATTTCATTGCAGAAAATCCTAAGACTTTTGTTATATTTATTTTCGTTTCGGTAAAATGCTCCGTTTTTTGTATCGTGTAATTATTATTGATTAGTCACTTTGTACCTGACACCTTTTCTGAATCCAGATGCTCGTAAATAGGCTAAATGTTTCCAGGTGAAAAATTTTCTAGACACTGTTCTTCTAATTACAATAATCAAATTTTACTGTGTGAGTTATTTAAAAAGAGAACCGTAAAATTAGGGTAGTTTAAATCTTCTCAGTTACACTTGGGCTATTTCGCCCAATAATTTATAAAATAATTTTATTAATGCAAAATGAAAAATCTGTTTCCACGGATGAATGTAATAGCATTATTTCTATTTAAAAACACATCAGTGTTAGAGTCGATATCTAAATACAAGTCTCATAAAACTCAAAGTTTTGCTAACCAAGTTTTGAATTTTCATTTATTTACTAAAAACAATATTACCTCATTAATCTATTTTATTTAATGTAAAATGAATTAATAATTGATACAAAATGAATTAATAATTGATATAAAAGGAATTAATAATCTAATTAATTCATTTTATATCTGTTAAGTTTGGGTAAAAATCTTGAAAGCATTTTTGAAAGCATTTATTCCTTGATTCGACGAGATTTGCAAACCAGCGACGCACATAATTAAGCTGTATTTTTGAACACTTTTTAAAAAGCATTGCAAGTTTTAAATTCACAGTAAATGGATTAGCATTACTTAATAAAAATTGAGCAAAATTTAACTGAAAACTTTTCTGTTAAAGGCGTAAGATTAGTTAAATTGTAAAACTGTTCGAAGATTCCAGTTTTTCTTTGAAACCGTTTATTTTATGTCTTCTCAATGTCATCACGTTATTTCAATACCACAAGCATACCTTTTATTTAGATTTGAAATGGTCTGTATTCGGTGATTGCTTCACATTTTACAATAATCCTACGTAATATTTCACATTTTAGAAATATCTCTTTGATGAAGGAATAGCTGTTGGCTTTAGCAGCATTTCTCTGATTGTTCCGCATTCGTACGTCAAACACTGCTTTTAAATAAATGTGCCTACAGATAACACTGGGGAACAATTACCTTTATCCCTTGCATGACATTTTATAACAGATCTGAGATACGCTGATTTTCAATCTGCTATTGGTTTCTCTCTCCGAGCTGTAGATTTTTTTTTCTTTTTTTAATAGCATTTTTTGTCTATTTTTGTCGAAATGTACAAGTTTATATATATATATATATTCTTAATATTANCTCTTCCATTTTGATTCTATATATGCAATAGATTTCAAAATATTTGCTGCTAAATACGCATTTAAATACACGCGGGAAAATTTGGAAAAAATAAGTTAAAGAAGAGCTAGTTAAAACCGCAAGAAAGAAAATACATAATAACAACGGGAAGGTCGTGAGGAGTAAGGCTCTAATGACGTCACACCAATCAGCGGTCGTTTTCGAGTGAGGGCGTTTTCGCTCAAATTAAAATATTAATAATTAAATAAATATTTATTTGTCAGAGTTAAAAATTATATTTTCGTAATCAGGAAATCAATCTTAAGAAGTAATGACTATAATTTGGAAAATTTAAGAGATGCTGCAATTGTCCATTGTTGGCGATTCTTATTTTGGCCAGTTTTTTTCTTTCTGTGCCAAGTTTTGACAACAGTGTCTATGAAACATTAGTTTTAGAGGCAATTTGTCTACTTGAATAGCTTGAAGTGCAATAATATCTGCACATGTCTTGACTCTTATTTCTGGTTTTTGACCCATTATACTGTAATGAATTGAATAAAGTAATGTTAACTTTTGTTTAACATGTACCAGTTATTCTGTCAAATGAAGGCTATTATATTAATATTTTAAATTTGTTATGTACATGAACTTAACTTTTAATGAACCTTCCAAAGAAGATTAAAAGTAGATTGTTTATAAATTAAAAATTAACTAAATTTTTTAAATAAAATTTTTTTATTTTTAGAATAGGTATTTACACACATTTTCGTTCGTTTTGTAAACAACAACAGAATAGATACAAAATGAAAAAATAATGAACAGTTTAAAATGGAAACGGCGTTTTGCGAAGTTTGTTGACGTTTATATTTGATAAATTTTACGTTTAAGTCAGAAATACATAAATATTTACATCTTGAAAAGTTTTGAACTAAATACAAGTGAGTCTAAACTTTTCACCAGTACTATATATATATATATATATAAAAGGGGTCGTATAAATATTGCGACAAATATCTAACTTAGTTAGGGCACATGACCAGGATTAAACTTACATAGACACCCATGTCCATAAATGTTGTCATACGTCATAAGATGCACTTTTCTTTTATGAACTGTTTCTTTGTGTGCCTGAACAGGTCATAATAAGAAAGCACCCCTAAACAATAGAATTAGGCAAGATCTTTAATAGGCATTTAATATTTGTAAAAATTCTTAGCACCCCAGTGTAATCATTACTTTTTCAATTCATAACGCATCTTAAATAATTTTAAAAAAATTATAGTATGAAAAGTTAAATACCAATTTATTTTAAAACGAATCATTTTTTTCATTAAAAGGTATGGTCTTGGTTTGTGCACAATAAGAAAAAAGAAGAAGAAAAAACGTGCAAACTTTGACTGATCACTTCTTTAATTTTAATATCATTTATTCGTAACATTTATTTCTCTTTGTTTGAAATTTCAAATAAAATGACTAAAGTTTTAAATTCTTAAATCAAATCAGAGTAATCAATAAACTAGTATAGACTAGAAAATGCTGCCATCTAGTTTTCTTAATTAAGGCCCTGAAAAATATATGTGAAACAAATCGAAATTTAATTTATTTTGCTTCGCTAAGAGCAACTTCATTTATTAATGAGGAGATTTCTTAATATATTTGGATTACACTACTGTCTGAATATTGAAAAATTTCAGTATTATAAGAAGAGATATTGAGAGGATAAATTCTTAATAATTGTAATACATTTAATTTGCGACTTTCAAAGAAATTAAATAAACATTCATTCAGTAGTTTATTGTATACTTTAATAATATTCGAAATAGTGGTAAATGATATAGTGATAAATGCTATTTTTTAATTAAAATGTGATTAATAAGGAATATAAAAGGCCATTAATTTTAGTGTGTTGTTAATAATTGTTGATAATAATCCTAAGCCTCTTCTGTTTTGAAAGTTCAGTTCTGAAAGTTCAGTTTTGATTTAAAGGGATGACAATTAAATAATTCGTTACAGATTATTTTTTCTTATCAAGTGGGTACAGCCTCAAAATAAAGCAACATTAATTAATTAATTAATAATTAATAACATATATTAATTAATTCCATTGTATACTGTCCTCTCCGCAGAAGATCAAAATTGTGATGGCATGTCTTCGGATCATCCTCCGAGATGTATCCCAGACCGTCGCCAATAGCCCATTGTGCAGCTCTAGTGCGCGTAAATTAACAACAACAACAATCCATCGTATACTGAAGGGAAGAGATAGGTAATAAAATTTTCTTTCGTGCACATTTTTTTAACTTTGAAAAAAATAATTAGCTACACAAAAACTTTGTCAAAATGTGTTCATGATGGAAATAAAATATATAATCAACAAACTTGTTTTTCTTTAGCATCGACTGCAAAGCTATGACACTATACTGTCTAGTGCTTCTAAAAAGGTCTTTTTTAAAAACGCTCTTTAAAACTTATTTCATACGCTTGCAAAAACAATTAGAATTTATTTTCTTGATGAATTGCATGGAAAAAAATAGATATTTTTTTACTTAAAAACAATCTAAAAAGATATTGGTAGAATAAAAGAATCCCCACGTTTGCTTTAACACTTTTATAAAACTTTTAAAAAAATGTGGAGGTTTTTTATTGATCGCTTATCATATTCTTCTTTTATAATCCTCATAAAGAAATGTATTTTTTTTCTTTAGTGATAATGAATAGAACTCATAGAATACTAAGAGTTGAGGACAAGCAACATGCCATTTTGGAATAACTGAGACCTGCAATGGGATGTGACGTGTCCAAAGACTCAGGTGGTGGGCATAATCGAAAAAAAAACGAACCATTTCTTCTCCAAGAAATTAGAGATCATAAAGGTGGTATAAACTGCATGGTGCTAAGTGACGATAGCTCGCTTTTAGTTACTGGCAGCGATGATAGGACAGTACGAATGTGGAGTACCCTCTCTGACCCTACAGAGTGTTTGGGTGTTCTAGAGGGGCATGACGGTAAGTAATTACCTATTACACTTTCACGTTCAATTTCAAATATTATAACCAAATATGTATAGTGTTTAACATATTATAAACTAGATTGTGCTGCCATCTATTTATTAAAGATCAAACTAAAACATTCGAATATTTGTTTTAAGTGCAATAAGGAATCTTACACTTTTTATCCGCTTTCACTTTTATTACAGGTTACATAACGTGCTGTGCAGTCCATGAACAGTGCGTGATTACAGGCTCCTCTGACTCTACAATTCGGAAATGGTTTATAGCCACTGCTGAATGTATAGCCATCTACACTGGCCACACTGCCCGTATATCTCGTCTTCTGTGTGTTGGTCAACTCATTTTTTCTACATCGAGTGACCATTCAGTGAGAGCATGGCTTTTTGATCTTAGAGAGATTTCCGACGACCAAGGTGAAGCTTGCATCAAAGTATTTGAGGTAAAATGAAAAAATTTCAAGTCATTGTGTTAAAAATATTGGAAAATTTTTCATAGTGAACAAGTTTTTTCAATATTTTTTGAACTAGATCAGCAGACTACTATTTTGAGCAATTAAGGAGTAGTTCTGTATCTCTCGTCTGGAAAAAAAAATCAGCATACCTAAGCACTGCTATAGCAGCAAAGAACGAATCAACGGATTGTTTATTCACTAATTTAAATAATTATGCTGATTTTTCATAGTATAACGAATAACAAAATTAAAAACAACAATGAATAGACAACCGAATTAAGGTAATTATAGTAATCTAACTCCTAGCAAAAATATTTCAACGTGGAGTAAAAAAAGCGAAGTTTCAAAGGAAATTCGCATATTGTGGTAAGTAATTCTGCTATCCTTTCCTATTGTAACCTCTATTTCAAACAACATTGAAAACCTCGCAATAATTCTCTATTTTTATGTTAGAATAGGGACTTGAGTAAATAATAATTAAACATAAATACTATGAAGATTAATTGATAGCTTAATGCAAAAAGAATAACTTAACCGTTACGATTTCAGTAATTAAAAATAATTAATTAAGATTGAATACTAAATAATTAATGTTTCTCAAATTCAGAATATGTTACAATTATTTATAATTATTATAATTACTAGCATTATTATTATTATCATCATTATTCTACTCACATAAATAATGAAAAGATAAATCTACCCATGAACTATCCAATTATTTTTGCTCTAAATGAAAATATATAAAGCTGTCGACTTCGAAGCATCAAGAAAAAATTATTAAATGTATAAGTTTATCAAGCCATCTATTTTTTGTATCAGTCTGAACTAATTAAAAAAATCCATAATTTGTAAAAATGTACATAATAACAGCTGTTAGAAATATTTGCTAAAAATCGATGTTATAAGGTGCATTGTGCTACTTGCAATTGTTCCAAACTTCTTTTTTTACTTGTTTTACAAAACAACATAAAACTTTTCTAACATTCTTAGTTTTTGTGGGAAATTATCAAAAAATAATCAATGCAAAAAAGTCTATTTTCATTTTTTCCAGCTATCGTGTAATTATGTCACGCACTGCACTTGATTTTTTTTAATTCCCGCAATATTACCTTAGATGATTCTTTGAAATTATTTTGCAACAGTAAGTTTCAATTAATTACTTGAACCTTTAATTATTTTTAATGGACATTTAGTATGTGTGGAGGCTTAAAACAATTTTGAAATTTAACTTAAAACTGAAAGTGCATTTTAGGGAAAAACATGCATTCTCAACTTACGTTGACATGCTTTACATCTGACATATTTATGATTTGCATAAATAGCGTAAATCATGACTCAGAATTTATTAATCTAATTTATCTGAACTGAATTGAATCGAAGAGAATTGAAACAAATTGAATTAAAATAATGATGTAATTTATGGATGATCAAAATAAAGCAACTGCATCAAGCTTAAGATTAGACAAAACTAATGAAAGATAATATAAGCTATATATATATATNATACAACGAAACTTAAAAAATGGAATAAATTCCTATGCAGTTAAGCCTGAAATCAACTAACAGAAAGAAAAATTCTTTACTTTTTGTCACTTGCAGTGTTCTTTCAATTAAGAAGTAGAGTTCTCCCAGTTCTGAGTTGTTCTAAAAAAAGAGTCACATACATTAGGAATATTTTCTTGAGTTATTAGATCAGTCAAAAAAATTAATAGCTGCTCTTTAAATAAATTTCTATATCTGCGCTTTTCAATTTGATGAATAAAGCGTGGACTCAAGTCTCAACAACCTTCGAACTTTAAAATTAAAGGTGATTATCTAGAAGAAATATAAAATTAGTACAGAGATAGGAACTACAGATTAAAAGAAATCAGTATTTAAAAATATATAATTTGGAGAATTTAACAAATGTATACATATATATTTAGCGAGAAAATTTTGCACTCCGAAATGAGATTTCTATCTATGTAAGTAATAAAGCCAATGACATATTTTCATGAATTATCATCCACTTTATAGGGTCACACGAAAGGAACTTATCCTATATTACATGTACCGATGGATGAAAATGCTGGATTGGACTTGGGAGCTGGTGTCTTAGTTAGTGGATCAGCTGACTGTACAGCTAGATCCTGGTCTGTTGATTCAGGCCTTTGCTTAAAAGTAAGAATAAAAATGAAAAAAAGTTTATGTAATATTGATAAATATGAATGCAAAGTGTTTGTAAACTTTTAATTGCATGCCTCAATAATTCCTATTCATAATGTGTTATTCCTGTGAGTTGTTTCTTTGTATTAAAGCGGTGGTAGAGACAAAAGCAAAAATGACGGATGATTTAAGTTAATTTTAAAAAAATGAAGAGAGATAAAAAAAAAGTTTACGTTTTACTGCGTTTTTTTAAGGAGACAAGACGGTTTATAGAAGGTTAGCCAAGTTTAAAAAATAGTTATAAAGTTAGAAAAAAATGCAAAACATTGTTTTGAACTGCATAACAGTTCGTTACAACGTGGATTAGCCCGGTTGTCGACTAAGCTTTTCCACAACGTGTAAAGAGTTCTTGCTTTTACTTATAAAATTATTGTTATCTAGCTAATCTATTCTTGTGTAACTTATAATTAATCTTATTTCTTATTTAACGTTGCCATCTGTTACTAAAATTCATAATTAATTCTGAAACTTGTGGCAAATAAAAAATCTGATTACCAAAGCAAAATGCAGAAAATTGTCCTTTTCCGTCTTAGTTCCCTTTTTTTTTTTGCAACTGAATTATCAAATCAGCAGTCATTTTTGAGAGATCCGTTGTGTATAGTGCACAAAGTTAAAAAAAATGAACAGCTTAAATATTTTTGAGCAAACGATTGGATTTTCACTCAATCTTAATGGTTCAAATACCTGACCTTTAAATTTGCTAATTATTTAGGGCAAACGATTTCATTTACAACATCAGAAAACAAAGCGATCTTTCTCACAATATACATACATTTTTTTCCACGAATTAAAATTCTTGACACTCACATTTTTTTTTTGGGGGGGGGGGAAGCGTCAATCTGGAAAATCTAGTCCTTGTAGCTATGTTATTTGAGTGGTTGAAAATTTCTACTGTTTAATGTCAATTTCAGCTTTACGTATTTCGCTATGTCCTTAAAATTTTTGAAGCGAATCGAAAGTTTTTTTGCAGGGAATTATAAATTTTTTTTACCAAAAATAATTCCACTCAAGCTTCTCCGAAAAAATGGCTAAATAACAATTCATTCAATTATTTTTTTATCCTAATCAGACAAAGGACTCCCATAAATAAGATGGTATTCAAACAGTTAACTGTGAGATAAATCGTTTATCAACTGATTTAACCTAATACTGTTTAACAACTACAATTCCATCGTACCAACTAAACCCACCAAATGAAACCATTTTGTTCGTTCGATACATATTATAGCCGGGATGTCTGTCACTCTCATGACTAACAGAACGAGGGTTCGGGCCACAGCGTTGACCACACAATATTCAATACATGAAAACAGTGTTCTGAACTCCCCAGTTTGCGACCCTTGACTCTTAGAATGTAATACTTTCATTCACGCATTGATGGCAGCGCCATCCTCAATGCCCGGTTAAATTTCTTTTTAATCATTTTTATACCATGCTAGTTGTAAACGGTTTCAAACCACAAAGGTAAAAAATGTGTTTTACAGTAAACTTTACGATTAGTTAAATGGATAAACTGCTGTTGATTATTTCACCGTAATTACAGAAGGAAAATTTTAAAAGTTTGTGCAAAAAGTAATCATTTAATATTTTTATTTTTTATTATAGAATGGTTGAAACTTTTTAAATTGTGAATAAACACATATTTTTACATCATCTTAAACTACGTAATTTTAAATGTCAGAATGCAAATTTATGCAAATTTTGACAGAAATCGGTTAAACAAATTCTGCAGAAACTCAGAAGTCTTATTTTCAAATTTTTATTTCTCAGAAACTATTTGGCAGATTCAAGTATTTTTTTTGTGCCAAATTCGCTTACATGAGAGAATTTCCAAATGAAACTAAATCACATTTACGTTGCTTGAAAAGAAAAATCCCACTATTTAATTCTATTAATTCTGCGACTGGTGCGAAGCAATGAGCATGATATAAATCGACCCACCATAGCAATATTGCAAATCTGAATCCTACACTGTAAAAAATTTACTTTTTAAGTAGTTGCCACAATTTTTGGTGTTGATTACAGCGCTACAGTTTTATTTACTTTTTCACTGTTATATTGTTTTTTATTTATTTACTTATTCCTGTCTTTGCTTAGTGACAGTACATATTTTCTTGCGCATTATAATGAATTTAATATCGTCACTATGGAAACATTTATTTAAAAAATAAGTACGTTTTTTGTAGTAAATTTATAGTTATTCTTTCAAAGAATTGCTATTTTGTAAATTTTATGTAACATTTTGCAGGATAACTGCTTTTTGGTACTTACAAATATATTTGTAACTTAAATATAAAACTGTTGCAATTTCGTTTTCAAGTATCGTACGAATTACAAATACATTTTCATGTCTCGAACTACAGCTATCATGCAAAATATTATATAAAATTGACAAAATAGCAATTCATTGAAAGAATTTGGTCGAATATATTATTCAAAATGTGCTTAATTTTTGAACGAAATGTTTTTGCAATGAATTTTTTAATTACATTTTAATGCACTAGAAAATATGTGCTGCCAATAAGCAGGCATACAAAAATGAACAAATAATTAAACCAATAACATTGAAAAATTAAGTAAACAATTTGATTATTTGAATAAAAAAATAGTAGTGTTGTAGGTGTGAACTACTTTTCACCACATTTTTTACACTGCAATTTTAATGATATATTAAACAAGTTATAAATAATTTTCTATTTCTATAATTATTGTAGAAAATTCGAAATACAACAATTTCGAAATTTATGAAAGGAAAATAACACATTTAAAGTAAATTTTCTGAAATAAAATTAGAAATTACTTCAGTTAGAAAAATCTAAAATGTTATTAATAGAAATTTGAGGAGCTTTTTTTACCTTGAAAAAAAATTTACGTTAAAAAGGCACGTGAATATAGCAAACACACTCAATTTAATGTAAATTACTTTACGGAAATATTTCGTGTGGTTACAATGATTTATTTCATGAAAAAAACCAAAACTCGTTTTTTCAAATATTTAAGTCTACCGATTATATTTGGAAAAGCTTGTTGTCGATATTTTTCTGTTTATTTTCAGATATTTCGAGGTCACACTGCTCCCTTAAATTGTTTAGAGTATGATGATATGAAGCAGGTCCTATACACCGCAGGAGGAGATGCTATAATTAAAAGCTGGAATCTTATGACAGGTGAAGCCCTTAGAACTTTCAGTGGACACGAAGGACCTATATTTTCTTTACTGGTAAGATATGAATTTATGCTATACGAAATTTGGGCAAAATGTAAATGATTACAATAATAAAGTACGGTATCATGTTCGTTTTTGTAGGATCCATAAAAATATCGGGAAATTATCATTGATGCCAGTGATGCTTGATTGTAGTTATCCGTACTACGGATATTGTAGTAATAAATACTGAGATCATAAGTTCACTGTCAAAAATTCCAGATGAAATAGCATTAACAATTACCGGCACCCATGATGTGTGGGTACTTTCAACCAAATGTATACTTAGCGTTAATCAAATATGCACTTTGCACATAGAGAATAATATGAAGAATTTGAGAATCGGATCTACCACTTTTATTCTAAGTATGCAAAAAAAATTATATTACTGAAAAATTCATTCATTACTATATTCATTCATTACCATACTTATTTTTAATAAGTTATGTAGTGTGTTACTTTAGAAATGTAGACTTTTGTATTTGTGAATTAAAGAGCGATTTTCATAATTAAATATTTACATACAAAGGTAGATCCCGTAATTCAGTTTGAAATAAATAAAAAAATTCTAAAACACTTATATTTTGTTTTGTCTGCAATGAAAAAAGTTATCTTTATAAGATTTTAATTTAATCTTTTTTGAGTATTTGATCGGCTCGACTCTCCTTATCAAAATGTTCAAAAATAAATAGTTTTTGCTACAACAACAAATATATGTACAGTTTTAGAACATAATACGGCAACTCAATTTGTAGAAACAATATATAAATTCCCATCATTCCATAAAATGTCTAGCCACTCTATAAAATTACCTGTCATTGAATAGTATGCGTTGGGTTTAAGGTAAAGTATGAAACATAAAAATTATCGCATATTTTGCCTAATTGTTGGATAGAATGTTTGTTGGTTCATTGATCTATGAAGTACTTAGGTAACATATGAAGCATGTAATAATCGTTTTATACGAAGCGAACTTGATTTCAGTCATTCTGCAGAATGCCTAGTCAATCTGTGCGAAATTTATCATTTCATACTTTAACGGTTCATTTTTGCCATTCAATCGAATGCAAAATTTTGTACAATGACGGCAAAATACATAAAAGAATATCCATTGCTATCCATTTTGACAAACGGACCTTCTGATCAAGAGGACTGAATTCATGCTATAATTTTAGCAAAATGAGCTGAAATGTTATTTTCGTCAAATATGAATTTAGAATAAGTCTAGATTGTTTACAGCATTATATCTATAAAAATTAAAGTTTAATCGGACAATATAAAAAAACATTTACTCTAACTGTATACTAAAGTGAGACCATGTGACTAAATGGTAGCGCTGTGCATTCCTGGCCACAGATCCTGGATTCTTTCCTCGGACAGGAAAAGGTTGACTCTGTCTTTTATTTCTTCAGTAGGGCAATAAAATGAATACCAAGCAAAGCATGCTTGGAAACTAAATGCTGAGAGTTCCGCGTTTGGTTGATCACCCAACCGGAACATCTACTTCCGCGTCCCAGGGACCAAGGTCAATGAAACTGGGATGGGCAAAGTGGGCCTAGGCTCTCGATGGGCTATCACGCCCCTGAGTTTAGTCTCGTATTAACAAAAACACAAAATTTATTCTATGATGTAGAATGTACTGGTGTACTTCTTATTACTTATTAAGTTATATGCTTTCTGATCAGCCCCAATTTTATCCAACCAGTTGATTCTCTAGAGTTAATTAGAATCTCTAGAGTTAATCAGGTTTTTGAAATGTAAAAGTATTATACACATATCTATACCTTTTTTTCTTAAGTAAAAATAAATGATTTAATAAAATCTTTCTAAATTGTTCATAAATTTTATAGCATAACCTAGGTATTTAATTCCTTGTTTAATAACATAAAAGAATTTTTCAAATTTTTAAATTCCAGGATTTGCTTCTTCCTTATATGAACTCGGCAGCATTTAATATACCCATCCTCTCAAATATTGATCGACTAAAAGTATTGCTGATTTAGAAAATTGCAACAATGATCCATCAAAACTTATTAACAACATCAATTTTGTTGATGGAATAACTAGTCACCAATACATTTTATAAATAAAAAGAGACTTTTTCTGACATCACATTAAGTTTTATTTCGTAAATGAAAATAATGTTAAATATTATCTATTAACTAATAAAACACTTTTAGTGTGAGAAAAGTTTTAAACTTCATTAATTTGAAGATTTTATGTAAACCTTTGCTCCAATATTTTTAATAAAATCAATTAATCAAGTCAATTAATATGTAATGAAATCCCTAAAGAAATATTTTCGAAAAGGTAACAAAAGTAACGAGTAAGTAACGAAATAGTAACGAATAGTAGTTCAGTAACGAAATAAGAAAATAGAAACAACTAATTTAAGGAAGCTTTTTTTTAAAAAATCTAGTTATTTTTAAGAAACTTATTGTATTAAATATCATTTAATTTCTCAAAAAAAAGTTGTGCTAACTTCTACAACAAATTAGTAAATTTCTTAGTCTTAATTTTTTTAGTACGTGCCGGTTTTTATAATCTTGTCATAACTAAAGTAAGGATATTTGGAGTAATTAGTTAGTTTTTAGCTATGAAAAACAAAACAAAAAAGATGAAATTTAACAAATCACTACTGCGACAGTCAGGACTTAAAAATATCAGCAAAACCAGGGAAGAGTAGAAAGGCACCCAATCTTCATTAGATGATCATACTAGTTTGTATATTTTTCATCCCTATTTCCTCCCTAGTGTTTCGTTAGGTTTCTTTCAGGTCACTTAAATATTATTTTGGGGCTTATGATTTTTCAATTTACTTTTAAAGTGATTCAAAAAATTTATGTCAAAGCTGATAATAACGCAATTCCCTGTTAATGGACTTTTGAAATAATAATTTTTTCTTCTATTTCCTAATTCAAAACTAGTTCTTGCAGTAACAATTTGAATTTTTTATCACATTATTAAGATGTATCTCTCTTTTAATACTATTGATTTTTTTTTTTAAATTAGGTTCATAAAAGAATGATGTATTCCGGAAGTTCAGACAAAAGTGCCAGATCATGGGTTCTAGAATTCGGAGAATGTACCAGAATATATCGTGGACATCGACACACTGTATCGTCGATTCGACATTTTGAGGGAATGAGTAAGTTCAATGCACTTAAATTCCAGAATGCTTGCCTTTTAAAGCAATATTATGTTATTTTTCTAGCGTTCTTGTTTAAATTTTCCAAATTTTTAGATGAAAAGAGTTGACAAAAAATGATGCCTTAAAACACGTAATGTTTTGCACAAATAAAGAGAGCACCTGAATAATTTTTGAGTAATTGTTTGAATTCGTACTAATATGCAGTTTTAGTAATTTGAATGATAGACCTTAAATGTGCTCAATTTTTTGCACCGACAATATTTTAAGAGATAAAATCTACTTTCTTCTTCTAAACCTATTTTCTTAACTTTTCTTCTTCATAAACATATTTATTACTTCAAAAATAATCACCTTCTCTTGATCTGAGAAAGGGGAATCTATTGGTTAGCAAAACTATTCTTGCATATATGACAGTCGATATTCAGAAATAAATAAATTGTCCCCATTGGCCATCTGTATGTAACTCGTATGATGGAATTGTTGAAGAATGCTACAATTTCTGGTTTCTTACTATCAGAAGTAGGGATTCCGAAAAGGAATTATAATTATTTTTTTTATCGATATTCAGAATTAAATAAAATCTCACCATTTGCCGTCTACATGTAACTTTCATGATGTATTAGTTAGAGAATACTATGATTTCTATCTTCTTGCTATCAGAATTAGGAATTCTAAAAAGGAATTAGAATTTTTTTTCTGATATTCAGGATTTTTAAAAAATTCACCATTGTCGTCTTTATGTCACTCATAAGATGGAATAGTTGATGAATTTCTGGATTCAGAAATAGAGATTATTGAAGAAAAATTATGATTTTTTTTCACCAATATTCAGAATTTCACTATTAGTCATCTATATTTAACTCATATGATGAAATAGTTAAATAATGCAATGACTACTGGTTTCTTGCTATCAGAAATGAGGAATCTGAAAAGAAATTATAATTTTTGTTTTTTTTTTCTTAACAGAAATGAAGCATTCACATACTGATAGCAAAATAATCCTTACACTTATGGCTACGATATTCAGAATTAAAAAAATAAAACCATTCCTTATGTAAGGATTGGATTTCCTTTTGTATACAACTTGGAGAGAGAATCGTCACAAAATGCAATAGTTTTTTTTTTCTTCTTAACCCTTGTTTATTCGGCAATAGCAACGTAATTATGCATCGATAAAAGCAAAACGGAATCTTTTTATTTCTTCCTTTTCTTTTTTTTTCGGTAAAAGAAAACTGCAGTTATATAACTATAACGCAAGAAATCCTGCGGGGTTCAGAGATACGCCAGAAATTGAAAACTTTCCAAATTTGGATCTGGAAAGTGTTCAAAATTCTTTACCCGTAACTGCCAGTTTCACCTTTGATTTCACCTTCTCAAAGAAGCTGCATTCAAAATTAAAAATTTTTCTCACCAAGTTTCGGATTTAGTTATTTAAAACTACATCTAAAAAACTACAAAGCATCATTTATTGCACCAATTACTTAGCATACTTAAGATTAGGCTCGCTAACCATTCAGATAGCATGGTGGTAGTGTGTGTTAATCCGATTATTAGATTAAAAGTTATTAAGGAGTTCCTTTTTCTTTACTTTTCATACTGTACATACGCAATTTATGCCTGTTAGTTTCCTTCATGTTCCAACTTGTGTTTGCACGATTCCAGGCGATTCCTATATCCTATATTTACCTTATTAAATTCAAAATTTTCATGGCATTGCATTATAAGTTTAGTTTTTAAATGTATTGAAAAATTTTGCGTATCTGTTTTAACTCATTTTATGCAACATCTACTTATTTTTGCAGTATACACAGGATGCGGAGATGCAGTAGCTAGAATGTTCGAAGCCAAATCAGGAACTTTGAAGCGGGCATTCAAAGGACATGAAAATGCCATCGTCTGCGTTGAGGTTTTTCTTAAATTGAATTTTATATTTAAGTTTTTGATTCATTTGAAATTGTTTATTTTAATTATTTTTTTTTCACCTTACTTTTGTTATTTTTTTTATTTCACTTTACTTAATTTTAATTGATCATAAAAATTACTGTTACCCATATTATACAAATAAATAACTATTTGTCCGTTACTTTATCAATGTATACTATTCATTGAATGGAATTTGTAGATCTGGGTGAATTCAGCGTAAATTGTATTGATATTACAATATTAATTTGTGAAGCAACTAAATAAATAAGTAAAAGAATTAATTGTTACTAAAAGTTTAAAATTTACAAATGGTGCGTGGTGCGTGACTGTGTCACAATGTCAAATTGTTAATTTTTAATTTATTTATTTCTTTATTAACATGCAAACCATAAAGGCACATGATTTACATTGTGTATTAAGTTTAAATTTCTGATGTGTTGTAAGAGTCAAACGTCAGTAAGCTATTATTTGCAATTGAAATAAGCTTTCTTGATCTAAACTATTTTTTTTTACAGTTTTTATGATTAAATTTCGATTTTTTTATTTTTGAATTTACATTTTAATATAAAAAATAAATATCAATTTTTTTTTTTTATTATTGTGTTTATTATTGCTTTCAATAGCTTAGAACGTATAAGTTACCGAGTACTATGGAAAATGCGTACCAGTTTTGGTCTATGCACAATGTACAAAAACATTTTACAGCCAGTTTCAAAAATTTGAATTTCAAAAATATGACTAAATAAAATTTAAAGACATATAAATTATTCTATCATTTTTTTAAAATTTGTACTTTTCTATTTAAAATCGTAAAGTACGGGAAATAGCATAGTAAGAATCATTGTTCAAAAATTTATATGCCTCACAATTTAAACATTTTATGACCATTATTAAATAAAATATTAAAAAAATAATATATAATTCGATAATATTTTTACATGAAATTATCTTTGAATAAATTAACTTTAAAATTTTGTACAAAAAATTTTAGATTCACGTAAAATGTTCTTGAGATACGGCGAAATCCACTAAAGGTGAAATTTACATTATAGGGTCCGAACATTCGTCCGCTCTCTAAACTATTATGGAATCATACTTTCCAGATTGTCCCTAATTTTGAGGGTCAAGAATCCGAATCCTTCAAAAAAAGATATGCTTACTCAGAAAAAGCACGTTTTCTTATCTGATTTCGGAATACGTTAAAAGAACTATGAAAGAGCGGAATCAGTATTGCAAAAATTCTTTTCACCGAGATAATTATTTATAATTTAACATAACGCAGCTGCTTTATTACTACTATGTAGTACTAATCAGTAACGAAAATCAAGAATGTAGAAAATTATTCAGTACACTTTCAATCATTCGATCACAGTAACGAAAATCAAGAAAGAATACGTTGAAACAACTATGAAAGAGTGGAATCAGTTTTGAAAAGATTCTTTTTACCGAGATAATTATTTGGAATTTAGCATAACACAGCTACTTTATTACTACCAAGTAGTATTAATTAGTAACGAAAATCAAGAATGTCGAAAATTATTCAGTACACTTTCAATCATTTGATCACAGTAACGAAAATCAAGAAAGAATATGTTAAAACAACTATGAAAGAGCGGAATCAGTATTGCAAAGAAAAATTTAATTGCGATAATTATTTATAATTTAACATAACGCAGCTGCTTTATTACTACCATGTAGTACTAATCAGTAACGAAAATCAAGAATTTCGAAAATTATTCAGTACACTTTCAATCATTCGATCACAGTAACGAAAATCAGGAAAGAATACGTTGAAACAACTATAAAAGAGTGGAGTCAGTTTTGCAAAGATTCTTTTTACCGAGATAATTATTTGGAATTTAACATAACACAGCTACTTTATTACTACCAAGTAGTATTAATTAGTAACGAAAATAAAGAATGTCGGAAATTATTCAGTACACTTTCAATCATTCGATCACAGTAACGAAAATCAGGAAAGAATACGTTGAAACAACTATAAAAGAGTGGAGTCAGTTTTGCAAAGATTCTTTTTACCGAGATAATTATTTGGAATTTAACATAACACAGCTGCTTTATTACTACCAAGTAGTATTAATTAGTAACGAAAATAAAGAATGTCGAAAATTATTCAGTACACTTTCAATCATTCGATCACTGTAACGAAAATCAAGGAAGAATATGTTAAAACAACTATGAAAGAGCGGAATCAGTATTGCAAAAAAAAATTTCATTGCGATAATTATTTATAATTTAACATAACGCATCTGCTTTATTACTACCATGTAGTATTAATCAGTAACGAAAATCGAGAATGTCGAAAATTATTCAGTACACTTTCAATCATTCAATCACAGTAACGAAAATCAAGAAAGAATACATTAAAACAACAGTTCATATTTAAAACCTATATTATTACAATTCAATAAGAACATCGTGCTACAGACTCATTATTAGAATCATTATTTCCCGAGCTTCGTTGTGGTTAATACTACCCACACTGATGGATTCAAAGACATTGATGGTCCATGAGTTGGCCACAGTTTCTGTAGCCTTACTTGACAGTAATGTTAATATTTTATACCTTAATACCATTTCCTTGGCAACCTGTCAGAAGGCAACATCTTTTCCTAATAAACCAATATGTTTATAGCTTATGATGTGCATTTATATTTTGTCATAAGTTTATTCTGAGAAATCAAAATTAATGAATTAAATGCTGAATCAATTGAGAATATAGCAATAGCTTATTTAGAAATGGTTTAATTAACAGCTATTTAACAATTTACAAAGAATAAAATGTAATTTTAATTATTATAATTTAGTAATTTTTTACATTATAATTAGATTAACTCATTTAAATTTTGATGTTTTCGTAAGTTAATTCACAAGAAATTCATTTATCATTTCAAGAATAAGTTAATTAGTAAAAAAATATGAGATTTTGTGCATCAAAAATAAATTTATTCCATACCCCTTAATTTTTCATAGAGTAGTTTTTATATCTCTCATAATATTTCAAAATTCTTTTCTTTTCAATGCAGTTAAAACTATTTAGAAAATTATACATACATTTTATAATACAGTGTATATGATTTATATAAAAGTATATCATGTAATATAATGTAATATATTTACTTTTTTAGGTTAACTATTTTTATGATGACATGTATTTTTTTCTCAGAAACAAAACACTGAATAAAAAAACCATTTTTGGAACAAAAACAAAAGTACATTGATATTTATCTAAAACAAAACTCTATTTAAGCTGATAAATTTCAAGAAAGGAAAATATTTGCTTGGAATCTCTGATTTACCTCACATTAATTTTAATTTTTTCTCACTTTTTTCAACGGTATAAAACCACTAATATCAGTAATATATGAGTATTCTTTTTTTCTTTGATCAAATTAAAGGATCATATTCCAAAGAAGAATCAATATTCAAGCATCATTAATATTTATAGATCCTTATTTTCTATAGTAGGCATATAGGTTTAAAAGCAACAAATTTAGCATTTTTAAAATTGTGACATTTTCTATAAGAAATACTTAAAAAATCTACCATTTAAATTTAAATAATGTGTAAATAATTACTTATTACTTTTTTAACCCAAAGTACCTGACTACTACTTTTCATTATTTAAATACAAATGCACTATTACTTAAATGAACAGTATAATTCCCACTGTGAATGATAAAATATATGCTAATTTTTCATTTTTGTTTTACTTCAAACATCTCCAAAGTTGTGACATATTTGTAACCCTGCCTGCCTCTAGAGCAGCGGTTTCCAACTTACAGGAGGCCGGGGGTCACAATTAAAAACACCAGTCAAATGACGGGTCGCAACTTTATCAAACTTTTATATGGGACTTTTTTTTGGTTGAAGGAATATTAAATATTACCGTCGATTTTTTATCAAGCTGTACAAAACAAAAGTATTGAATTACAAATTAAAATAAGAAGTATGTTTTTAAAAATATTTAATTGCATTTTGAAAAATTCTGGCTACAAAATTTACAAATATAAATAATTTCGTCCAAAATGAGTGGTTTCAAAAAGTTAAATCGGAGAATTTCTTCAAAAAAATTTCTGATACACACATGCTAAATTATAATCACAAAATGCAAAAAAAAAAACGAAATAAGAAAGAGATACACAATTAATTTTGTATTTTGAAAGAGATACGAAATAAGATAAACAATTAATTTTATATTTGAATAAATATTTTCTTGCATGTAAAACTTGATAAATAAATTCTTTTGCACCGTTGGTACGTTAAATTTCACAGAAACGAAGAAATTAGGTTTTTTTTAACTAATAAAAAGTATTTTAAACCCATATAGATTTCTTGCAAAAATTGTCCGCAAAAAAGGACAACTGATTTATTATAGTTCGCTGGCCGCAAAAAAAAGGCTTCGTGGGCCGTTAGTTGGCAACCACTGCTCTAGAGCTATTTTTATAAAATCTCTGTATTTGATAAGTTGTTTGCCTGAGTAAAGTGCAACATCATTATGCTTGTCTATATTTAACTACTAAAAAATTTAGTACATATTTATTTACTTTTGCAGGTCGTCCCCGAGAAAGTATTTACTGGTTCATATGATGGTAGTTTACGAGTGTGGACCACAAGTGGCGTAAAAGATGAGACAGTATTTGGAACCGATTATGACGATAGGAATTCTAAAGATGATGATATGGAAGAAGATAGTGAAGATGTACAGAAAGCTGTTAAATCTCTTGATCCCTACCTAACTTATTGATTATTGTAATAAATTTTTACTTCCTTCTATTTTTTACGTTGCAAATTTTTATTGTAAGGATATGTGGGTGGAACGAAAACAAAACAAGTAATTACTGTGGCATCTTAGATGATATGATCAGTATCACAAAAAAAGAAGTTTTAGAAAACTCTAAAAACGCACCAAGGGAAAAAAGAAATCTTTATAAAGTCAAAAACTCCTACGAAAGATTTAAAAGGAAAAATCAAATCAATTTATTAAGAAGAAAATTGAGAAGAAAGAATTTTTAGATGATTTTTTTCCTTTATTAAAAATAAGAAGATGCCAATAACACAATCCCGGCAATTAATTTTTTGAAATTACTCTTCGACATAAGTGGGAAGACTGTCACATGGGTTATACGTTATATAAGATTTCTATGCTTAATTTACTTAATTTATAAATAATGTCTTATGAATTATTGAGAACATTCACTATTATATTTGTAAATTGCACATAATAAAACAATGTGAATGCGCAGAAAAAGTCATGAAAACGGACATACTATAATTTCGGATCAACAAACAAGAACTTTTCTAAATGTCGAGAAGCAAAATGACAAAATAATTATTAGCTAAACACTTTGCAATAAAGATTAAAAATAGATTAATTAATAAGGTAAAAGGAGCAGTCTTAAAGTAACAAAGAAAGGAAAATAAGAAATGGGTTTGAGGGGGCTGTATACATTATGTTAAAACTAAATTAAACTAGATATCCAAGCATTAAGAAGAATATCTACCAGAGTGATCAATAATTCGAATTTTTCCAAACGTGAAAGGATTTCCAGTAGTCAAGGTCGGTAGATGTAAAACGGTCGAATAATTAAATGACTTTAGTAAAAGTATAAGGAAGGAAAAATAAGACTCTTCTGCTAAAGTCACCGATAAAGTTAAACAATTCTGTAAGCTGAATTCAAGAATGAAAAAATAGGTGTAGGTGATTAATTTATTCAGAAAAATTAAACTTGGCATTTTTTTATTTGATCATTCCATACGATCAGGTGAGATTTGAAGCCTCGCAACTTGAAACTTACTAATGAAATTCAACGTAATTGCGTAGGTAAATGGTTCGTAGGTTGATAAAAATTAAATAGGTGAAAACCATTGTCATGCAATAAATTGCGATTATAAGTATCATTTATGCTCATTAAGTTAAATACTATTAAATTTAAAGCTAAAATTTTTATTCAAAATGCTTGATTTAAATTAATTTTAATTTGTTTCATATATGTTTTGTTTCATCAACGTTTAAATTAAAATTTGAGAGATTTTTTTTATCCTTAATTTGAATTCCTTTTTCTCGAATATTTTTCTGTAACGTTTAAATTAATTTTACTAGCTCTCTAGTATTAATTCTAACGTCTAATGTTGCTACTTTATTATTATGTTATATTTTAAATACTAAGTCAAATACGCTGTCTTCGCAATCTTTATTGCTAAAAAAAGATTACATATCAAATACAAGTGTAATAGTAGCTTAGCGAACAAAACAATATTTTATAGCTTATTATCAATCGGGATTATTAAGATGCAGTGTTTAAATGAATACTGCATATTTCTTTAAAAAAAAACATTAGCACTAGAATATAAAATTAATCTAATTAGAATAAAATTTCAGCAAATTTACTGTTTTTTAGGCTGAGTTTCTAAGTTTAAATTTTACTGTTTCTGAATCCCCTCTTCCTTACTTGCAGCGTTCATAACATTCTCATAATCAAAAACTTGCAGATTTTTTAAATTTTTCTCCACATTCATTAATTCCTTAGCATCAGTTTCGTTCACTACAATATCTCCCGTAAAACTATTCTCATATTTCGAATTTTTCGAGATTCCAATGTTATCATCGCAACAAATTACACTATTTTGTGAACTATCCATAGATGATGGCAGTGATAAGTCATTATCATGTTCAACATGCATCTGATTTACGAAATTTCTTTCAGAGCATGGTTTCTTAAATGGTTGATCACAATTATCTGTATTTTCAACAAATGCCACATGCCGTTTACGTTTAGATACTTCATTTGCTTCATTAGGTTGTATATTAAGTACATCAATGTCAATTTTATTTTTAAGAAGAGGAAACACATCAAGTTTTTCGTTTTCAGAGATGTATTTATTCTCAAACTGCTTTGAAGTGGAGGTGTCAGTCCGAGGAAATGCCTTTTCGTCAATTTCAAGTTCTGTTTGCGTTTGCGCTTCTTCGACTTCCTTGATTACCTAAAATTTAAAGAAAAATACCTTCAATAGATTGTAAGCAGGTTGCCTACTACAGTCATATTGGAGTTATTCCTTTACCGGAATAAGGGCGTGAATTTTGAGTCTGTACTTCCAATTGCTTTTCATTATTGCCACCGATAGTAAAATTACTCCGATACGATGTCTGTAATAAACGCCGATACATCGAGAAATATTCTGTTTTTAAAATTCTCAACTGGTTATTTAAAATTGCGAAACCAGATGACAAATGGAGCTCTACACTCATGAAATTTGGCTAAGTAAGACATGGTAAATATTCAATCGATTAGATTTTCAACACATTCGAGTAAATATGGTGACAACTACAATGCTAATAAAAAAGACATTTGACAGCTAAGTTTTCGTACTCAGTTTGACGTTATTTTCGGCTAAAGATGTTGTAATGCCTCGAGTAAAAAAAAGAAATGCAAAAGTAATGCCTACCACCACAGACTTAGATTTAATAAAGATTACAGCCAACCTAAATCAAAGGGTTTGCGGTTTATCGTAATGCATTATTGCTCCTCTTAACCGTCTTCCGAGAATGGGATCGTTGGATTCAAAACAGTCATACGAAACGTAGTGATATGGGGTCTCTTGTAAGCAGAGCATGACCAAGGCAGTGGCATACGGGGCAGTTGCCCCTGATCCCCACATCAGAGAGGTCCCCCAGTGCAGTGTAAAGTCCGTCAGTTTTTTGTTAGCTTCTTCATTAATCTATCGCATGTACACAATCTATATTTCGTAAATCCATGGCTTTCTAGGGTGGAATTCAGCTAAATTTTCGCAATTACGATGGGCAAATTCGGCCAATCAAAAGCCTGTATTTTTACAAATCGATATGTTTGTTATATCGATAGGATTGATCGTTATGTTTACAAAAACACAGACTTCTGATTGGCTTAATTGAGTCATCGTAATTGCGAAAACTTAGCTGAATTCCGACCTAATGTCAGCAAGGATCGAATTTTTCGCAGCTAGATGACAAAGCTAACAATCAGAAAACTGCATTCGGCATGATGGACATGGAATTGTCAGAAAATCAATAAAATGGACGGATAGATATTTCGTCTGACCATTGTAGCGAGAAGAACTTTATGGTTATTTAAGGTTCTAGTCAATTTTTTTGTGATCTATAATGAGGTGAAAAATTTATATATCTCCATAAAATTTATTTCTTCATTTCTGAAGTAGAGAAGCAGAGGGGACCTCCAAAGAAGTTTTTGCCCCTGGTCCCAATTAGGCAACGTCGGGCCCTGCATGTAAGACAACAAGTTTGGGCTCAAACAGTTCGACAATGTTTTCAGCAGGATTTTTCTCTCTGGTAGCAGGCTTCTATCACTTAAGGATATAAAAGCTTACAGAAGGTAACGGCCAGGGTTTAAACAACTATATAAGCTACGTAAAAAAATTGAAAGACAAGCAACAAAGGCAGCAAAAAGAAAAATATCCGAAGTGTTAATTATTTTATTAAAAACTTTTAAATTTTCTTTCCAACTAACCTTCGTATTTGTATAAATTATAGTTCATGTAAGGCATAAATTATACGATAAACCTCCCTTATCACGTTGTTGCTTGTTTCATTTGTTTATATTCTCCAACAAAAATAACTTAATTTTTATAGTATTTACAATTGTTTTCACTTATATAGTACAATTTTTTTTCTCAGTTTCCTACCGATTTAAAAAAATCGTAAAAAAAAATAAAATAAACTTTCACATTTAACATTCAACTAACATTTATTATTTTAAAATATATATTGATGAATTCTGAATTTTTAAACCTTTTTTTCGAGTTGCAAGTAAAAAAGTAATATCCAAGAGTTATTTTTTTTAATGAAAATGGACTTTTATGATAACATAATGCGATGAAACGTTTCATAATCTGTTTCTTTTGTCTTTGAATAAAAATGAAGTTACCAAATATTTTTAACACAAAGTTTACCTGCGCACGAGTGTTTTCCAAACGAAGTCTCTCCAATTCTATAACCTGCTCATCCAATTTGTTTTGAAGTATTTCAAACTCTTTTTCATAATTTTCAGTCTTTAACGATAAAGTTTTCTCTATTTCACGTAGTTCAGCACACTTGTTTATAAAGCTGCATAATCTATTATTCGATTCTACTAAATTATTCAAAGTTTTCTAAAAAGAAAAATTAAAAAATGCATTTGAATTTCTAAAATATGTAACAGATAACAGAGCGAATTGCACTAAATCCAAAAAAAGGTCTGAATCTAAGGTCTAATTAAAAAGTTAAAACTATTAAAACAAACGTTTTTTTTTTATATAATTACTGTAATTTTTTAAATATACTTGCATATTTCTCTCCTAACTTACATAAATATGTTCTTAAAATAAACAGACATTTACAGGTATTATCGTGTTTACCTAAACATACGTTTTACTGACAAAATTGCTCACATATAACATAATAATTTGAAATGTATGTAAGAAAGCTTCACTCAAGATAAAATTAATAAGATAGATCAGATTTATACATACTTAGATGTGGTATTCCTAGTTTGAAGATATGTCATGATATGTTAATTTATTTAATTATATGTTACTGTCACTTATGATATGCTAATTTATTTTATTCAAACTGCTAATTAAATTTCAAGATCATACTCAAAAACAAACTTCCTTTTATTAATTTCTTTTTGATGCATAAATTCAAAATTTATTTTTGACCCCTCAAATTATGGGGAATAATCGAAGTCTGGGAGACAAAATGACCCAAATTTTAAACAATCGAGCAATTGAAGTTTGTCTCTTTACGAGTTTTATTGTTAGGTATTTTGAAGTTATTATTATTATTGTTTTAATCTTTCTTTCTTTTACTTTTCTAAATTTCTGCTGAAAATTCGATTCGGCAAATCAATTTTTTGGCCAGAATGCTAACAAAAACTAAAATTAAAACTATGAAAGATTTTAACATAAAGCAGAAAATACATTTTAATAATATTTATTGTTTATTGGCTTCAATTCACACTGTTTGAAAACACTTTGAGTTATATATATATACATATTATTTAGAAGGATCTTTTGCTTTCTTTTGCTGGAAGGAGCTTTTTATTCACTTTACTTTTTTGGGATTTTATGAACTGAAAAATGACAGTTTTCGTGAGAATGACCCATATATATACTTATTTTTTTCATTTGTTTGTTGGAAGAGATATTTTCAAAAGATTAAAAAATAATTTTGTAAATAATATATGGTATATTTTCCAAAGATGATAAGCAATAAATATACTTATATGTACTTACGGGCCCCTAGTAACTTAGAATANTATATATATATGTATGTATATACATATATTACCTACCTCGTTTTCTTTCCTTGACTGAAGAAATAGTTTTTCAAGTTCGATAATCCTCTTTTGGCACTGAAATGGAAAAGGTTAAAAAGCTTTAAAAAGTTTTCAATTTGTTTTATATAATACGTTTTTAAATTGAATCAAAAGATAATGAGCAAAAATTATATATTCTCTGCAATTCTGATCCCAAATTGGTTATTGTACGACATATAATATTCCGCTACTATGAAATAGTTCGCATAAATATTCTTCTTTTTGATCATGTTAAAGGAAGAAAAAAACTAATACAGCTGAAATTCCTGATTTAAAGTTTAATCGGTTTCAAATATGAAGATGGCACCGAAAGTCAACAGATTCCAAGCACTCAAAAACGGCTCCCATTTTCAAGACTTGCCACACGAGAATGAGGGATACAAAAGTCATTTGAAACTTAACAATACTATTTATTAAAATATGGGATGGACTGATAAAATGGACAAGAATAGTAGTAATTATGAAAAATTTAATAAAAAAAAGCAAGAAAATCTTTTAAATTTATAATATGAAAAATCCTTAAAAATACGCTCTGATGAAAATTAAAACGAAAAATAGCTATTAGTATATGTTACTTCCGGATATTTTTGCTGCAATTCCTTTTCGCTATTTCTTTTTATTTTAAACTCAAACCGTATTTTTCTTCTTCTTTTTTTCATTAATTAAAGATACAATAAATATATACATAACAGCAAAAGGTTAGAAACATTTCATTAAAGTGTAATACCTCATTCATAAATAAATAATCGGTAATTATGTTTACTAATTTAATTGTTTTAGGAATTTAAATGTTAACCTTTTTGACTCACTTACAAGAATAATTATGTGTATTATTATTACATTAAGAGACTGTATATTTGAATTATTGAGTATACCCAAGGAGTATACGAACTTAGGTGGTTGGGATTTTTCACTTTTTTAAAATTTTATCACAAACATTTCTTTTTCCATATTAGTTGTTCTTTTCCAAATTGTAAGTATTGTGGAAAATTTAAATTCTAAACATGAATTAAAATATTAATATTAATTAGATAAATATTAATGAGGAACAATTTTTATCAAATAGTAGTTTTCGGTGTTTGATCCAAATTGATACATATCCGATGCTCGCAATTGCACCTTTCCATACAGGGAAAAGGATAAATAAAAAGCAAATAGTTACAAAAGATAAGTGAAGTAGCCGAGTAAAAGAGAACGAACATGGTAATCAAATTATCTCAGAGATTAAAGTGTAAAATGTATTGAAATCATTTTAAAGGAATAGAAGGAAACAAAGATAAAAGGATAGAGATTTAAAACCATCAGAGAAATAAGAGATGCTAGAAAAATTACTATGACCCATAGCATTTCACTGCTAAAAAGCTTAATGAAAGAAGATAGCCAGTGTTACAAGATTTATAAACGTGTTATCGTCATCTGTAAGCATACAACAATTTCCAGTGCCATTACTTTTTTTAAAAAAATGGTTTTTAAGTAAATAAAATAATTTGTAAAAACAGAACTGCTTCTTGTAGTGATATTTTTTGAAGCTGATATTTCTAAATTGATTAAAACATCACTTAGCATCTTTCTTCACTTTTATTCTCGTTTATTTTACGTTACATAACATTTATACTTCTAAGAGTTTGACTTAAGATCACTTAAAGCGAGGGACAGAGAGGATTACCCTTATCTGAACTATCAATGATCAAATTCAATTTGCCGTTGAAAGCTGTATAAGCTCGGGCATCAATGCGTTCAAGTTTTTAAAGTGATATTTATGCAACTCAAACATTATAAGTCAGGAAGCCGATTAATAAAATAACTACTATTTTAAAGTATAAGTTATAAAGAAGAAAATTAGACATATTTATAATGAGATCAACAGTCACTTCTAAAGAAATCCACACTATAAGTTTAAAAACACAAAACTATGAGTTTAAAACCACTCTAAGTTAATCTATATACTATAGTTATACTATAAGTATACTATATACTATAGTTATACTATAAGTATACTATACTATAATTATATTATAATTATGCATGTAATACTATGAGTATACATATGGTAAGTTTTACTATAAGTATACAAACTATACTAGTTATACTATATACATGTTACTATACTATAATTATATTATAATTATGCATGTAATACTATGAGTATACATGTGGTAAGTTTTACTATAAGTATACATACTATACTAGTTATACTATACTATACATGTTATACTTTAAGTTTAAAAACACATTTGCACGATAAAATGCAATTAATCTTAAAAATAGTACATTTTATACTTTTTTTAAAAAATAATTTTCATTTTTAAACTTACTATTACTCTTTCTGAATCAGAGTTATTTTCCTGTAATGGAACAGGTGTAGAACTCTTCGACATAGTCAATTCTGATCTAGTAAAAAGTTTTATGCAAATTTAAGAAATTTATATAAATCTAATGACATGAAAATAATATGCATGATAATATCAATATAAAACAGCCTAACTACTCGCATTGAAATGGGTAGTTAAGTACTTCGGTGCCTATTCTTACTAAGCAACCCATCAAATCTTGATACCAAACCTGTCAAATTCATTTATGTTAATCTCATACAAAATGCTAATGCTAATCTCATGCAAAAAATAATTTTTAATAAATATTCATTACCTTTTATTATTTAATTTAACAATAATCAAAAAAATTTTGAATTGTAAAATATACAAATTTTTTAATTCATTTTAAAAAATGCCAAAATGCAAAATTTGAATAAAATGCTTCGAATTGTTCTTGAGAAACCCAGTTTTAAATGTAAGTCTTCTTTAAAATTTGATAACTCAAAAACTACTCGACCGATTGCGCTCAAGTTTCGTATTTTGCGTGCCATTCAAAATTATGCATTTTAAAATACTTTAAATTTTTTCAACTGCTATTAAATGAAATAATAAATAATTATTAAAAACTATTTTTGCATGGAATTATCTTTGGATAAACAAACTTTATAATTGCACTAAAAGATTTTTTTGATTCACTTAAAAATTCAGCTTGGTGTATTGAACTACACAAAGTGTTAAATTAAGATCAAAATCTCCAAATTTCCAACCACTCTCCTAACTAATAACTATTTGAACCCTATTTTCCAGACTGCGGCTACACCTAGAGTTTTGAGGATTATTTATAAGCAAAATTGTCTGCAATCAATCCGAAACTGTCAACAAAAAAAGTACATTTATTCAGAGAAAGTACGTTTTGAAATCTGAATTCGTTACTTAAAATATCGTCTGCATTTATTAATTGGCACAATTAAGGTAAGCTCTACTATTACGATTAAGTCTTGTAAGGGAAAATCCAATCATTACATCAAAAGTTATGCAGGGTGTTCTTTTTTGTAGCGCAACGTACGTTGAAAAGCTAATAAAACTATTTATAACAATTATATGTTTGTTTGTCAAGCCTTCACCTTACAATGCATTTTGTATTTCCCTTCTATGCTTAAATTACACTTCTGCTCGTGATCTGACTATATTATTATTTCTTAAAATGACACAAATGAAATACGGAGTACTGGAAATGTCTATTTATCTAAGTATTTCAATAGCAATATAAAAGCAAACCTGCAAGATACTAATTCTTTTTTCAGGTCCTTATTGAGATTTTCAGTTATCGCTATGCATTCCATCAGATGTTTATGACTCTGATCAAACTTACAAAACTCCACTTTTGTCTCTTTAACTAAAAATGAAATAAATGACTGAAATGAAGAATAATTCAAAACTTCATCATCATATGTACCCATACTTTTAACTATTACTTGTCTAAAATATATTTAGAACATATTTAAAATATATTAATATATGTATGCTTCTAAATATATTTTAAAGTATTTGTTGACTAAGTATTTTATTTACCAATTTCGAAGACACTATTAATTGCACACATTAATTGCATGTAATTTTAGCCTGTTAATTTCATTTTGTACTACATTTATTAATTCCCCATGCATCTAGGTGAATGTATCTGGGTATCAAATATAAATCAATAAAAATAGAGATAATTTCGTATTGCCAAAATCTTATTCAGTTTAATTCTCTAAATCAAAACATTTATTTAAGTTTTTTCTTACGATTCCTAGTAGATCGTAGAAGTTAAGAATCATTGGCAGCTGTCAGTGTGCGGGTACGTGACCACTTTGATCAGTCTGCGGAGGAACCAAAAATATGAGGTATATTGATCTCGTTAAACTATTCTATCGTCAAGTGCATGACTTCACTTACGACCAAAGCGGAGAAGCCTTTCCCTCAGCAGAGAATCAAAATTGTGATGGCATGTCATCGGATCAATCTCAGGGATGTTTCCCAGAGGTCGCCAATAGCCCATTGTGCAGCTCTATCTCTGCGATGTAAATAAATTACTACTATACTGCAAACACTATTTCTTTTATACTTTTTTGAATTTACTTTTCGAGGAATTGCATTTTGTAATGTGTATGCGGTCAAGAAAAAATAAGGCGCTGTACACAGAATATGATTATTGAGCTGATTTTGTGAAAATTGGTTTGGCGAATCAACGATGGTGATAAAATCTCCTTGCCACCGAGCTCACTGTGTGTTTTCGTGGTTTTTCTCTCCATGTAACGCAAATGGGGGTTAGTTCCATCAAAAAAGTTCTCCTCCAAGACCAGTTTGTCCCAATGCTTGATCCTGCTTCCTTCGTCTTCTGGGTTTGGTTCAAAATTTCAAGGCTTCTAAGTTGAACATCGGTCAGCTGTTCAACAATCAAAATAAAATAAAAACTTTCTGGCTCGAATTTTGATATAACTTCTCTGTATCCTTTAAAAAAATCTTCAAAAACTAACTCGTTGTTTTTCTTCTGGTAATATGATTATTCATACCTCAGTTTTTAACCAAAAGATTGCTTTAGCTGTAATAACGTCATTTTGTCTATAAAACAATATTGGGTTTGACAGAAAGAACTTACGCAAACCAAAAAAAATAAATATGGATACCGAGAAAGAAACCATCAATTGCAACCATAAAACTGCAACAAAAATATTCCTGAGCATCTTGTATTTTAAAGCAGTTGGGCTACATTAAGAACTAATAGAAGCTCATTTTTAAAATTAATATAATATCACCGACATGTAACATTTTTATTTTTAATTTTTTTTTCAGTTAGAGTGTCAAACAAAAGATGTATAGGTTTAACTTAGATTTAACAACGTAATATTTGCCACAAAAAAAATTTACAGAGAAAAATAATTTTTATTCTATATAAATTACATTAATTCTAGTAAATAATAAATTTTGAATACTAAAGTTTCCATTCAAACGATCTTCTCAATTTTCTCAACAGTATAATTTTTAACTGATTTTTAATCTTTTCAATCAAAAACTCAAAGATATTGAAACTATATATTATTCTAGACTGAGATTGAATATATAATGTAAGTAAGGTGAAATATTCGAAAGTAACTTACTGTTGCTCATTACCATCTCCTGACTAGTTCTCAACTTTTCACGTTCATGAGTTAATTCCTTCAAACGATTTCGAATTTCAACTATTTGCTTCACAATACTGTCTTGATAATTGGTATGAAGTTTTAACTGCGCTTCTAGAGCTTGAATCTTCTTGGTCAGGTTTAATCTTTCAGTCTAAAAAAAGCATTTAAATTTATATGTCATACATCTTTGAAACAAACATATTTATGTCATTTTACGAATGTTCAGAAAACAATTTTTCGATTTCTTTTAAAGAAACAGTATTTAAAATCTGCTTATATTCTCACTATCAAATTAATTAAAAAATGAAGGTATTCAATGTTTTTTTTTATTAATTAGGTTTGATTGTGATGTTTGAAACTTTCAGACTAGATTAATACTCATTTATTTATGAAAGTGAAAGATAATTTTATTCACTAGAGAATTACAATAGAGCTCTTAGAAATATTTTAAGGAACTTATTTTTTAACAAAATAATAACTCATAGATTTAACTTGACAGAATAACATTTTTAAAATGAGATAATGTCAAACATTGTATCAGTTTTATGCTAAATTGTGCGAGTATCTAAAAAAGTATGATAAAAAAATCATGTCCGTTTTCTACTTAATCATTTTTAATATTAACAAACTCTATTAATAATGACAACTTGCTTAATATGTAGCTAGCTCATGGCAGCTAGCTCATTCTGCTGGCAAACAAAATATTCAAAACGTGTCAACTTTGAAGTTTTCAGAAATGAAAATAATCTTCGCATGGAGTAAAGACACGAAGCTTTGATGTAGCTTTATTCCATTTTAAGAGCTTTGATTTAAATTACACCCTTTAAATTGTGTATGAAATCTCGATTTAATGTTAACCAAAAATTAAGTATTCTTACTCATAGTTTTTTTGTCCTCTTTAACATCATATTCAGAGAGATATTACGCTACAGTTACAGAGCACTATATTAAAGTTCAACATACCAATGTAACACACGTATTTTTTTTGAAAAATTAAAATTAATTGATAAATTTATTTCTTTATAACATAAAAATTATTTAAGAAAAAATCATTAACATTTTAAATAATTTTGTCACATCTTACAAAAACTTTTTTTTCTCACAAAAATGCAAAAGTTAAACAATAATTAATAAAATATACTCCAGCATTTCGAAGCTCCTCCTTCAAAGCTCTCACTTCCTGGGAATAAGTTTTGTTCATAATTTGCTGTTTAGCCTGAAACCGAAAGAAATTTCATTATTCTTCACAAATTTTGCAAATAAAAATGAAAACATGAATAAAAAATCATTAACAGAATTTTTTTTAAAAAATTCATGTCAGAGCATAATTTTTAGTACTGCAATTTTAGTATTTAATTTTAATTATCAAAAATAAATCATACATTCGGGGAAAACAAATTTCAAGTATTTTTTAATGAAAAATTCACTGTTTTATGAGGAAAAGTTTACTATGCTTTCAATATCTCATGATTAAACAAGACTTTAAAAAATTAAAATTAATTAATAAAAATTAATTAATAAAATTAAAATTAATTAATAAAATTAAAATTAATTAATAAAATTAAAATTAATTAATAAAAATTAAAATTAATTAATAAAAATTAAAATTAATTAATACAAATTGAAATTAATTAAAAGTAAATGCTTGATTTTGTATTTATATTCATCAAATGTGCTGAAAAATATTGGATCTCAAAAATAAACTAAATATTCCAGAATCATACAAAACACTAAATATTCCAGAATCATACTAAACACTAAATATTCCAAAATCATACAAAACACTATATATTCCGTAATCATGTTTTGGGTTTTGGGCCACCATTTTGTTTTAAGCACGGATGTCTTTGCCAAGAATAGATGGCCACGGAATTTTCAACCATTATAACTGAAAAAAGTTTTTTTGAAATACCCCAATTTGTATAAAAATCTTGTTCGATTCTAATCGCGTTTAGCAAAATAAGTTGAGTGTTTCGGCACGATAATTGTTGTATTCATAAAATAATTAAACTGCTATAGCCAAGGTTAATACCTGCTTTGATTAAACTAACATAATAAAAAAACAATATTTTTCCAGATGATAAAAAACTGTAAAGGCCTACACTGCCGCTGTTTTTTGTCTTTAACTTAACGTTACATTGTATTTTGGTGCCCTAAAACTAGGAGACTTAGAAGCTTGAAATTGCAAAAAATTGTATCAAAATGTGCAGAAAGTACGATAGAATAAAAAAATATTCAATAACTACTTCGAAAATTATTAACTGTCGAACTTGACATAAAAAATAACATACGGGTCGCTCTGCAGACTACTGAAATACAACAACAAAGTTGAAATTTGACGTGGTAAAAAGATCAGTTTAGTTTATGAACTAAAAGCGAGCTGTTTTCAAAAAATTAAAGCTTGTTCAGAAATAATTGCAATTTTAAGTACTTTTTCGTGAATTTTTCTCACTTTTTTGTCTTTACGTTACAAAACTATAAGATTTAAAATTTTGAAATTACGATGGGCTGTAGAAAAATATACTGGAAATAAGGCGGAGTAAAAATACTAATATTTGTGAAATAGTTAAAAAAAATTATTGTTAAACATGTGGGGGGGTATCATGTTTGGTTGATCTGTAACCTGCTGAAATGCAACGACAGAGTTAAAAATTGACTTGCTGAAAAAGCTAATTTAATTTGAGAACTCAATTCAAATTTTGTTTCGAATTCTAGTTTGTTTGAAAGTTATGGCAAAATTTAGTTATTTTCTGTTATTTCAGGTTTTTTGCTTAAAATAAGGACTATTTATTAATGGGATGCCTGCAAGTAACATACTGTGGGTATCTCGATCTTGATTGGATGTTGAAACGTGGCATCTCTTTATGTTAGTGACTGTTCTTTCCATTCTATTTCGAGTAAGCCTAGCCCCTCAAGTATCAAGTATCAATTGTCTTAAGTGACACTTTCTACATTCTGACACAAAAAAAATTCGCAAAGATTTCAATTCTTACACTATATATTACTTACTTAACACAAAGACAGGCATGAAGTCATGTAGGACAAGAACAAACTAATTATTCATCGATGCTGCCATGTACACAAAGCAAAAATCTATCACGGTGATAAAAAAAATACATAAACAAATAATAAACCTATGTTAAGTAAATGACGTAGACGAGGAAGAATTATATCTTTCAACAAATTCGATATGCGATACGGCTCTGTATTTGATTAACTTCACTTTAATTAATATTCTAACTTAAGGGGAGAAACGTAGCTCATCTTTAAAACTCCATTTTGATTATAAATAATCAGCTGGTGCTGATGTCACAGATCACAACTGTGGATATCCATGATCTTCTTCTTCTCGAAATGCAAGGATCCAATTGCTGAAGAAGATTTATTTTTCCCTCACGAGTTCTTTATTTCTTTATTTTATGACCTCGCACTCGAGTATATATTAGTTAAAAGTAGCAAAAGAGAGAGTTAAAGTGTTGCCAGATATAAATCTTAAAATTTATGGTAAAATTAATTTAAAAAACTATTGAAGAGCGATAAAAATTATTCCTATTTATATTACTACAAGTTTTATCAACGAGTAAAATGAATTCTCGTTTATTTCTTCGGATTAAGTCACACTATCTTTGTTCTTTAGGTTATAGTTTTTTTTTTCAAGTTCAGAAGATTTTTTTTCAAAACCAAGTAATCGTCTATTTCGTTATGCTTAACATATTAACAAAGTTCTTGCTTAAAGCAATGATAATTTTACATTTTTAAAAATATGGTCTGTGTATTTGTGGAAAATATTGATGTTTAAGGGGAAAAACAATTATGAATGGGAAGCAAAAACGGGGGTTACTGAGCAAAACAAGCAGGTCGTGGTGCCTCCAAATTTTCATAAAAACTCATTATTTATTACCTTTTCATCATCAGAAACACAAATATTGTCTTCCAGTTTTCTTTTGAGAACAGATATTTCTCGTTCCAAGGATTCTTTCTCAGTAATATATTTTCGATCCTGGTCATCCTTTAAAATATTATTAAAATATTTTGTTTTATAAAAAGCCAAATCCTTAATCACAGCATCATTAATAATGGCGCATATACTCGTTTTGTATTTACAGCTTCACTCCGATCAAAATTCACGTTCCCGTTTTTTTGCTATCAATATACTGATTCTTCCGTAGCGTCGATCTTAAAACATATCTTTATAATCGTAGTAAAAAATGAAATTAAAAATAGTATGCACATTAGAAGACAAAAATTTAAAAAAAAAAATTATTTCGAGCACAGTAGAATCATTAATTTGGAAGGTAAGATGAGAAAGCAAACAAAACAGGTTTAATTTACCGGTGAATCTTGTAAATGTTTCTCATAATCACCTTTTCAACTTTAGGGAATGAAACTGGTCATGTTGTTTTCAATCTCACCATCCTCCCTAGCGATGAATTGGTTTTCCTACGTGCGTTTTCCCCCCTCGCTTAGTTATTAGTTGTACGGGCTATTTTATTTTATTTTTCGCAAGAATTCTAAAAATATATATTATGGACAGTCACTAAGAAAAAATTATATTTATTAGAATTTATAAATTCTAACAATTGAAATCGGGGTTTAGAAATATGTATACCAAATGTGTTACTTTAAAAAAAATCTTTCCCGACGTCATTAAACTGGGGATAATAAAAAATAAAACTAACAATTTTGCAAATTATTACATTTAGAAGAATATCGTTCTTATTTTGAATTTCGTTATTTGTTAGATTTTTAGTAGTAACAGTACACGGTGTCTGCAACCCTATAGATTGAAGATTGAAGTTATTTTTTCAGGCTTTATCTTAATTTGCTTTACTGACACTATAATAAACGCCAGAAAATTGAAAATAAAATATAACTAATCTTTGAATGATATACACGAAAGAAAAATTTCATAATAAATGAAGCAGAATTTTTTGAAGCAAATGCCTAATGATGCTATATTCAATGGCTGTTTCAGAGAGGTTGTTCTGAACCTAATCCTTAGAACCATACATTTTTGCACAAAATGTTCTTTTTTTTCGGGAGGCATTTTAAAAAAATCATTTAAACATACCTTTTTTTTTAAGCAGCATATCAAACTAGTAACCGTAAAACTACTTGGAAGGCAATTAATAATGATCCTATTTTAGAATTGCAATTGGCATTTAAAGTTATTTTAATATTACCTTTTCGTCGTGAGTATCGTAAAAATTATACTGAAGTTTTCTTTTGAAAAAAGATATTTGACGTTTCAAAGATTCTTTTTCTTCAACACGCTTTCGTTGTTGGTCATCCTGAAAAGTTTTACGAATTCGTTTTACTTTTATAAGCTTATAATTAAAAAATTTAATAGTTTTTAATTCTGTTTATTGACTACTTTTATTAATATTATTATATTTAAATAATATTTATGTTTCATTAGATACTCAAAATTTCAAAATTTAAGAAATTTTACCTCATTTTCTTTATAAATATTACGTTTTATTTAATATTTTTAAGAAGATCCGGTTCACAATTCTATATCCCTCTCACAATTTTCGAAATTTCAGATCACTTTCATATTTTCATTTAACGAGATAAAGAAAGATTTATTTTCCCTCTAGAGTAGGAATGCATATGTTATTTATACAAGTATACTTGTAAACATTTTTTAAAAAGTTATTTTGCTTCGTAAATTATTAATATTTTAAGTGAAAATTAGCATCATAAACAACCGTTCTCTTGGCACTAGATGTCTCTTTTAGAACTCTTGAGTAAATTTCATAAAATATTTTCACAATTATATTCAATTTAATTCCATCAAAATTAGCTTGTTTTTTTTTTACTTATATATAGAAAAACGTTATCGACAACATTTACGTTCCATTTCACACAATTCTTTTGTTGACTACTTTAAATATAGTTAAACACATTTCTAATTTTAAAAAATAGGAAATTGTGCTATTATTTATTAATTAATAATCGACTAATTTATTCATAAGGGTTTTGTTAGATAGTCAGAACGATGTTAATTCGTATACTAATTTAAAACTGGATTGTTAGTGTCTGCTTTCGAAAATATAATTTATTTTACAATTTTTATTTTTAATTTGTTATTTATTTAATTTTCATTTTTTTTCATTTCTCCGAAATAATTATCTGTTATACTTTATGCTATTTAACAAATATAATTTTTTTCTGGCGTTTTTATATAGTCATTCATCGTAATAAAACTTCTTTCTGTACTTCCTCAAATATGAAACTTTCATTCAAAAGTCTTTGTCGAAATTTTTGCTCCTTATTTTTGCTTAATTTTTTGCATTTTGTTGGTTTCTAAGAACAGCTGTTTTGCTGTGCGAACCTGTCTCTTTTTCGTAAAAATTATAGTTGAATTTTAAGGAAAATCTTCAGATAAATTGTAAGATTCTTGGGTAGAATTAGTTTATCATTTCAAACTTTTACCCACGAATAACATTAAACAGTTATAAAAAAATAAAAAAAATCTGCTTCTGAAGCACATACAAGTTAAAGCAAATATATATCTTGCTTCTGGAAAGATCACTTTGATTCGCGCATTGCACAGGGAATATGTAAAATAAATAAATATGTGCAAAATGGCAGTATTTTCAAGCAAACAAACAAATCTTACCAATTGAATTTCCAAATTATATTTTTCTTCCATACAGGATTTTAAATTCTTTTCATTTTCAACTTCTAAATTCTGAAATGAAATTAATTTTAAGGACCGAACGATTTCATTAAATGTAGCTAAATGTAGTTGGAATTATTTTATTACATTTATTTGTTTTCTCCTTTTACGTATTATTTTTTACAAAAAATAATTATCAATATTTCATCAGAAGTTTAACTATAAAATCGAGCCGGCATTACAATTAAAAATATCATAACATGAATGAGTTACACAGTATTATTGATACATAGATGCAAAAAATTGTTTTTAATAAAACATGCTATTATATTTAGTATTCGGTATGATCATAAAATATCAGCGAAGATTTAATGTGAGGCATCATTCGAAATTATATTATCAAAAGATAAAATAATTACCCTTCTTAGTCGTAATTCTTCCACAAGTTCTACAATCTTTCTTTCGAAGCTTAATGCATCGAAATTTTTTACACCATTCGTTTCATCAACTGAGTACATTTCCATGTTAACGCATGTGTTATTTACTAAATTAGTAACTGGTAGTCAACTTCTAATATCCAAAATATTATTAGGCGCAATTACAGAATAATAATATGACAAGTTCTAACTAAGTCGTTGCAATTCATTTTAACAGACAAAAAACGATGTTCATTTAGAATCGCTTGCATTATATGTACTTTTTTTTTTCTTCAAGGAATTAAATTGTAACAATTTTTGATAATCTTGTAAACATAAATCTACTACTTTGAAAATTAACTTAGATTTTAAAGATGTCTTACAAGATTTTTGCAACTAGTATAATCCAATAATTTTCAACATTAAATATAAAACCAAACAGAAATTTAAAAGGAAAGATAAATAAAAAAAATTTGTTCACGATAATTTCTTTTTCTATTATAGAAAACGATAAGTTTAATTCATGATACAAAAAAAGTAGCAATTAAAAGTATTATTAACCTCTGGATCATTTTTCTGATCATGATCTAGAGCATAACAAGTGTAACATAACATTTCTGTACATTATAAGAGAAATTTATTAATTCATATGTGAATGAATGTTTGTCAGCAAATAATTATTTTGCATTGTTCAAAAATTTTATTTAGTTTCGAAATCTGTAAATAAATTTTTAAGTAAAAATGTTATTATCAATATTATCTGTGACATATTTACTTAACTCTGATTACTATTTTATTTGAAAAATAAGAGGAAAATTCTCATTCATATTGTATTTAATTAAATAAAAATAATATTAAGCAAAGAAGAAAAACGTAGCTTACAAACATTATGCAAAATATAAACTGTAATTGTCGGGTATTTTTTATATAAATTTATGTTATTTTAATGCTAGTAGTTTAATTTATTTCTGAAATGATGGTCAGTATCATTTCATGAAACTCGGCAAATTTGGAATGAAAAAATTATAAATGAACTTTAAAACTTTCCCATAATTTGCCAGTGATAAGTAAATAGAGATATTTAGCATCTAAAATATGTTGAAAATTGAAATTGAGATATTTGAGAAAGGGAAATTGTAGAGTAAATTATTAAAAAAAAAGAAATAATAAATAAACTTTCTGATTAAAGGGAGCGTATGAGCTTTATTTCGCGATCGCAACCTTCGTTCCATGTCTTGACTTTACCCCTTTCCCTCTCCTCCTCTTTTCGGTTGTATGGGAATGTACTACGATATTTCCCCATTCGAAAATATTTTTCGAAAATATTTTCAAAAATATTTTCTAAAACTTCCACAATGCATTCTTTTAGAACTGTGCATTGGCAATCAAAATGGGCTACGTGGCGTAGAGTTGAACTCTCTACTTATCTATCGCAATACTTCGCATGCTTTCACCATTCGCGTGTGGAAAGTCATATAGGACGGAAGTAGGTTAGATTCTGTCCTGATTCTCACATAGATTAATAATTTCTAAGCTAGGGAACTATATGAAACTGAAAACTACATTGAATCCCCTCTGTAGAGGATCAATATTGGGTTGGCATGTCTTCGGATCATCCTCAGTGGTGTTCCCCAGACCGTCGCCAATAGCCCATTGTGCAGCTCTAATGCGACGTAAACAAAGTACTTACCTACATTGAACATAGTTATAAAAGAAAGCGTCATGGGAATTTTAAAAAATGTTTTTGTCAATTAAATACTAAAAATATTAAGAAATGGGAAGAGCATTCCGATATACAAATGTGAAGAGGAGGAGAAGAAAGGGAGGAGGGTCAAGGCATGGAACCGATTTTCTCCCCTGATGGTATATTCTAGTGTTGGATACCAAATTGTTTCCCAACTTAAAAGTTTTTAATCTATTTGAAAATCAAGAGAGAAACAAACGTACTTCCGTCTCCTATAACTATACATATGCTAATGGTGAAAGCATGAGAAATGTTATCGTAGGTATAGAGTTCTGCTCTGCGCCACCCAGTAGCCCATTTCAATCGCCAATAGTTTTCTTATTGATAATGTTTCTATTTAAACTCTAAATCAAGACCATAAAGTCGCACAACTAAACATTAAAATTTCGAAAGTGCAACTCGGCAGCGGAAGCAAACTAACTAGCAAATGAAACTTGACAAAAATTCGGGTTTCTATTTTCTGATTTACCTTCTCTTACCTAACCTTTTTGAACTGTCACCAATAACCGTAAAGCCTCCCTGGCAGATAGGTATCACCCGCCAAACTCTCTGATAAGCATTAAGGTCGCGGGTTCGAATCCCGCCGTAACCCTCTATGCATTCTTTGTGCTATCCTTCTCTAAATTGTATTTCTGTCATTCTACTTGAGAAAGATTTATAAGTCTGAAATTGAGCACACAAATTTACAAATGTATGTAATTTCAATAAACAATAAGCGGAGGTTCATCTTTTCTGAATCACTAGTGGCAAAAGCCGGCTTCTTTGTCTTCTAACATTTTTCTTTTTCGTTTAGCTTTGGCATCATTTGATCCTTGTTTGTTTACCTTAAGAATGTCCGCGCGCGAATATGTATTACCATCTCGAAATAATTAAAAAATCTACCTCGCAAATCCTGCTTATAATTTTTAATTAATTTCTGAATATGTCTCTAATTAAATTCAACTGGATCAGGGTGCGAAAGCTCATATATTTTATCAGGAACAATCCAGTTGCAACAACATTTATAATAATCTTAATTTTGGGAATATTTTTGCCGATGCGATGCCCTACTTTTAAAGGATATTCCTATTTATCATTTAGTGAAATTAAAGATGACTTGCAAATGTGTTTGGTAACTAGAAGGCCACCTGATTTTAAACTGTGCCCTTTAGTATCTCTTGATTTAGGTACGTTCTTTTTCGATACAAAATCAGAACGTCATTGTCATATATCGAATGTGTTTTTTGTTTTAAAAAAAGTCTGTTCTACAAAAGTTCTTGAAAAGATAGAACTCGTATGCATGTCTTTTTTTTTTATTTATTTCGAAAAGTAAAGGAATGGTGTATTTTGGACATTTTTAAAAAAAAATAGGTTGTTTATAATGATGCATGGAAATTAAATGTATAGTAAAACTTTTTCAGTCATTGAATTGAACACTTGATTGACTTAATATACTATCGAATTTTACTTGAATTTTATTTTTGCTTACGATCAATTTAAATTTTTTTATATATTAAGTTCACGGTAGGATGTAGTTATAAGACTACCGTTCTGAAGGCCTGTTTATACGGTTAATGTTATTGAATCCGAGAACTTGGGGAAATATCTCTTCAAAAAATTGGATGATAGTTATCCAAGTTCTTGAATGTTTCTGATTGGACAGATGAAAAGCTGTGCTTGTTCATATTTAACATTATAAAATCATACTTATGTGAATTCAAAATTGCAAATTGAATTGAAATAACTTCTTAACACAAATAACCCTTACAGATTAACTTATTTGGATTAAAATATATGAAAACAGATAGCAAAATGACATAATCAGATGCCTACTTACTAGCATCATTAACTTTTGTAGGTAGCTGATTAGTTAACAGAAGAAGAACTTAGATGGAAAGTAGGGTAAAATCGCAGAATCGCCCACCTCTTTGTGCGTTTTTAAAATCTCGCCAAGTTGGTAATTATTATTGGGATCAACGTTGCTTTTTGATTATTAAAAAAATACCATATAAATTATTACAATTTAATTAAAATATTTTTTATCGAATAGAAAATAACTTACTTTTACTCTGATAGCTCNATATATATATATTTTTTCTTTTTTTTTTCTTTCTTTTTTTTTTGGATTTCCTCTTTTTTACTTTCTGACTACTCTCATCCTTGGAATAGAAAATAACTTACCTTTACTCTGATGGCTCATTTTTTGACACCATAGGGTACGTCCATTTGACTTCACGAATGAAAGCACTGTAGACAAACATGCGCAACCACATTCAATCCACACTTTCGACATCTCCATCCATTGTATCCTTTCGCTCAATCCAGGGTACCCGCGCACCTGGAAAGTCATGAATTTTCGGTTAAACAAAGTTCGTCATGGATTTAGGTCGCTGAAAAATCTAAATTTTAAAATGGAATCCCCCCCCAATTCCATGGTGATCTGAATTTGTAATAAAATCCCCTCTTACAGTCATATTTTATTAAAATATATATATGTTTTTATCGTGTTCTTTAAAAATTATAGTGTTCTTTTAAAAAATGAAAGAAAAAACATCATTTTAGAATGAATTATCTTTTAAACTTCTGTGATTTCAGAATTTTTGTTATTATTTATTTTTTTTATTTTATCAATTTAAAATTCTAGCTGAAGCAGGCCAGCCATTGGCAAATTTTTTTTATTCCGAAATAAGAACAGAAAAATCAGGAGTATTTACAGGGGTCTGTCCAGGCCGAATTTACTACCGTTTAGCGGTACCTTCACAAATTCAATTTTAGGTAAAACGGTAGTTTCACAAATTCAATTTTAGGAAAAACGGTAGTTTCACAAAATACTTTTTCTTAAAATTTTATTTTTGTATCCCTTAAGAAACGATAAATCTATATTTTACCCATGTTTTAGTATTGATTTTTTAATATAATTTTTAATTTTTCACAAATTATGTCTAAATTTTCACAAAATAGGTATCTTTCACAAAAACCTAGACAGACCCCTGATTTATTTTCTTTCCAATGAACAAGAAAAGTATCTTTGGAATATAATTCTGCAGAAAAAAAGAAAAAAATATATATTTACTTTTGTATTTTCTTCAGCTATTTTATTGCTTCATCTCTTTCTTTACTCTGTTTTTTAAATTTAAAATCTTTTAATATGAAGATGCAGATTATAATAGTTTAGGTTATACCTATTATTTTAATTAATGTTATTATATTTATATTGCTTTTTTAAATTTATTGTAATGTTTTTGTTAGAGAAAATAGTAACTTCGTTAAGCAGTGTTTTCACTACAGCGCGAGAAAGCGAGAATCTCGCATATTTTTTTATATTCTCGCATTAAAAACTGATCACCGCGAGAAATTTGCGCATTCTATAAACCAATTTCAAAATTCGCGAATTTCTCGCATTTTGAAAAAAAATTCTCATTTGCGCCATTTAGAATAAAATCCGTTTCACTTTTCTTCCTGGATCTTTTATTATTTTCAACATCTGCCCCATTATCTAGCTTCCCTATTTACCAGTATTGTTCAGAACCTTTAAGAACAACAGAACACCATCCTTCCGAACCACGGAACCTCTTTCAGAACGCATTTCTCTGCAACCACGTGTTTACCGTAGGTAAGGTTTCTTCATGTAAGACGTTCAAATTTTTTGCTCGTTAATGTAAGATGGACAAATACCTTGTAAAGCCAATATCTTCTACTCCGAAACGGACAAATGAAAATGAAACAAATGTGGGTAGAAACGATCAAAACGAAACAAATACGCATTTGAGCAACCTAATGAGAATAGCTGATGAAAAAGTAGATGTAGAACATTTTCCATATGATGATGCAGCAAAAATATTCAATGCTTTAAAAATTCGAAAATGTTAAAAATGCATTATAATTAAAGAAATTATTTTTTTTTCAAGTCTCTTTGTGTTTTTTTTTAATTTTTGAAATCTCACTTAGCTTTTTGAAATCTCACCCTGTTTTTGAGAAAGGGTGAGAAATTCTCACCCATTTTTTTTTTTCTGAGATGAAAACACTGTTAAGTCATGCAAAGTTCTTGGAATTAGTCATGGATTTAAAAATCTAGAATGTAGCAGATACCCTGTCAATCAAACTCATTTATTCTCCACATCTTAGGCATTCATATGTTTTCAAAATTAAATATTCATTCATACACCATTCAGTCATCACTCTCTTACCTTTTGCATTCAGTAAAGTTAAAAATTTGCTCGCCATTTTCAACCAGTACCGCATAATGAAAATTAAATAATACTATGTGTTGTTTTGAAATATGTTTTTAATGTATAAAATAGTAAGAAAAAAATTTTTTTGCTTCAAATTCAACGCGTTTAACGAAAAATTTGTTGTTACTAATTATATTGTTCTCTTGTGAAATGGAATTCAAATGTGCAGTGTTCAAATAGAATAATTGAAAGTGTCTGATATAAAAAAAATTAAAAATTAAATTTTGAAATTCCAAATTTATATGTTTTGCATTCTTGATAATATAATTCTTTTTCAAGGAAATTATATTTTTTGCTCTTTTAGAATTGACTTTATTTAAAATTTTAAATTTTTTAATAATTCGATGACAATAAATTATTTTTTATGTGTACCATATCTTGAGTTAAATGTAATTGTCAAGTTTAATTTTTTTTCTCAAGTTTGTCTACCACATTAAGTTTTTGGACCACTAAATGAGCACTTAGAAGAGCCTATTGGACCACTAAGTTTTCATCACTGGTGTGAACCCTAAAATTTATACTAAGGAGCCCTAAACAAATGTCCTTTATGCTCAAGTGATAGTAATAGGTTGCATTAATTTCTTATTCTTTTAACTCTTCCTTTTATTTGCTTTCATTCAAGTTTAAATAAAATATGATTTTAATCGATGTCTAATATCTTTTTTGTGGGCTAAAAATTGTTTACATTTGTTTTTCTAGCTCCGTTTAAAGACGTAAACAGAATTGTGAATGAGACTTCTTTAAAAGAGTTGCCAAAAAAACTTAAAATATTACCTGGAGGAAGATGGTACCCTAAGAATTGCTCCTCATGGCAAAGAGTGGCCATTATTGTTCCTTATCGTAATAGAGAAGCTCATTTGAAAATATTTTTACAACATATGCATCCATTCCTTCAAGCCCAGCAGCTAGATTATGGGATATTTTTGATTGAACAGGTTGATAATTTTTTTAAACTATTTAATAATTTTTATAGGTTATCAAACTTCATAATTATAGTAAATTTTACAATTTCATCAATGAATAAATTTAGTCATAAGCATGGTTTAAAGTTTTACAACATCCTAAATGTGCATGTATTTTTATGGATAGGATGTGAGGAAAAAACTATTCACAGTTTTTAATTAGAAAATTGCTAAAATATTTAAAATTCCATCTATAATCTTTGTGCACATATTGCAGAATAAATTAGGGGAATGGGGTTTATAATATATTTTTTAACATGCACTCACTGATAGAGGCCAGCTCTGATTCAAGAATTATGTAAATTATTTCCGTAGAGTATCATGATTCATTTTAAAATTAATGATACCATGTGAAGTTATTCAATAGAAACTGTGCTGTTGTTAAATTTTTAAGTTTATTATGTATTAAAACAGTGAAGAAAAATAATATTTTACTCAATTGCATAAAAATTGCTAAGTTTATTTTAATTGTCTGATTTTCTGTTATTCCCCTCGCTTGTTAATGTTTACTTTAATTTTCCAGATAGCTTATCTTTCCTGTTCTTATCTATATGAATGAGTTTTAATTCACATTTTATCATATGTACAATTATTTATTAAATTGAGCCTTCTGAAACACCTTTTGATTTGCTATTAATTACTACAGAAAAATTCCAGTGCTTTTTTTTAATTTCATATTGATGAGTTCTTATTATCTTTCTCATCCTTTCTAAAACTTCTTGGAATGTTTGTTTAAGTAAAAATAATTTAGAGTTTCATAACTTCTGACTTAAAAGCATTTTCTGTAATAAAAATAATTATTATGGAAGGTTTATGGGGGAAAAATGTTTAAGAATTGCAAATATAATCACTGCTTGCCAAACTGAATATATTTTCATTTTGTAAACTACTTATTGATTCGCAAGAAAAACTAGCAATATTTTTACGGTTATTTTGTTTAATTACATGCTCATAAGCTGAAAATATGATTATAAAAAAGATGTTATATTAATTTTTAGAAACTGGAATACTTCATAATTCCTAATACATGTTTATACTACAAATGTTTGTAATTTAGTATTTTGTCTATTTTCAGAGTGAAAAACATGATTTTAATCGAGGGAAGCTCTTTAACATTGGTTTTCTTGAAGCTACAAAAGAGCCAGATTTTTGCTGTTTTATCTTTCATGATGTTGATCTATTGCCACAGAGTCCGCAGCATACTTACGGCTGTTCAGAAGAACCCAGGCACATGTGTTCTGCTCTGGATGCATTCCGATATGTGTTAGTTTGCAAAGTTTTACTGTGTTTGGTTGAAAATTATGTATTGTATGTTAGTGTTAAATAGCATTAAGTTTCTAATTTATTAATTTTTTCATAAATATGATTTATACTAAATTGAAAGGAAGTTTCTAAAACATTAAAAACTTCTAATCTTTACTCTGCATGTTTTGTAATTTCATTTCAGAAATTAGAATTTTCTATTTTTATATTAGAATTTTCTTTTCTTTATTATTATTAATTTTGCCTGTTGAGATTATTACCTAGAACCAGCCTGACCACTGCTTACCATTTAAAATTTTATGACTGGTTGCAAAGTTCAGAAACTCTTTTAAGCAAAAATTATGTTAAAAGAAAAGTAAAAAAAGGTGATCAAAGTTAATTAAATATAATGAATAATATTTAACTTTTTATTTTGTATAATTTCAGAGGAAGCTGTAAAGCTAATCTTTCATGTGATACCACATGCACTAATTTGAAATTTTTGTTTCATTATTTACTTTTTTCCCTATATTTCTAGATGATTTCTTATACTATCTTCCATACAATAAATATTTTCTCTAAAGCTAACTTTCCTATGTTTTCTAAATTAAATATTTGTTTTCTGAATCATTATTTGTTGATCAACTAAATAGTACTCTTAATTTTATTGAATGTACTAAAAAAGTTTTTTATTATAAAAGATATTTATTATATAAGTTTTTAAAATTTTAAATATGTTAATATTGAACCTCTACAAGAGTTCATTTCTTGTTTATCAAAATTTACTCAGCTTATTTAAAACAAAATATCTTTTATTACTCTAAAATTTGAATTTTTTTTTTCTTTTTTACACACTAGTCCTTTCCTATACTAGCCTTAATTGACCCTATATAAATAAGATATATACTGTTAAATTAGAAAGTCATAATGTTTATTGTCTTAAAATGTTCTATTCTTTTATATATTTATTTATTTTAATTTTATTCTTCCTAATTTTATATTATTTTATAGATTACCATATCCTGAACTATTTGGTGGTGTGGTTGCTTTTACAAAGGAGCAGTTTTCGACAGTAAATGGATTCTCAAATCTTTATTTTGGTTGGGGTGGTGAAGATGATGATCTTTATGAAAGGTAAAATTTATTGAGATGCTATTACTAATACAGCCTGTTGGTGTAATTTTGCATTAAATTCTTTCCTTTTTTTGAATAAAATGTTTTTTTTTCTATCCCAAACATTTAACTTTATTTTATAATTTCTGTTTCATCATTTTTTTCATATCAGTAGCCTAATTGTCACGCTTTTTAAGAAATTAGAAAGTTGTGTGTTGGGGAAAAATTACTGTACTTGCCCAAATTTGAAACACCATCTATTAATAATTCATCTAAAATTAATTATTCATCCGATTAAAAATTTTAATGATGTCTTTTAAACTAATTATGTATGAAGCATGACTTACTACCTATATCAATTTGTTACTTAATCTTTATTACTTTCTTTTATGAATTTTTCTATTATTTCTGGCAGAACGTTGTTTGTATTTACTAAGGTATTAATTCATAAAATGTATAAAATAAATTATTTATTATTGAACGTTTAAGTTAGGTGTGCGCTACCTGTTGAAGTGGAGCATAGAAAAAAATTTCACTTCCAAGTGCCACAGATGTAATTTTTATATTATTTGATAATAATTTAAATATTCTTTCGTTCAATTCTTTTAACACCTATACATTTTATAATTTTTTTCATAATGATTTTTGTCTTAAATAACTATGTTAAGAAAAAAAAGCTTTAAAAATTTTTATGTTATGTTGTATTTTTTTAATTAATATTTGGATGGAAGGTAAGATGTAACCCATTTCCCATTCTGTGATATTCAAAGAGCAGAATTTTGTCTACAGACAGCAAATTGTGACAACCAACAAATTCAGTGTCGCAATAAAATGCACCAAGAGGATGAAAACATGCGGTTTCAACCCATGTTATGTAGGGTGTCTTTATTCATAAAAGAGAAAGTTCAATGTATCTCTTGTTTACTCTTTATGTTATTAGAGATTCTTATTTTATCATATTCAATAATCTTCAGAAAGTTTATTTAATTTTACTAATAACAAAACATATTAATATATCTATATATGCATTTTGCAATGAATCATGATGGTGACCTGGTTTTAAATTTTTTTAGCTAATTATTTAATAAAATATGCATTTTATAATTTAAGTAAATTTTATTAATGAACACAAAATATGTAATGATAGACTTATTTTCTATGATTTACTAAGTATTTTTGTTCTTAATGAAATTCTATGTTTTATTACTTTCTTTAAATGTAGGCTAAATGCAAAGCGAATGAAAGTTCGACGTTATGCCCCATACATTTCAAGATATACTGCTTTGTTTCATAAAAAAGAGGTTCCAAATCCAAACAGGTATTGAAAATGTTTAAGCAAACTTAAGCAATTTAACTAATTTTTTTTCTATTATGTCTCTATTGCGAGTATTTTAAATTTATTGGTACACTGCTTGTTTTAATGTATATATTATTCTAATGTTATAACTTAAAGAGTACAAAAGTCTGATTTTATGTAACACCAATCTCTTTTAAAAACTTAATATCAGTTATTGTTTGAATTTTTGACTTTTATCATTTAATGTAAATCAAATATTTTTCACTTAGCACTTTTTTAGTGTAATATGTGAATTTAATATCTCTCAGTTAACCCCTTAACTGCCGCGGGTGTATATATACATCTCGGCCAGACAATGCATTAACTGCCGCAGGCATATATCTACGCTTTCCCGAAGTACGATGCTTTGCATTGCGCTGCTATAAATATAACTACGCCCCTGATTTCTAAACCCAGTAAAATGACCTCGAAAGTGTTTGCAATGATTCACTACCAATTTCGGAAGGATGTGTTAGGTAAGTGATATCATCGTATTTATTGCTTGTATTTTTCTATGTGAGGAAGGTTGAGTTTATTCTTCTTTCGCTTTCGTTTCCCGTGTATATTCGTCGTGAATCCCGCTATCGGTGCAATAAATGTGATATTGGTTTATGTGTCCAACCATGTTTCAGGATTTATCATACAACAGCTAAGTTTTAACATCTTTTATTTTTTATTTTATTGTATTGCATTTTATTTTCTATTTTTCCTTTTTCTTCTCTTGCGAAAGTAAACTGTTTTTAAATTGCAAAGCATGCATCTTCCCCCCCCCCCACCAAAACATGTGTAACAAATCGCACTTGAGCGAAAAACGGTGGCACTGGGGATTGAATCACGTAAATTTTACTCGGCAGGTAAGGGGTTAAGTCACCCCAATGATTGAAAGGGAAAAAAACACAGAAGATTTCGATCTTGGCATGGAAAGAAAGAAAATGAGGTATTAATGTGAAAAACCAGTAAAATTTCAAAGAAAAAAAATGGCAGTTATGGCAAGAATATTGAGGCAAGTGATTAAAAGGAAAGGGAAAAAAACTCATTCAAGTATCCTTCTATCACAGTGAACCAAACTGTCCCAATATGACATTCTTGACAAAAGAAAAATATATGTATAATAATGAAAGCTTTGCGGCTTCCTTCATTAGGCGTATCGTTGATAGTGGAATGTATGAATGTTCATTTAGGCCAATATTGAATGAATAAAACAATAACAGTTGAGTTTCCAGGAAATAATGTACAAATCGTTGAATGTAAATTTAGGTTTTATTAATCATAACTTAAGATTTCGATAGTGGCCACTTCATCAAAAAAATAAGAAATCCCTTAAAGGGATGAAATAATAATACTCTCTATTGAGAGATCATAAAGCCAGAACAACATTTCTGACCGTTAGAAAATTAAGACTGGGAGTCCCCCGAAGGGGTCCCAGCCTCTCCAATTTAGAAATTCAAAGTGAATATATTTATTCTCAACGGACAGAGAAAGAGTATGGGTAGGAGATCCAAAATTTGGCGATTTATCATAATATATCATAGCCAAAAACAAAGCCAACTAGCATATCCACATGGGTTAAAAAGAACACCTTGGCGATCACGAGTCGCCAACAAATTTATGTGAATTATTATAACCATGCAACCGAAACATTTAGCCGTTGGAAAATTAGAATAAAAAGTTATAAATAGATTTTTGTTTTCGATTAGAGGCGACAGTGAATTTATATGTCTGCATAATAATGAAATAAAAAGAAAGTATCCGTTACATTGATCTGGAAGAGAAGAAATAAATATTTTATGTTCGCTTAAAAAGATTAAGTTTTTGATTTATTTTAAAAGTAATTCTATTAATAAAAATAAGCTTAAGTAATGAAGGATATTTTAAAAGATAGAAAATAAATATGTGTATGCCAATTCTGGCATCACAATATGTATTTCACTCTATTCCATTGTCCTAATCTATTAAAAATGAATATCTAGAAACCTCATATCACTTGGAAATATATTTAGAACCTTTAAGTAAAATATTCGAACTAAATCTTGTAAATATTTATCTCTCATAAAAAATATTTGGAGAAAGCTACTAAAATGTTTGTTTGAGTCCACACTTATTTTTCAGAATGCAATAAAATTGTTATTTAAGCAATTCAGCAAAAGATTTGACCAATTGAAAAACTTGGAACTGACTATTAAAATATTGCTCACAGTACTTTGGCATTAAAGAATTACCAATAAATCTGAAATGATGATTTCGAGATTAAACTTAACAAATTAACTTGAATTCATATGTTTGTTGACTTAATGTCATGACTTAAAATTACGAAATAAAATTCCAAAGAATGAAAAAATAACTATAAATTAGAAATCAATTTTTAATTTCATAAAATGTTATGGCTTTGTTTACAATTTTTCCATTTATATTTTTTTGTAAAACTGTATTCTCAGTATTAAACGATGCGAAAATTTATCAAAGAAAGCGACTAACAGATGAAGTCAATAGTCATTTGATAATTGAGATTTTTCTGTATCACTCATAACTGGCAGTTTATTGAGCCTGTGACATACTACGAATGAGTTAAAAACGGGGGTTAGTAAAAACAAGATTTAAAATGTAGGATCGATCCAAAATATATTAGTTGAAACAAGAACTAGGTTAGTAGAAACGCGGTTGCACGCCATCTTTTAGAGGCTCATACAATAAAACTTGTTTGTCGTATACAAATTACAGCTGTACTCCAGCTACCATGAATAGATACAGGAAGCACAGATTGTTATAAAAGTAGTACAACAAATACTATAAACATGTACAGAAAATATATTTTGCTGTAGAGGAAGCACAACCACTAAGGACAATTTAAAGTAAATCTTAACTCCAAATTCCCACCTAGATCTCCATTCTGTGACACAATTCAGCATATTTCCTGTGTTACTATTGTCAGGAAATCCAGCAGAAAGAATCAGGGTTAGCTCTCAGCACTTAACAACTCCAAGATATGCATTCCTCTACTTAAAGTCATATAGGCTGAAGAATTCATTTTTCCATCATATTAGCACTCCACCTGTTTGCATCTGCCAGTCGCTAAGCATAACACTGCTGCCCATTGTAAGTTATGAATGGAAGAGAGCGGTGAGAAACAAACACCCTATGATAATTATCCCTCTATATAATTTGCATAACATTGATGCCAGAATCTTTAATGTTAAGTATTAAAAGATTATTTAAAAATTTAAATTTATGTTAATTAAATACTTAAGAGGTGCGATGCTACTGCTCTGCCACCTAGCGAATCACCACAAACTTCCTAAAGACAACAAAACAAACAAATCAAAATTCAAGTAGCAAAACCCAAATTTCGATGAGTGACATCAATTGATCAATGCTTGTGTTTGTTGATTTTTTACTAAATTTTATGGAATTTTCCATTCTACATTTCTTTCTCATCAAATATCACAGAAAATGCTTTTCTTTTTTTCCCATTTTTGTCTTTTTATTGCAAAAAATCCACCAGCTTAAGATTCAGTTGAAGCTTATGCTCTGAGTGTTTTGAAATATATTAATTTTTATGAACATTCAAAATTCTTTTTGTTTTATTCTTTCTTAATTATTAAACTTTTTTAGGCATGAACTTTTGAAAAAGGGTAAAGAACGCATGGAAGTGGATGGATTGAGTACCTTGGATTACAAAATACTGTCCTCAGATTTCCACCCTTTGTATACCCGTATCTTAGTTGATGTTGACCCGAAGTAACTTGGGTTTTTTTTTCTAGTCATTCTAAAATAAATTAACAAGTTTGCTTTTTATTAACATAAGATTTTTATTGTACTTTTCTTTTTGATGATACATGAAATATAAATAGTGATGTTTAGTGGATGAAGTTGGCTTGCTTGTATCGCCATATATCAGCATTGCAGGGATGCTTGTAACCACTGTTAAAAAAAAAAAAATTAGCAGTGATATTTTATTTTTCAAGTACCATAAATTTTATTTCATTCATGAAAAAGAGGATAAAGTTACATGTATATAATGCTCAAATTGAACATATTACTTTATAGTTCATAATTTTATTGTAATTTATAAAAAATCATTGGCTGTTCAAAGTAATTGTCTCAGAGGCAGTGGACTGAGGTTGGTTTATATTTGTTAAAATGTATTTACTGGTATATATTTCCTTAACAGCATTTGCAATTGTTTGAGAATAGTTAAATATGGACAGGTTTAGTAGTTAGTAAGTTGACAAATCAATTTGAACCATTACTTTTAAATTAGAACTATCTATTAAAATTTAAATATTGCTTATAATGTACCGATTTCAATATATTTAAATTTTTTATAAATAAAAAATATTTATCAATCATTACATAAGATGCTCTTATTTTAACAAATTCATTTTGAAAATTTTTATTTATACGTAAATATTAAATCCATCTTTACTCAGAGGTAATTTTATGATAGTTGAGTTTTGTCAATTTTTATTAGAACTTAGCTTTCTTGTGCTCACATCAATTATTTAACTGACTTCTTTTTATTTAACTAAAAATAAATCAATTCATACTACAGACAATCTTGTTTTGACAAAATCATTCTGAAAATCACCGTTAAAAAATATATGTTAAAACTTCTTTAGTTAGTGATCATTTTATATTTTAGTTTTTTAATTTTTTTCTAGCTCTTAACTTTCTTGTTATATATGTAATTAATTTAAATAGTTCTTTTTATTTAACGAGAAAAAAAAATCCTTACTTCAGACAATGTTGTTTTGACAAATCCATTCTGAAGAAGATCTTTCTTTTCAAAAGTGCCTAAGGAAAAAGAGTAAGCAATATTTTAATTTTCTCTAATTAGTGAAAATATGATTTTAAGATTAGTCATTTAATTAAATTTTAGAAAAAATATCAGAATTGTAACTGCATTCAAGTATATAGTGTATTATAAACTCTTTAATGTTGTGCACATGTTTTTTAATAAAATAAAAAAAAGAAATCACAAAGATTTATCTGATTGTTATAATTGTAGTTTCTTCTCTGTTAAAAATATATAAATATGTGCCTTTGTTACAGCTAGTTATTTACCAAAATGTATTTTTTGAAAATGTAAGATGATGAATATTTCAAAAGTTATTGCGTCCATTTTTTGTTACACTCATAATTCCTGTAAATAGATTAAATTGTTGCTTTGTATGCATTATAAAACACACAATTTTTAATATAATTGATAAAACCTGATTTAGGATAATAAGATTATAACTTCTTATTTTTGCAGAAAAAAATTTCTTTTATATTACCTGTCATTTTAATAATAATTAAAAACTTATAAAGAATAGTAAATTCTCAAAGTATAATTTTATATGTAACATAATTTTGTTATTTTCTCTGGGAAATTTATGATTTTTCTGAATAAAAGTTATTAAAATGATTTAAATTATGTCGATTTTAGCTATTTTATGAATTGATGTTAATTTTTATTTGTGATAATGGACACTTATTCATAAATTCAATTGCAAAAACATTATTATGCTTTCCTTGTTCATTAATGTGCGATGTGTTTTAAGCAATTCACCGTTAAACAATTATCTTTTTATTGTTTACATTAAATATACTGCAATTTCCTTCCTGCAGTTTGGAAATTAATTTAATAGAATTGTTTGTCTTATTTCTGATGTGAATTTTATTTTGAATAGAAATCTTTGTATGTTTGCTAAGCTCTTTTTTTTCCTTCTAAATTTAGAACTTGTTTTCTATATATTTACCGTGTCCATATATTTAACTAACCATATATTTAACTAACCGTGTCTATATATTTAACTAAGCTTGATTAGTTTGGAAAGTCTTATGTGCTTGAAACTTAAATTGCAAGAATATTGTAATTCATTATAATAAAAGTTACAAAATTTAATATTCACTATCTCTATCACATTAACTTGTCTATTTTCTGTCCAATAACAAGTCTATTATCTTTAAACTGATTTTTATTTTGAAAACATAAGAGTATTATAAAAATATTTCTTCTATCATGTGGACATTATTATATAAATATTTTTATAGTGCCAAAAGATAAAAATACTGAAATTTTTTTCTTTTTTTTTTCCATCTGATGTTTCCTTGATAAATGTTAACCTATGTAAATTACGTTCATACTTTCTTGTACTTTAAGTGCATTCTAATGCTATATTCTATGTAAATCTCCTTCATCTTTCATAATTACATTTAAAATATGTCATCTTACATAAATATCATCCTACTTATGTGATGCTTGTTAAAAATTATTTCAAGCTGATCTAAAGTTTAAAAATTACAGCTTAGTTTGAATATAATTGTGTATTATTGAATGTGATATTTTGTCTACCAAACATACTATCGCAGCATTATTTTTGCAAATTAAATTTAGAATGGTTTTATATTTATGATGATGAATTTAGTGCTTTTCTGTATTATATTATGGTGATGAGAATTATTTTGTAAATATTAACAATTGTTACATAGTTTAGTCATTTAAAAAAATGTCATATTTGTTTTATGTTTTAAAAAGTAATTTATAAATGTTAAGCATTTTGTTATTTGTTAATTTCTTTTTCATTTTTTTTTTAACATTTATATTTAATTTTCTGCTTATGAGGTGAGCTTTTACTTAAGTTGTGATGATTGTGTATTGAACTAGATTGTAATAAAAATTTCTGGCAATATTTTAATTCTATTGATGGATCTAAAAATAAATTTATTTAGTATTCTGGACAATCTGTTCCCTTTGCTATATGAATTTCTGCTTTAATATGTTTTACTTTTTGTTGGAAGCTGCAAATTAAAAATCTGATCTCAATTTCTGTGTCTTTGAATGAGCTCATCCATTTAAAGTATTTACTAAATTATTTTAATTACATTCTTATCTTTTTTTGTGTCATTTTCTCAGTTTTTGCACTTTTAAAAGAAATAAAACTTTTCTATTATATTATGATCTCATAATATGGCATAAGTTTCATTGTTTCAAATTCATGAAAGGTTATTACATGTTGGTATGGAGTATTATTATGTGTTGAAGTTTTATCACGAAGTATAAAACTATGTGAAAACTTTTTTTTAATTAAATGTTGGATTTCAGTAAATAAAAAATTTTAAAAATATTAAAATTGCACCCATACAAATAATAAAAAAAATATATCAAAAAAATTACAATTTCTTTTTCTCTTAGGATATGAATCCTTCTTAATAGATAACATTATCATTGTAAAACATTTATAAAATTACAAATTTTTCTAGAGTCTCTTAAAATATCCGGAAAAAATTGGCAATTTAGTCATTCAGAAAAATATCGTTCTTGTTCAGAAAAATATTTCACAATACATCTCTCATTCATCTTAATTTAGAAAATTATTTTGATACTTACCGAATGCTACCATGAGATGTAAAATGCATAAAACAAAATCTCCAAACCTCAATGTTCCATCTTTTCTCATGTATCTTAGCACTAGCAAAGATAAAGCATCAATGTTTACTTGGAAACCTAAAATTAATGGTCATTTTTATTATATAAAATTAGCTTTTACATCTAATTCAGTGTCAACTTTTAGTTTTTAACAAATGAAAAACTTTTCTAAAAAGTAAGTTCTGCCACGATATTTAAAAAAAATTATTTTTTTACAAAATAAAACTTTAAACTATGATGTTGTAATTATTTTTTACTGAAAAAAAGTAAAGGCAGTGATCTCACTTATTTGCAATAGTGAATCAAACACGTCAAAAATCGTACAGGGGACTACAAATAAAGTTACTATGCATCCTTTAGGATGTGTAATTATTCTCCATCAAGAAAATAATAATAGTGCAGCAGATCTGAATCAGCAAAATTTAAAAGATTACTATATTTTCATGCTATTTTTCTATGACACAAGATCAGTTCTAAATAAAAACTTTGATTTCAAACATTACTCTCATCTTATTTAGAATCCTTATAAATGTAAATATTTATTGATAATAGGATATGAAGGTATATAGAGAATTTACCTGCTCAATATCACTAATTATTTATTTATTTTTATTTTTTTTTTGTATTCAAAATTACTTTTCTTCTCCTTTCTCTAGGTTTTTTTTTAAATGTTTGAAACATTATTTGAAGTAAAAACTTATATTGTTTCTTGTAGAATTAAAAAAAAAATTGTAATTTAAATAGTAAAAAAAGATGCAGAAATTTGGAAATCCTGGGTCGTTAGGGTCCATAGTTTCGAAAGTCTAGCAGAACCACTTTAAAGGAAATATGTCTTAATTAATATTTTATCACCTTTTTTTATTAAATAAAGGTTTGTAGCTAAGCTGAATATTATTGATTAAAATTTTTTTTTCTTTTGAACTAAATAATTCAATATACAAAACAATGAGACTTAGTTGACCAAATTTGACATATAATAACACCCAGATAAATTAAGATATCTCATTTATCTTGATAGCAATACTTTTATGTAGCATTGCTCTACCCTTTTAACTGCAAGTTTAATTTATACAAATATTTTTAATGTTTTACTTCATTTACTTTTATATATTTCCATGCATTTTTTTTTTGCATGTAATACTCATATTTTCTTCTACTCTTAATATTTTTTAATAGTTTGATGTGGGGTTTTTTTCCCACATGCAATTTGGCTCATTTTTTCTAAAGCAAATACTACTTCATGTGCTGCTGCAAAATCTAAAGACAACAGGACTAAACAAACTTATATTTTATATCTAATTTAGTCAGATAATACCCATTCATTTTGTAAAAAATATTAAATAAATGCAATATAAAGCCCTAATATTTATAACAGAAAATGTATTTAGCAGGGGCTATGGTTGTCCTGATATCCTTAATAAATATTTTGACCTGATTTTTAACTATCTGACCTGATTTTTGCGTGTGTTCAGAGCATTATATTTTCTGCAGATTGAGATTTTGAAATAATCAATTTGAAAAATCGAAGGATTTTGAATGTCCTTTTATTTATATTTATAATGCTTTTAACAATTGCAAAAATTTGATAGCTCTAAGTTGAAAATGTTTCACTAATTGTGTACATAAATCAAGCATCATTCATTCAGATCACAAATCAACCAGATTCACAAATCAACCAGATCACAAATCAACCATTTCATTGTTTCAAAATTGTTTAGTGTGAATTAAAAATTCATCATTAAAAATTTTCCACTATCAAATTTTTAAGATGATGAATTCTGGAGTCGAACACTTATTTATAAATGTTGCCAAATGCAGTAACAAATCTTGAAGGGTGGAGTTTTGTAGCTTTGCAATTATTCCCGTGTCTCTTCCATCCAATTTTAAAATAAATTGGTCACAATACAGTAAGTCTGGAATTTTTAAACATTGAATTGAGGAATTATCCACTAAGTTACTTTTGCACATAAATGTTAAGTGGCATATTTACTGTATTTTCATTTGGAGATTATTGAAACCCTTTTTTAAAATTATTTGATTAAAAAGTTTTAATCTGGATTTCTAATTTTTATGAAATATTGATGTAAGGAAAGGTTAACTAATTGATGCCAGTTATTTATTTATTTATTATGCTACAGTACTTTACAATAAAAAGTGGCTATATATATATCTTAAACTGTTATTAGTTGTTAGTTCTCCATTAGAAAATTATTCTGGAGCTGTTAAAACTTCCAGATCAAGACACATCTACTCAGAAATTAAAAATGTATTTTAGTGTATTGCTGCCTGATTGTATTTTGCTATTTTTTTGCTGTAATTTGCCTTTATTTTATTTAAGTAGAGCAAATTATTATTATTATTTTTTTTTTAGCTTGTTGTTTGTCCTTTTTAAAAGTAGCCTGATTGGTATATATAAACTGAACCAAAAAAATATCCTGTTTATTGAATGAAATATTGTCCTGATTTTTTTCTCGGACCCATTGAGGTATTTGTCTTTTTGTCTATATACTTGTCTCTAATTCTATACTCAATTTTTGCGTAATGTTGTTTTATTTGTATTTTTACTGATGTTTTTTTTATATAAATATATATGTGTGTTGTTAAAAGTGAATGCACGCCCCAAACATTTCCCAGTACAGTAATTATTTATTATTAGTATATCTTTCTTTAGAAGTTTTTAATTTTAACATTTAAAAATTATTTTAAATTTCCTAATATATTTTTAAACTTATATTGAAAAAAATTTGCATTTCATATTCAAAAATGTGTAAAAATTCAATTCATATATATAAATTATTTTGCATTAGCTTAATGAAGAGACAAAAAGATTTTAAAAATTCAACACTGACTGGTATGGATATAAAGTGCTCTTGTAAGGAATGACACTTTTATTTTTTTATGAGCCCCAAGCCAGTACAAATTTAATTTTATATGTTATTTATTAATTGCCATATAAGCAATTTAATTTGCAGATTGTATTCAAATTTGATAAAGTTTGGATATAATTCAGAGCTGCTAACTTTCTATGCTTTTTGGGTAAGTTCCAAGTAGTAGCTAAGTTTTTTTTTATATATGATTCTTTGATTTGTGTGATTTAATGTTATTTTTCTCGCTGCTACATGTAAATTATTCAAAACATCATCTTAATACCACTTACCCGCTCTCCTATGGCGAGGCTTTTAAATATTGGGAAAATTGCCAAATATTCTTAAAGCTGTATATTTAATTCGTTCCCACTAAATAAAATATTTTTCAAAATGCGTAGTAGTTGACAGCCCTGGTAATTGTTTGTGTTTTGATTTAATTTATAAATTTGTTCTTTTAAACATTGAAAATTGCCTGTTTAAACTTAAGAACAATGAAAGATTTCTTTGTAAATGGTGTTTTTCTTTTTTCCATTTCCTTTGAAATTTGTTTTAAATAATTTATTTGTACAGTTTTGTAAATTACATATTTGTTCTGTATAGTTGTAAATAATGTATGTTATAAATCCTATATATGAAAAAAAAATCTGCCCAATATTCTGTAGTATTATTCTTGTTGGTATAATAAATCGTTTGCTTATATAATATATTGGTCACCTAGTTATTAATATGTCTGTCTAAACTACTATTTGTTTTAATTTTTTTTTCCTGCCACCCTGGCCCATATGTCTGGCACTTTGCCCCATAATGGTTATGCTTAGTAAGGAAAATTAATTCTGCAATTTCTCATTTACTTGTTAAGTTTGGGTTAAAAACTGAAAAGGTGCGTTTTTTCATTGTGTTTATTTTTGGAAACAGGTCTTTCAAACTGTGTCCATTTTTTAAACACATAGTCTGAACTGTGTCCATCTTTTTAAACACATAGTCTGAACTGTGTCCATTTTTTTAGACAAGCATTTCTAACTACGTCCATTTTCATAAGCACAAGTGTCGAACTATGTCCAGATTTAAAAAATATCTGATGATAAGCAATACCATTAAATGAAGTTTAAATTTTTCCAATACTAAAATAAATATTCTTAAAAAAAAAACTTACCAACATCCATTAAAGCTCCTCGTAATTTTTCAGCTCGAAGTATACCTGAAGATCCCCTACTGTGACTTCGAAATATTGTCTAAAAGGTATAAACGTAAGATATTTAATTTTCAATTTAGACTTATTATATTTAATTATATTTCAAAGCTGTTAAAAATGTTTAAACCCATGCAGTGCTGTTTATTTTTCATTTACATAATTACATGAATGCTCCTTAGAAATAAAAAAAATCTAATTTCAAATTTCAAAAATTGTGAGAATTTTTTTTTTTAAATTAAGCTTTTTTACAACATTGTGAGAATTTTTTTGTTAAAGTTTAAAGTTAAAAATTATATAAATTAAAATTATTGTAATTCTTACCAAGATAGTTAATTTTAATATAACATACCAGCTCCTATGTCATACAAATGGCGCATTATAGAAATAATTTTGTTTATACTTAGAAAAGTTCTAAGTGAAAATTTTGATACTGATCTTCTAAACGATTATTCCTATCAATTTAATTTTGATCTCATTCAATTCAACTTAAAGCAATACATAGAATTCGTTATTTCCTTTGTCCATATAGTAATGTAAGACTCGATATGCAGTTATAAGTATAAAACTGTACTTATTATTAACATTCAAAAACAATAAAAACTTTAAAACTCTTACATAAAAACTATATTACACAAAAACTTTTAAACTTCTTGTCCCATCAACATTGATTCGGTTTTATTCGAGTTAACTTAAAAGATAAATTCAAAACAATGCCTCACAAGTATAAATAAGTATTCCTGATATTAAATAGATATAATAAATTATAATTTGTTATGCTTCATACTTTTTAAATTCCTAATAACTTTAGCATTAATCTTTTGATTAATACTTATGACTTGATTATGGTGTCATTTGATTCAGCAAAAAAAGTGAGAGGAAACAATCCCCTCAATTGTTTGAATAATAATGTTTAAGACCCCTTCCCTTTAGTATATTCAAGAGTATATGGTATATGGCAGTTAAAACTCTCTTTAAGGAATGACAGGGTGCGTAGCGTTTTTAAAGGTGCTTATTTTCACTTTTTAAAGGCCCTTTAAGGTGCTTTTTTCATTAGGTGTTTTTAAAAAGTGCTTAATTTTTCCTTTTTCAAAATGAAATTTTTCCTTCACCATGATTTTTGCTACGAATTATGCAAAAAGACTCAGTTCACATTGTTCTATTTAACGTTTTCACAATTAATTCGACCCCAATCTATTCGACGTATTGTCAGTTCGTAGCGTATGAAAACGACATTTGTTTTACATAATTCAAAACTTCATGATTTTTGACAATTGTCCAGAACAATCTCATTTTTTTGGACATGACGGTTAAAACTAGATAAAACCGTCAATTGTCAAAAACTTTCCAACCCTGCCTATATTATGATATTTTTTAAAGTGCTTAAAAATATTTTTGAGTTCTTAAAAGGTGCATATTTTTTGTTGAATAATTTGGCTACCCACCCTGAATGATTCACAAACTTCAGGTTTTCTTATTAAGGCAAAACCACAATTTTTAAAACAACTTTCAGTTTTACCCAAATTATGTATACACTCAACTACTTAAGTACTGGCTGATTATTTTTCTAAAATATTTTGTGCTCTAAGATTTATAGCCATATCATACAGCCCCGATTATTCTTCAATTATACAATTATAGAATATTCATTGAAAATTGCAAACCATACTTGTACAGTTATGAAAAAAATAAAAATTTAAACTTCCTTTGCAATGGTGCAAAATTTCTTATAGCCAAGAGTTTTTGCAGTTTTCGAAAATCGTGATCAAGAGTTTAATACATGTTTATTTATCCCTTTGAGGACAAATAACTGCTTTTTATAAGGTGAAACATTTTATGCCCATTCAATCTCGTTAAAGGTCTTAAATGCTTAAAAAGTTTCAATTTTTTTAATTTTGTATACTAGAGCATTCTTAGTTACAAATTTGACAAAATGGAAATAAAAATTCTCTATACAGACCTGCCATAATTTTAGACTGCACATCAAATTTTTGTAATCTTGGTATTTCAACCTTCCACTCCCACTTTTCTAGAAATTAGTTATGAATAATATTCAATGATTGAAATGTCTATTTTTGAAAATCAAAATAATAATATATCATTTGAGATAGTGTGGGCTGTGATTTTGTATTTAGCTTTTGTTCCTTGAATGGGAACTGTCTCTTCATTATGAGTACCGCATATTTCTTAACTTTTTATCTTCATTTAATTTGCATTTAATCCATTTCTTTGTAGAAAATAACTTTCAAGTTCCTTTTTTTTTCATGTTGATGTAGATGAGCAAAAATGAAATTCTATACATAGATATTCTTTTTGTAACTTCTGACGCATTTTACCCACATAAAAAATTCAAAACATACATTTTTAACGTCCTTTATTTATTTTATTTTTTTGACTATTTTTTTCAAATTTGACCTTTCTGTTTTATTGGTTTAACTTCATTCTTTTGATTAATTGCCAAATAGAGATGCCTAAGCTGACGTCACTTTGCTAACCTGTCCGCTGGAAATCCATCAATTATCAATCAGTTACAGAAGCAACCAATAGGAATACGAATTGTCCGATAGGAATAGTGCAAACTCAAATTGATTTAGTGATAGAGGAACACTAACCTAGTTCAGCCTCTGACTTGGAAATCTCTATAAAGAATCTCTCTCTGTGATGGTGTCGACTACATTCTCCCAGTGACATAATCTAGTGTTATACATAGAATCGAGATTAGAGACTTCTTTACCCGTAATTTAAAGCGTTACGAGCAGAGTATATCTGATTATAGTTTATAAAGAATAATAACTGGAGCTAAAAAATAAACTTTAGTACGTTCGTTGAAAAGATAACATGTTTCTAGTTTATTTTATAAAAGAAGGTACTATTGAATAACTTCATCAAAATTTAATTTAGCAGATGGTGTTGCTTCCAGCTCCTTGGAACTGTTTCCTTTAGCGTAATTATTTTTGAAATTATGAAATTCAAATCTATTATTTATATTTTGAAACAACTGTCTTCTGCGGATTCTATTTAGAAATGTATATTTAAAGGTAGAAGAAAAAACTATTACATGTTTTCTTTAAAAAAATAATAATTGTATTAAGTTTTTTTTTTTGCTTTCTTCGTATTCCATATTCTTCATAACCTAATAAATAGTGAATTATGTTTAGCTGGACATCTACAATCAAATAATTCTTCATCAACAAATATTCTTTGCCAAAGTATTGATTTATTTATGTAAATTATATTCTTTATATGAGTTTAAATGTTAGTTTTTAATTGCCCTAAATTGTAGAATGCTGTAGAAAAAAGGGTCTTAATTTATTTAATACAAGAAAAAAAAAACTTAAAGTTTTAAACAGAAAATTTTATTTCTAGATATGGTTATTGGCCTAATAGCTTTCAAGAGATTATTAATTATTTGAAAATTAATAAACAAATAATGACAAAATTGTGCAACGAAAAAGATTTTTAATTGAATCCAATATTTCACTTGAAAAATCTTGTCTGTCTTACAAAAAAGAAAAAAAATTCTTTGAAGGTAGTCAAAATATCGTTATTTTCTAAAAATTCTGCACTAAATTACTTATATACCAAAGAAACTTTATCTCCTTCAAGCATGGAATATTGCTTACAAATTACAATGGACAGTAACGAATTCGGAAATTTGTACATAAATATTTGTGTTAGTATTAGAAAAAGGATACATCAAGTGCTAGAATTATCTGTCTGCAAACTTCTAGGGTGGCACAACTTTTTACGTAATCTGAAATAAAAAGTAGCATTTTTATAACTCCTAAAATCATCCGGAAAAAATTAAGAAAAAAGTTTTTAAACTTGCACATAAGTTACACATTTTGAATAGTATTAAGCAATTTATAAATCGTAAATGGTGATTCGTATTTACAAATCAAATATCAGGATTTGTATTTAGGTGTTTTTAAAATCAGTATTCACTCGAGTTTAAAATCAATGGTCGCTATTCATCTTCATGCTATTCGTATTCACGATCTAAAAATCATGCATCGCGATTCATATTTATGCGATTTAAAAATCCAACATAGCAGTTTGTATTTTTGCGTTCTTAAAATCCAATATCGTGAATCATATCCATGTGATTTTAAAATCCAATAACGTGATTCTTTTAAGAACTAGGTTTCTTCTTAAATTAGTTGCTGTAAAGTTGTGATATTTTTCATTGGCAGGTAATTTAATAATAAATCTTAGTTTTGAAATTTATATTAAGCATGTATAGTTTATAAATTGGTATCATGATATCAAGTTTATGCACATAACATTTTCAGGGTTTTTCTCTTTGTGTTACAATCACCTTTGGTTTTAATCCACCTTCATTTCAAATTTTTTGAATATTATTCGCAATAACGTATTTTATTTGCTTCCTAAAACTTAATGTCTAAAATTTTATTAGTAGAATTTAGCCTGCTTCCCTTAATTTAGAGAGCTGTTAATTTTTTAAGCTGCTATGTCTAATCTCTAAAAATTAATTTGACAAAAATTATGATTATTACAACTTTTCGCTTTCATGTCTTAGAGGGTACATCTTGCAATCGAAATTTTGACTGATTTCTCACTAACTTGTGCATTTAAATCTTTATTGGAGGTAAGTACTAAAGAATAATGCAAGCTGCAATAGTTCCTGACCGCTACTAACCAGAATTTATCGACATTTTATCCTCAATCGAAATTCCGACTTAGGTTCTCAAATCTCATTTTGATCGCAATTCGCGTTTCAGTTTGTTTCCTAACCCCAACATGCCGAATTTATTGTCAATCTAAAATCCGATTTAAAAAATCTCCTCTGAAACAGTATATCTGGGTGACTAACGCAGGAGTTCCCTAACCATAACAAGCAGAATTTATCAGTAAAAAGAATCTATCTTAATTTCTAACTATTTTAAATGAACTGGACCTCTGTGCATGATGAAAATTCGAGTTTCAATCGTTCCCCCAGCACTATAATCAAAATTATTTCTATAATTAATCGAAATTTCGAAAGTTTCCGATTAGCTTGGGTGCTCAAATTTCAACTGTAGCATTGTGCCTGATTCCAGCCTGAGTAACGCAAATTTTTCGCTAATTGAAATTTTGACCACTTCTGGACATAAACAAATACACGCAGTTCTAAAAAATATAATTTTTAAAAAGCATAAGGCTCGTGACTTGAAAAGCATGAAGGTACTCTTCGGTGTTGATTGAAGTTTATTATGAAGATATTTTCTACTTTTTAATCTATTTGAAAAGCGTATTTTTTATGGAAATGTTATTTTTCATTTTATTTTTGGAAATAAAACATTAATTAACTGCTGTTTAGAGCAACAAAAAAAAAGATATTAAAAACCAGGAATTTTTTATATATTGAAGAACAAAGAATTCTTAACAGGTTACAGAAATATGCGTCGTGAATTTTCTAACACTAAAAAGTATTTTAAATTAATTTTTATGTTATCTAAATGATAAACTGAATATTAGCTGCGATGTTTTACCATTTGGTAGGCATGTCTCTAGCAATTCCAGAAGCTCAAATGCTGAAATGGTCTTGTGTTCATCAGCTAAGCGTAGAAACACTGCTTCATATGAACTAACTTTCTCGTTTGTGGTAGGAGCTTGAATTATGGCTGGTTTCATTGAACTTGGCTGAAAGTCCAGTAGTTTCATTCGAATTGGTTTAGCTGATAACACTCTTAAAGTATAATTAGCTTCTTGGCATGGTTCGAATGTTGTTGGCAAAAGAACATAACACCCTTGTTCTAAATGGCATCGCACAGACAACTAAAATAAGCCAAATATTTTCAAATATATTTTTACATGCATATTTATAGTTCGTTAAAAAATTTAAAATATTGTAATCAAGGCATTTTGTTCCTAAATCTGCTACATCTGTTTTGTTTTCCTCTTTTTCTAAATTTGTTCTTTTTTAGTATTATGCCTATTTATAAATATTCTTAGCAATTTTAATAAAGTAAACATTTTCGGAATGTAGCTCAACCGTTAAATTAAATATGGGTGCGGAGAAAAATAGATCTATTTCATCTCTGTTAGCAATATCAACTTGATTAAAAAATAATATAATTTACATAAAAATAAATGGGTGAAAGTCATCCTAAAATAAATAAAACCACTATGCTTGTCTAGAATACTTATACCACAATCTTAAGATCCTTTCCTTCTGCAAAAAAAAAAAGAAAATGAAATAATGTATGCTCATTATTATGTTATAGGAGAGTGGTTTTAAAACCAATAGCCTCAAGTAAGAAATGGCGTAATTTAAAATAGTAATTGGCTTAAATGAAATTATTTAATTAAAACAAATATTCCGATTTAGTTTTCGTGTAATTCTCTTTCCATTTTGTATCTTATAAATTTCGTATTTTAATATTTCAAAGTAGGTTTTGAGTCAAATTATTATTTTCAGCAGCATCGTAAATTAAATACCTATTCCCTAACCTAATCTTTTTGCTGAACGCACGGAGTTTGAAAAAAAAGGAGGGGGAATGAATCGATAAATCAGTACCGAAATCGTGATTCCAAATTTTAGGACGATAGCGGATACGTTTCTGGAGTTACAAGATGCACACACAAATCCTTCATTTTTATTGTTATAGATAAAATAACTAAATCACAAAACTTTTTCCTGATGTAGTTTTAGGCTTAATTGCAATTATTTATTCAAATTGAAAAATCATTATTATTTAAATTATTTTACTTGGCGACTATTGCTGTAAGGAGAGTTCAGTACAGATCTATTCACTTTGAAGAAAGATTTTCCTAACACATCTGATGTGGGCTTGGACATCTGAAAATAATGTGTGCAAGTAAATGAACCTGAAACTCAAAAAACTTAATAATTATAATAAAATAAGATGTATTTTTGTGTTTGAGTTTTTCTTTTACCTGGTAAACGCTGAAACCAATAACCCTTGGTTCCATGACAATATGCTGTGATAAACATATGACTAGGTCTTGAGCTTCACCAACGATTATCTGCATCTGTGGGTTTACGTGGAATGTATCTAAAAAAAAGCGTTCCTTTTATAATTGGCGCCGAAAAGAAAATTAAGATTTTATATTTTCATTTTAACTTATAATGTAACTAGTTTGAATTATATAGACAACTTAGTTGACAGTTATTTTAACGAGACTGCAGACCTGATCCTTAAACTTACAAAGAGTTCTGACGCACTTTTAAAAATGAATAAAAAATAATAGAAAACAGTGCAGGAAAATAGCAACACTCTTTGCCCTTAACATATACAGCGTACCTCTTTAAGCTTAATTATAGTTAAATGATGAGCTTATCGTTTGGTTATTTTTATGTTGTTTGATTTTAAATTTTTTGGTTGTTTGATTTTAAATTTTTGAAACCTGTAATCGTTTGGTTATTTTTATTATTTTAATTCTGTAAAATTCTTGGATATTTGTTTTAGGTAGATACCGAGTGTTAATGAAGATAAAAGTACATTTTTCTTAGCATTTAAAATAAACTATGATTTGTTTTAAATATTTTAACATCTGTTTCTTGCATAATCTAGATTTTCCTTGTTTCAAAATTTATTTTTACGTTAAATGCAGTACTTACTTATATGATTAATATGGATTCTGAATCCTTTTAAACTAACAGAAGAGTAGATATACAGGAAAGTGTTATTTCTTATGAGGTATAACGTAAATGTTTTTCGATTAACTATCTATATCGAATTTTCTTTTGCATATAATGGAATTAATTTATCATATCATAGAATTGAGTAAGAAGGAAAAAAAGGGTAGACGGGCTCCACTATAAATTATTAAAAAAGAAGCTTTTTAAATTGCATTATGACTCTAGAATGGAACTTTTCCTTACGTATTATCCACCTTTGACGCTGACTTTAAAGTCATTACAATCTAAATCTGCATTAATTAAAGTCTGTAAAAATATTTAAAGAACTGTATGATGTAAAAACGAATATCGGTAATTGCATTATAAGGCTAGAATGAAACTTTTTCTTACGTATTATTCACCTTCGACACTGACTTCAAATTCATTGCAAAGCCTGTATTTTTGCAAAAATATTTTTAAAAAATTTTATTGCATATCTGATATTTCTTTACCACGAAGTCTTTAATCAAGGGAAAAAGACAAGTTCAAATTTGCATTAATTAGAGTCTGCAAAAATATTTAAATAATTGTATGATATAAAAAAGAATATCGACTGTACCAGAATGGTTTCTACATCCTCCAGCATTAACACCTTTCTGCCAGTGACCGTGCCACAACTTAATGTGCCATGGATCTCTGTGCTTAAGAGTGGATTCTGCTTTACTCGTGTCAGCATCCAAATGGACCACTTCCAGAGCAGTGAAGATCGTCATAAACTCCTCTAAAGGCATGCTGTTTCACAAAACAAATATTATTAGTTTAGGCTACACATTCATTCAGCGAGATATATAACTAAATTATTAGCCCAGGCAAATGATCTGAATTAGTAAGTAAATTATAACTATATACCGTTCAATGCAGTTACACCATTTCTTAAAAGTATAGTTTTCCGACACGCGTACCTTTCCATTAAATATTGAAAAATATATTGGAAAAATTTTTGCAGATTTAAACTGTAGTAAGAGAAAGTACTATTCCGTTTCTGGGGACAATCAAAACTGATAACTTCATAATATTTTAGTATGAAAAATTTCTAGAATTTCATATATACTTACCAAAATTGATCATTTCTACTCGGAATATTTTCTATCAGATCTTGAAAAGTGTTGTTGTAGCTGAAAACAAAAATACAAGCATTAAAAATATCGCTTAATATTTACAGAATAAATCATAACAAAGATGGAAGATAAATTAGTCTATTTACTATCCATTATAGTGACTGTCTGTATACATGGGACACTTTAACCAGATCAATATAACATCTTCAAAATCTTTTGTTTGAACCTTTAAAATATTATAATATATTGATTCCGTGCAAAGAATTAGCAGTTTTAATGATAAGCTTATAGAAAATATATAATTCACTTACCTTTTGTATTTCCATTACTCTGTAATTAATGCCAACTAAAATTCCATTAGCAAGTTTTTCAATATTATGTCTGCCCTAGATTGGAAATTAATCTTGATCAGTGTTTTTTTCATTGAGATAAATCGTGGATCTTTTTCATGTAAATCAAAACAGAAAACATGGGCAGAATCATTTATGTTTTATTTTATTCTTTTGGTTCAGTTTATGAAAATTAAATTTATTTTCCCCACCAAAATAACGTATAAGTAATTCGAAAGTTTATATAAAACGCCAATTTTAACAAACGTTAATTCACTGAAAGCCTTTTAAAGTGGTGGCGAAATTAATTTAAAATTTGCAAATCATACTTTTTAAATTTTCCTCTTTATAAAGATCTTTTACAAAAAGCGGGGTATTTAACATTCGCTTAAAAGAAGAAAAAAATCATATATTCAACCGAAATGTGTTACTCACGTAAAAATTCATATTTGGATTTTAAATGTTTCTATTTATATTTTCGAATGGTTTATTTAAAAAAAAAATAATAAAATAGAGTAAATGGCAGATAAAAGTACCTGCCTGATTTAAATGTAAATATATCATCACATTCTGTAAAAAAGTTCTTTTTTTACTACTATCATATATTAAGTCTAGCATTATAGATAAAACTCGCATCCGTTTCATTAACATTTTCTATTTGCTTTTAACACATAAGTTTTTCACTCTAAATGTTAGCTTTTGAAAAAAAATATTTGCAGAAATTAAGTATACATTTAACTTTTGATTTGCCTTGAACTTTTAAATATGCAGAATATTTTTTTATTATTATCGTATGCCTCCGTTACGACCAAAGATATATGCAGCACCTTTGTAAAAACAGAAGTAGAAAAGAAATAGTCATGTATGTTAGTGCTTACAGAGTAATATTTGAAAGAGAAAAACAAAAACATTATTATACTGTTAGGAATTTTTAACGAGAATAATTAGAGCAAAATAAGGATTAAAAAATCATAAAGAACCGATTCACTTGGATATGGAATTGCAAAGCTCTTTCTAACAAATTGCTAACGTATCCTAGTCCCATATCTTTAAGCCTTTCAAATGACGGAAAATCATGTACCAGCCTCTCACACGTGATGATGATCAAACCCACCCTCTTTGCTCAAAATGTCAACAACACCAGGCTTAAGCTGAATAGATCTTGAACTGTCTGGATCTCCTGTGGAAGAAAAATATCCATGGATTCTTAGATCTGCTCTGACTCCGCCAGGTTTGGTTGGAAATTAAAAACAACATCAACAGTCCCACATCTCAAATCAACTAATCAATGTGTGATTTCAAGACCTTCTTTTGCTCCGATCATCATTGATTCTGATTTTTTTTAAAGTTTTGTAGCATTTCTAATTTTTTTATACTGAAATATTAATTGGAAATCGTAACATCTATTTTTAATTTTACGCAGCATTTAAAAAAACATACATTAAGGGTAGTCATTACAGATCACACTGTATGTAAATAATTACTTGTATCTGTCTCTGTATCACTGCAGTAACAATATTTGTCATTTTGAGTAATCTGTTTATCATTTTGGCACATGTTGAAGATTCATAGGAAACAGGTAGACTTTCAGTAATCCCCCCTGTCAGATCAGCCAAGCAATCAAGTGAAGTTCCATATTTCAGAGCTTCATAAGACCCATGTAATCTAACAAAAAAGAAAACGTAAAACTTGTTGCTATATTTAAAGTGGGAAAAATCTGAAAACAATAGATAAATTTTCATAAAATTCACTTTTGACCCTACATAATGTAGTTTGTGTAATATAAGGATGGAATTCTCTGTAGTCTTCTCTGAAACTGTGTAAAGTTTTGACAATTGGAAAGCTTAGTGGATTATTATCTTAAATTACATTTTGAGACACAGGTTATAGGAGGATAGGCTGCCCAAAGGTATAAACGAATCTTTAAATATAAAATGATTTTCAGTCAGAAAAATACATAAGTACTCCAGGGAAATATGAACGCTTGATGGCTCAAGACAATTATTAGGATAGACCATTGTAACTAATAAGGATTCTTGCACTATGTCGGCTCAAACTCGGCAATAATCTAACCTATTCCAGCTGTTGATTTTTTTTCACATTCACTAAAATGTGACCTAATTCCATTAAAGTTCCCAAATTGACTTTTTTTTTACCTGGCGTTTATAATGTTTTTGGATTAATTAGTGTTGCTTAGTAGAATGTAGAGTTTAATAGCACTCGATACGAATTTTTTTATATCAAGCCAATCGTTAAAGGTAATCTATGTAAGCTTATCAAACTGTAACATAAATAAAAACTGACGAGGGTGAAAATCACTTTGACCAGTCGTTGTCATGAGACCCTTCTCACTTATTAAAGCAAAGCAAGCCCTCTGATGGGCGGTGTTATTTGAGTGGGACCATATGATTAAATTTAAAAGGTAAATTTGAATCCATAGAATTTAAGAAATGTGGAAAAACTTGAGGCAATATAATGATGAGCCACATTTTAAAATTGTACATGTTTTCTATGTTGATAAGATAGTTATATGTAGATGAATAATATCACCTTAGGAAAAATTGTAGCTATATTGCCGAGTGTGGCTATAATTTATCACTATATTGCCCCTAATCATTCAATTTAAATTCAGCATTCATATTATGCTACGAAAAGTTAATTGTGCTAATTTAGCATTATGCAATAGCTGTTGCAACATTGCTTCATTTTTTTCATTTAATAAAATTCAAACATTTCATGTATGGTGTCACACTGGCGACTTACTTGGCATATGCTTTTTCAAGAAGGCAAGGCCAGAACGTGTTTCTTGCCGGACTATGCACAAAGATCAATTTGTTGGCAACAGTCGGTAATCTGTCATCTACAACAACTTCTTTCCATTCGCCGCACCACCAAATGCGAAAACGAAATATACCTATATACTCTGAGGCAGTTGAGAAATTTTGATCTGCTGGCACAACTCTATAGAAAAGACCCCGAGTACTTCCTAAGCATCCCACACAAGATAAGAACCAAGGATCACCTACAAATTATATTTTAAATTAAGTATTATATATATAAACCATATAAAATATAATTCAATTTGTAATGTAGAAAAACAGTAAAATTATTTTATTCTTAAAACAATAATTAACAGTCAAAACAGGTATATCATGATAGTTATTTGGATAATTCATTTTTTACTGAGCAATCCTTTACAAAAAAAAAAGTTACTAAATAGCTCATCTAGTGTGTTTTTATAAAACTTTTTTCAACATTTTGTATGTTTAACGTTAATAAAAAAAAGACAAAAAATAAACTAGGCGAAGTTAAAAAGTTCATATTAATAATCACAAACTTATTTTGAAAGAAGTGATTTTTTTTTTCTCTTGATCACAAAAAAAGTATTTGAAAATCAAAAATAAACTTTTTAGCAAGATTCTGAAACACACAGAGCTAAAGGTACTCAAGCAAAATGGAATAAGATATCGGTAGGTGAGTTGGGCGTTATAACAGAAAAAAATTTATGATGTATTTGCAGCTTTTCTTAAGGCCAAAGGATATTTGTTATCACTAGTGAAGATAGAGGTTGAACCTATGGAGCATAACGAATTACACGACAGGTTCTCATGAATACTATATATACTTGTATATATATGTGTGTGTGTGTTTTACTTGTTTTCAACAAGCAAAATTTGCATAATTTAAAATATATAAATATATTAAAAAAAACAAAGGAGATCTCATTTTATTGCGATAAAAAATAGTCCACGTATTCTAGGGATTAAAATAAATGCAAACAGCTCAATATATGTTGCCTACATAAAATTTTTAAAAATATTAAAAGTATTTCAATTTTAAAACATATTTAATATAATTACTGATGTAAAATAATAGGGCAAGGTTAGTAATAGTATTAGAATTTTAATTCACAATTAAAATAAAAGTAATCTTCAAAGCCATTGCCCTTAATATATTTTCCATAATAAGGAAATCTTATTTCATATTTATCATCTTGCCAGTGTTCCAAATTTGTTTGTTACCGGAACCGGACATGTGGTTTAGAGTGGAGTGTGGTTTATTTTAAAATCACTACATACGGTAAAAAAGCCTTCAAAATGTGTCATAGCAAAACGTGATTGGAATAAACCATGATACAAAAATTTATTAAGTAAATATTAAGAGGAAGATGACTTACCGAAATCGTCAAGTTACAGTCAATCAATTGGAACCTATAGTTTTAATTAGTGGAGTTAAAATAAGGTCAGGCACTAATGTCATTCCATATTGAACATCTTTATATTGGTCCANTTCCAAATTTGTTTGTTACCGTAACCGGACATGTGGTTTAGAGTGGAGTGTGGTTTATTTTAAAGTCACTACATACGGTAAAAAAGTCCTCGAAATGTGTCATAGCAAAACGTGATTGGAATAAACCATGATGCAAAAATTTATTAAGTAAATATTAAGAGGAAGATGACTTACCGAAATCGTCAAGTTACAGTCAATCAATTGGAACCAATAGTTTTAATTCGTGGAGTTAAAATAAGGTCAGGCACTAATGTCATTCCATATTGAACATCTTTATATTGGTCCAAACTTTATTGTAACACATTATTTTACTCATTAAGAAGAGGAATACATTTAGAAAATGCAATGCAAATAAATGCATGTTAGAAAAAATTTACATGCTACTTTACCCGCAGCAATTTGGATATTTCATGAAACTTTTGATTTTCGTTTTCTTGATAGTTTTTGTTCTTCAAAGAACTTTTGATTCGATAAAATTTTGCTTAATAATTTTGGGATCATTTAAAGATTTTTTTTTTCTTCCCAAAATAAAATTTAATTTTGTACATTTGTTGGTTCTTACATTTTTTTTAACTCCAATCTTATTATTATTTTAAACTGATGAAAACTATTTAAGTGCACTCTAAAAAATTATTTTGACGGAAATCACGTAAAAAAACATATATTTATCAGAAATCTAAAAGTCAGACAAATGAATAATACTTTACTCCCTTTAAAATAACACTGATTACAGAATTTATTGATAAAATATTGTCATAAAAATTTTATGGAGAATCTTTGAATGCTTTTTCCAGTTGTTGATTAAATCTTATATGCTTGGAAAATTTCTGTCAAGAAAAGTAGTTATTCAACATTCAATTTAGTTGTGAACTTCAGATTGAGACAGTTAAAGCATATTTAGATTTATCCCCACCGTCTTCTCTCTTTGAAGGTTAGCAGGAAAGAAGCATCTTCAGTTGGATCATACTGATACACCATGATATCAAGAGAATTAACTATATAAAAATAAAGAATACATACCTAGTTTTCCTGATATCAGAGGTAATTTGTCTGGGGCATCATCAACAAAAAGTGGATCGGAACAAATTTCCTGTGAAAATGATTGCTTTAATACACAATGCTTTAAAATTTTCTTTTTTTATAAATACGCACGAGGAAACAAATATTTTTGAAAATAACTTCAATTTCTTTTAATAATTAATGGTATGTCTAGATTTCAGTTTAGATCAAACTTTAAGTGACAGCCAAAAGCCTGTAGGTTCACGTAATTTTCTACAAACTTGAAGCCTCACAGGTGAGAACTAATTTTACATTTATCGAAGCATCTATGTTGTGTCCACAATCGAAAATGTAATAAAATAAAAAATAATATGTTCATGTATTACGTATGACTTAAAAAAATTTGCGACAAAGTTTCATTTTTTTAAAAAAACTTTCGCAAAGTTTTTGAAAGTCAAAAGTCGAATTTAGTTCACGTGGCACTTACAAAATCTATAGATTTAGAAGTTGTATTTCTTATACATTGAGAAATGCATCTCCAGACTGAGATTTTCATTCATACATGCTTTATGTTTTCTCCTTCTTAAAAAGTCAGTAAAAATTCATTTCATAAGATTGAATAGTAACAACAAAAAAAAATATTGTCTATATCTTCAAAAGTCAACAAGAAAAGATTTGTTCTGTAGTAAATGTTAAAAAACACATTTTGTAAATATTTTCTGTCACTTGTTTTTTTCTGATTTAAAAGAAATGTCAACGTACCTTTGGTCTTTTCCAGACAAACTGGAAAGGTGCCGTTTGATGATAAAAAACAGATGTCTGTACTGCTGGAAATTCAGAATCTTCAAATAACTCCTTTCTCTTAAGACAGCCAGCTTTTAGCCGTTCAAAAACACTCATTGTTACCTGAAAATATAATAATCTATTTGACGACGAATAGAATTTTTTTTTTAAAAAGAAAAGAAGAAAAAAACATGATATTGTTTAACTTTGTATAACGTATCAATTTTTTTTTATTACTATTACATTTATGCATTTCATTTTATTTTACTTTGTAATCGTCCTTGAGCAGCTGACCCAATTTTGAATTTTCAACTACCAATGTTCAACTCAGTAGCCTTGTAATTTTGAACCCAATCCAGAAGACAAAGGAACTCCTGGGTCAAGTGAACAGCCGTCCCAATATTGGGTTTACGACAACTAATATTCAACTCCGTAGCCTCGTAATTTTGAACCAATCCAAAAGACAAGAAAACTCCTGGATCAGTATCCCCAAAGGTATGACTTGTTATGGGAGCATGGACTTGACAAATTTAACGTGCATCAGTCGCCCTTTACTACACGGGGATCGAACCCACGACTTCTTGGAGATGGGCTCAGTTACCAAACAAGGCTATCCTGACCTGGGGCAAGTATTGGGAGAAATTTGCCTTTATGGTGAACTTTTTGATAGAACTAATCCGCATTTGCGTTATATGGAGAAAAAACCTCCCATGGTCGGGGCTTTAACCCATGAGGATATTTTATGTCAGCACTATGGTCGGTGCGAGCCGGGTGCGGAATTCGTAATAGCCAGCGACATACTCGTATTTGGCTCTCTTTAACGACCTGGAAGACGTGCGATTCGCTGGGCTGTATAGTTTTCCTTCAATTATGCATCAATAACTTTTCTAATGTTGCAACATTCATTTCACAGAATGAAATTGATGGAAGCTTTATTTATTACAAAAATCAGTAATGTTTTTTTTGCGTCCCAGGAGTTATTTAAAAATAAATTGTTTACTTTGGTTTCCTATTTTCTATTAAAGAAAGTTATACTTAATCCAAACCTTAAAATATTCGTCTTTTACTTGGTGCTGTTACAGAGTAAAATTTAAAGCTTTACTATTCTAGTCCTTGGCCATGGTAGGCTGTTACAAAAAATGTTATATAACACTTTAAACATTATTATGGCTTATTAAACACTATTTAATAGCACCATTAATTAATTCGTAATTCCATTAATTCTTAATTATTGTTTCGTTGAGAAAAATTACAAATATTTATTTACACATAAAAATATAGATATATTTTGAAACATAAATAAAATAACATTTTATCAACTCAATATATTTTTCTTGTTTATTATAACTAAAACTTATGTTCAGTATTTTATTTTATTAAATTTATATAACAATAACTTTTAATGGGAGATGAAAAATGCCGATTTATTTGTGTTATATATATTTTTATTAAAAGAAGTTTAACCGAGAAACAGTGATATTCTCACAGTCGCATTTCAGATTTTTTTTTCTATGTTCTTTACCAGGAATCATGGCTTCCAAAAATTTTTTAATCTTAATCCTGCTGAGTCTTTGCATTTTTGACTAATGAATTTGCTCACTACTTCGATCACCAGTTTAGAAATCATCTCTATAGTGATGGTACTCCAATTAAAATAACAAATGTTTTATTCATTTTTTTTTTAAATTTAACCGGAAACATTCCGGATTTTAATTTAACCGGAATTTTGACATTCAAATAGTTATCACCTTTAAAATTATGCAAAATAAAAAATAGATCAAAATTTCCAATAGTTGAACTTGTGCGAAAAGTTATTGATTGATTTAGGTACTCTTAGATACTTGCGTTTTAAGTTATTGATTGATTTAGGTACTCTTTTAGCAAAATTATTAAGCAAATTTCGTCAAACACACTAATTTTATATTATATTATGGTGCTGCCCTCTCTTGTTTGAATTGTTAATGAAAAACATTTTTTTATTCTTGGCCTCATGATGATGATTCTATCATATGGAAGAATTACATTTTTTTTCCTATCACAGTTTCTCATTTGAACTTTATTACGAGATGGAATTCTCAATCGTAGTTTCTCAATGCTATCCCCCTTCTCCAGGGGCGGGGAAGAATTTTAGGAAGAGCCAAGAATATTAAGGGTATTTGAAAGAGTTTAGGGATTTCTAAAGGGTCGTCAACAAAATATAGCTGATATTAATATTCATAGCACATTTCTTCGATATTTTGGTTTTATATCGAAGAATTTATCACGTTTTTTAAGTAAAACAATAAATAAACTATTTCTCTCCAACTTAATTATTTTAACGAAGAGCGGTGTCATTTTTTTTTCCTTGCAAATTTCCTAAATTTTACTTAGACGGCTGATGTAATATTTAACTTAACTAAATATGCTAATTTTCTTTTTTTTAAAAAAGTCAGAAATTTATAATTCGGAAACTTTAAAGTATTTAAATTTTGCTTCCTTTTCTTTCCCGTTTAACTTCATAATGAAATTTGGAATATAAGTTAATTTATGGCCACATTCTCCTGTGTTTGATAATTCAAACGATATTATCAAAATACATAATGAACTACTGGTATTCTAATAATTCTCTGATTTTATTCTGAAATTTTTTTTACAAAGCTGTACTGAAAACGCGGCTTATGGATTACAGGATGTTGTGATTACATTCATAAATAAAGGGTGATATTTATTATAATACATTAGAAAAATAATATTTAATCAATTATTTAATTTGAACTGCAAAGTGATGTGTTGAATACATAGTTTCCTGAAACATTTAAAAGTTTCATATGTAAGCTATTTTCATCATAATTAGTACGAAGATTGTTGCCTACATTAAACATATGGTGTATTTTCAATAACTTAAAAGCATGCTTATGGAACAGCATCATAACAAAAAGACTTAAAATATGCCAAAAAGTTTTTTTATTATTATTATTATTACTTGATTTTTTTTTTTCAGTTAAGGGGAATCAAAAAATTTTGGACTGGCAAAGTGGGTAGTCGTTTCGCTTTACAGTAAATAGCAGGGGATTTTCTTTTGGAGAAAAAAAAAATTAGCATTTGAATCTAACTCTGACTTATTACCATATAGTTAAAAGCCATATTTTTCCAAAGGTAGTATTTTTTTACATCAAATTGTGCACTAGAATTGTTACATGATAGATGTCGTCATACGATAAGCTACTGGGAATCATTTAGACCTGCGGTTCTCGAATGGTGCTCTGCTGAACTGTAGGGCTCCAGGGAGCAGTAAAAAAGTTTCCGAGAACAAAGACGTTCTTTTAATCAGTAGTAATTTTATATTTAGATCTAATCTATTTAAGATTTATCTATAAAATTTTGATTTTCTTTATGAAAAGGCAATGCAGAAAAAAATTAAAATTACATATTATTTTTTTAATAATAAAAATTTAGTAAATTATGAATAAGATATACATTTAGAAAAAAATTGTATGAGCATTTTGCATCACACTTTTTAAAACAAAATAAAATTAGCTGAATTCGTTAATATGGTCCTCGTTATACATTTCCCTAATAATCACTTTCTTTAATACTCCTTGTTTAAGATATTAGTTCCTCTCTAAAGTGCGTGGAAATGCATTTCACCCCGATTTGCCCTCTTCGACTACTGTATTTTTTTTTTTTAATTTTTTTTTTTTTTTTTTTTTTTTTCAGTTTTGTTTCTCACTCCACGTTTTATATTTCAAATTACTTTTGTTTCATCTCATTCACGTCTGACAAGTCTTGAAAATGGATGCCTGTTTCTGAGAGCTTGGAACAGGTCGCCAGTTTCCTATTTTTATATATTTGAAGTAGGGGCCGGGATAGCCTGGTCGGTAGGGCGCTGGGCCCATGTCTTAGAGTTCGTGGGTTCGAACCCCGCCGGCCGAAGACTCCCCGTGTAGTAAAGTGACTGATGCACGTTAACCTCTGGGGGTACTGGATTGGAGGTCGATCGTTCTCTGATTCAGGTCAAAATTACGATCTGTGGAGGGATTTATGAATGGGTCCGCCTTATAAACAGATGTGACGTATGGTGTGGCGAAGTCGAATTCTTGGCCATAGATGGCGCCACTGAAAAACAAGAATCGCACACACTGCTTTAAATTTGCTCGGTTTCACGATGAAGTGGCATTAGAACGAACCAACCAACCATATATTTGAAGTGAATAAAGTTTTAATCAAAAACCACTTCGAACGCTTACAGCAGTTTCTTTCTGTTGAAAAGCGAAGAAAACCATAATCAGATTTATTTTAATTCATTTTTAGCTTCCTTATAGACTTAAAAAAAATTTACAAAATCCATTACTATTTTGTGACCAAATAATACCGGACACAATAACTAATTCACGATTAATGATAAAACGATGAAAAATTTTATTCCTCTTTTTAAATATTTTAAAAATAAATCATTATTTTATTGTTTATTACATTCACTATTGTTTTGATAAACTTTATTATTAAGTCCAAGTTCCGTCGAAAGAAGGTTGATCATTTATAGTCGAAAAAAACTGGGAGCCGGTGACTTAGACCTCTTTTGCTGTGTAAATTTCTGACGCTGCTTTTAGAAACACCTGTTTTGAGTTTGATTGTCAATTTTCATGCCATTATTTCCTTGTTTTAGTGAAGTTTTTTTAATCACATAATACCGAGTGTGTATTAAAAGAATTTTTATAAATATATACCTATACCGGTTTACTAGCGGGTTAACTAACTGGTTTTTGCAAAGTTTCTTATTTTCACTTACGCGAGTTAGACATTTTTTCATAGGTTTATGAGTATTTTACGAGAATTTACGCATTCGCTCTTCAAATGAGCATGCACAATTACTTCAAATCTTACGAATGAGAGCGTTTAGAATGTAACGTATGTGTTATCTATTATAACTAGCAGAAAATAAGTTTATTCTGTTTCAAAAGAACTATTTTTAATTAATTTTTAAAGTATTAAATAATTTGAAAATTAATAAAATCATTAACTTTCAATGGACGAAAAGAATCATTGCTTAAACTATTGTAATACAGTGAGCGAAAAAAGTATAAGGACAGGCGAAAAATCACCAGTTCCAGAAGTCTTATTTACAGAATCGTGGGAAATTTTTTGAGCTAAAAATAGGAGTGAAATTAAAGTACTTCTTTTGTAAACTAATTAAAATTATCAAAAATAAACCTGTTTGAATTTACTTTTTGGTTTTTAAATCCAATTGATATTGGAAAGAAAGTATAAGGACATTGTTTTTTCTTCTCTAATTTTAGAAAATTTTGCATATTTGAAAATGACATTGAATTATTTTGATGAAGGATTAAAATGGATGAAGGATTAAAAGATTGGTTTGTGAAAGAAATTTCGCAATCGTCGACTTTCATCGCGACTATTGAACGATGTCCGAAGGAACTAATCTTTCTGATTCTGAAAAAGGAAAAATCGTTGCTTTTCGAGAGTGTGGATTAAGTGTGTGGGAAATTTACTAAAAAAATTAAGAGATCTAAAATAATTTTCTAAGAAAATAATTTTCTAAGAAAATAATTTTCTAAGATTTAATAGAGTTTATAATTTTCTAAGAAATCCTAGATTATATGGCATGAAAAAATGAACTGGGAATTCAGAAATTTGCACTCATCGAAAAAAAAAAAAAAAAGAATGATTATCGGGAAAGCTTGCCAGAAAAAAGCAACTGCAAATGAAGTTAGACAAAAGTTGAATTGTCCATGTTCATCAAGGACTGGATACGGAATTCGTATCGATCGACCATCGCTGGGATTTAAGTCTGGTTCATTTCATTGGAAGGTGAGCGCTCTATCCCCTGAGCCACCATGACTCCGAAAATAACTATTGACGTCAATAATATTTTTATATTCATATTTTAATTTTTTTTATATTAATTTTTACATATTTCAAACGCTATAAAATTACCAAATTATTATTGAGACTAGTAATGATTAATTAAATGTGGTATTAAATACTTTTAGCATTACCGTTAAAAGTTCTGCGATATAGTGCTTAAAATATGTACTGTGATAATAGATTTTTATTGCCCTCGGAAACTGATAAGTACCCTAATATACATTCATGTCACCTAATATATCGCCTTTGTAATTTTATTATTTGTTGTATATCAAAGTGTGGCTTCCTAATGTTAGATTTAATCATAATCTGAGTTAAAAGTTCAACTCACTAAAAGAAAGACTAACTATACCTTTAGTATCATTTAGTATTCAGATTTACTATTATTTTATAGAATTATTTCCATGGCTCAATAGATAACTTCAATTCTAATTCATAAGTTCTTGCTGAGTTTCCATTTTTTAGATTATAGAGACACGCTTTAAAATCGCAAGTATCAATAAAAGAAATATGTGGTTTCATATACCTTTAAAAATACGAATTCAGTGACGTCATCACCATACATCGCGAAGTTATTAACATTGGTTTTGCTTGTGATAACTTAACATATGAAACCAAACATAAATGAACCAAACATTAAAAAGGCGAAAAAAGCTAATATTTGATTGATAGAGCTGAAAGCCAGCGAATCGCCTTATTTTGTATTGTTTATCAAATCTTATGGAAAACTCTTTCTTTGGGATTTAGCTCACAAACCGAAGATAGCTTTAAAGTAGGCAATTATTTTCGCTATGCCTTAAAAAGTATTATACCAAATTTAGTACGGAACGGTTTAGAATTACAGTTTTGCTTATACTATACATTCATGTAAACATTCTGTTCTTTTGCATTCATTAGAGAAATTAATGTAGTGCATTTTTTTTTCTTTTTTTTTTGTTGTTTTTTTACTTTTGTATGATATCTAGTTTCTCAAAATAAAAATAATAAAAAAAAATTTACCCTCTTTTTCTTACTACTAAATGTTTTTTGTAGTATATGTATACTTATTTTTGCCTTTTGTTATAATATAATTGCACCAAATAACAAATAATGAATTTTTGCTGCTAGTCTAAGTTATTAGATATTAAGAAGTCCCGCAGTGGACTGGTCGTTAAGACACGGGTTGCGGTCAGTGTGCGGGTGGGTGACCACTTGGATCAGTCTACGTAGGAACCGAGGGTGTGCGGTATTGGTCCGCGTTAAACTGTTCTATCGCGAAGTGCTCGACTTCGCGTGCAGGTCGTCGGGCTACCGAAGCGGGGGTGCCATCTACTCAGCAGAGGATCAAAATTGTGATGGCATGTCTTCAGATCATTCTCAGGGATGTTTCCCAGACCATCGCCAATAGCCCATTGTGCAGCTCTATTGTGACGTAAATGAACTACAACAACAGATATTAAGAAGGGTAGCTAAGACCATTTTTTTTTGTCTTAGCAACACACATGTTTTAGAAATCTGCTATACACGTAATTTCTTCTTCCATAGACATGGCAGTCCCTTGTGGGCCGGAGCCTGCTTCCCTAGAACCTTTTTCCATTCTGCTTCTCTCTTTAATTCTTGAGGTTTTAATATCCTCTTCCACATACTTAAGTCATCTGATCTTAGGCCTACCTCTAACTCTAGTTCCCATTGGTTTGTAATTGAAGATCTTAAATGTCAAGAAAGAAGGGTCCATTCGATAATGTTATCTTCAAGCTTTAAGCGGCTTATTTTGATGTATTTATTGACATCAATGCATGTTATTTACGTGAAGTAAGTAACGAATATAGCTAGACAAGTTCTACAACAGTAAACTAATCTCTTAAATAAACGATCTTAAATTAGCAGTTATATTTAACTAAACAATGGCCTAAACATAACAATGCCTTAAAAATGAGGTACCCGCAAGTGACGTAGTGTGGGTATCTCGAGTAAGTCCGTCAAGTATCAATTCTCTCAAGTGACGCATTCTATTTTCTTTCACAAAGATTTCAAGTCTTTCACTATATATTTTTTTACTTTACAGCGGCCCCTACTAGTCAGAATAACAAGATCATTCAAAACAGCACCCACACCAGGTCTGAATGTTCTGGCAGGTTTACCGCCATTGCACCTGCAAATCCAAAAAGAAGCACTACTAGCTAACACACTAAGATTCAATCAAGAAAACACACAATACAATATAAAAGCGGGTGATTATCAACAAAAGATAAAAACACATATGGTCCACCCGGCCCATAAGACTAGCCATAAATACACTAACCTACCAACAAGTACTAGTACTAGCAAAACAACGACGGTACAAATCTACACCGATGGCTCCAAAACAGACAATGGCGTGGGAGCTGCATTCTGTGTTTACCACAACAACCAACATACAGATACATACAAATTTACGTTAAAACAAGAAAACACAGTGTTTCAAGCAGAGGTTTTAGCCATCAAAGAAGCCATCAATTGGTTAGAGACACACAGCTGCAAAGATGCAACAATTTTCACAGACAGTCTGGCTAGTATACACGCTATTAGAAAAACGAAACAAAAAGACCCACACGTGGCAACAACACAAAGACAACTAGAACACCTAGTCAGAAAATGCAACACACAAATACACTGGGTGGCAGCGCACACAGGTAACATAGGCAATGAAGCAGCGGATTTAGCGGCTAAAGACGCAGCAGCAGGTCACGGGATTCCCAGCGGTGTTCTGCTTCCACCATCGAGCCTGAGAAATAAACTTAAAAACATCACACAAAAACTTTGGCAAGCATACTGGGACGAAAATGAAAAAGGCTATACAACAAAATCATATTATCCTAAAGTAGACACAGACCGACTCATAGGCCATCCAGCAGCAATACAATTCCTTACAGGACATGGCTTCNTTTGTTTCATCTCATTCACGTCTGGCAGGTCTTGAAAATGGATGCCTGTTTCTGAGAGCTTGGAACAGGTCGCCAGTTTCCTATTTTTATATATTTGAAGTAGGGGCCGGGATAGCCTGGTCGGTAGGGCGCTGGGCCCATGTCTTAGAGTTCGTGGGTTCGAACCCCGCCGGCCGAAGACTCTCCGTGTAGTAAAGTGACTGATGCACGTTAAATCTGTCGAGCCGCAAGAGTCGCCCCATGTTCCCATAACAAATCAAACCTCTGGGGGTACTGGTTGGAGGTCGATCGTTCTCTGATTCAGGTCAAAATTACGAACTGTGGAGGGATGTATGAATGGGTCCGCCTTATAAACAGGTGTGGCGAAGTCGAATACTTGGCCATAGACGGCGCCAATGAAAAACAAGAATCGCACACTCTGCTTTAAATTTGCTCGATTTCACCAAGCATACTTGCCCGTGAAGCAAGTGGCATTAGAACCAACCAACCATATATTTGAAGTGAATAAAGTTTTTAATCAAAAACCACTTTGAACGCTTACAGCAGTTTCTTTCTGTTGTCTTTTCAAAGAAAACCATAATCAGACTTATTTTAATTTATTTCTAGCTTCCTTATAGACTTTAAAAAAAAATCCATTACTATTTTGTAACCTAATAATACCAGACATAATACCTCATTCACGATTAATGATAAAACGATGAAAAAATTTTATTCCTCTTTTTAAATATTTTAAAAATAAATCATTATTTTATTGTTTATTACATTCACTATTGTTTTGATATACTTTATTATTAAATCCGAGTTCCGTCGAAAGAAGGTTGATCATTTAAGGTTTCATAGTCGAAAAAAACTGGAAACCGATGACTTAGACCACTTTTGCTGTGTAAATTTCTGATTCTGCTTTTAGAAACACCTGTTTTGAGTTTGATTGTTAATTTTCATGCCATTATTTCCTTCTTTTAGTGAAGTTTTTTTAATCACATATTTTAATACCGAGTGTGTCTTAAAGGAATTTTTATAAATACATACTTATACCGGTTTACTGGCGGGTTAACTAACTGGCTTTTGCAAAGTCTCTTATTTTCATTTACGCGAGTTAAACATTTTTTCATACGTGTATGCGTATTTCATTAGAATTTACGCATTCGCTCTTCAAATGAGCTTGAACAATTACTTCAAATCTTACAAACGAGAGCGTTTAGAATGTATGTGTTATATATTATTATAGGGAACCGATTATCCGGAACGATCGGGACCATCGCTATTCCGGATAACTGATTTTTCCGGTTTTCTGAATCGCTACAAAAAGCCGTTTTTTTCATTGTTAAACCCAACTTAAAAAAAAAATTTTTTTGTAAATAATCTTAAAAAGAAGAAAAAACGATGGAGTAATACACTAATGATTATTTCCAAAATGATGGTAAGGTAAACATCTTTCAAAAAAGAAAGAAAAATCCTAAAATCTCATGAGGAAAAAAAAAAAAAATTTTTAAAAATGACGGAAAAATTTATCGAATTTTGTTCCGGTTTTCTGATTTCCGGATAACGGGTTCCGTACTAGCAGGAAATAAGTTTATTCTGTTTCAAAAGAACTATTTTTAATTAATCTTTAAAGCATTAAATAATTTAAAATTTAATAAAATCATTAATTTTCAATGGACGAAAAGAGTCGTTGCTTAAATTATTGTAATACAGTGAACGAAAAAAGTATAAGGACAGGCGAAAAATCACCAGTTCTGGAAGTATTATTTACAGAATCGTAGGAAATTTTTTGAACTGAAAATAGGAGTAAAATTGAATTATTATTTACTTTGTGAACTAATTAAAATTACCAAAAATAAACCTGTTTAAATTTACTTTTTGGTTTTTAAATCCAATTGATATTGGAAAAAAAATATAAGGACATTGTTTTTTCTTTCTTTTGTATAATACTTTACTTTTGTATGATATCTAATTTCTCAAAATAAAAATAATGAAAAATTTTTTTACCCTCTTTTCTTACTACTAAATGTTTTTTGTAGCATATATATACTTATTTTTGCCTTTTGTTATAATATAATTGCACCAAATAACAAATAATGAATTTTTGCTGCTAGTCTAAGTTATTAGATATTAAGAAGTCTCGCAGTGGACTTATCGTTAAGACACGGTTCCCAGCAGATCACCGAAGTCAAGCATCACTGGTTGCGGTCAGTGTGCGGGTGGGTGACCACTTGGATCAGTCTGCGTAGGGACCGAGAGTGTGCGGTATTGGTCCTCGTTAAACTGTTCTACCGTAAAGTGCTCGACTTCGCGTGCAGGTCGTCGGGTCGCAGGTCGGTGCCATCCCCTCGGCAGAGGATCAAAATTGGGATGGCATGTCTTCGGATGATTCTCAGGGATGTTTCCTAGACCGTTGCCAATAGCCCATTGTGCAGCTCTAGTGCGGCGTAAATGAACAACAACAACACTTATTAAGAAGGGTAGCTAAGACCACTTTTTTCTTTTATTTTTGTCTTAGCAACACACATGTTTTAGAAATCTGCTATACACGTAATTTCTTCTTCTATATGCATGGCAGTCCTTTGTGGGCCGGAGCCTTCCCTAGAACCTTTTTCCATTCTGTTTCTTCCTTTGCAATTGTTCTCAATTTAGTAATTCTTGACGTTTTAATATCCTCTTCCACATACTTAAGTCATCTGATCTTAGGCCTACCTCTAACTCTAGTTCCCATTGGTTTGAAGTTGAAGATTCGACAGATGTTATCCTCGAGCTTTAAGCGGTTTATTTCGATGTATTTGTTGACATCAATGCATGTTATTTACGTGACGTAAGTAACGAATATAGCTGTAGACAAGTTCTACAACAGTAAACTAATCTCTTAAATAAACGATCTTAAATTAGCAGTTATATTTAACTAAAAATTGGCCTAAACATGACAATGCTTTATAAATGAGATACCCGCAAGTGACGTAGTGTGGGTTTCTCGAGTAAGCCAAGTCCGTCAAGTATCAATTCTCTGAAGTGACACATTCTATTTTCTTTCACAAAGATTTCAAGTCTTTCACTATATATTTCTTACTTAACACAAAAACTGGTACGAAACCATGTCGAACAAAAACAAACTAATTATGCATCAAAGTTACCAGATATGTAAAATTCAAAATATATCACGGTACATTAAAATACATAAACAAATAATAAATATAAGTTAAGTAAAAGACGCAGACGAGAAATAATTATATTTTAACAATTTCATTGTGCGATACGGTGTTCTATTTAATTAACTTTTTGTTAATTAGCATTCTAACTTATATGGAGAGACTTAGCTCTACTTTAACACGCCATCTTGTTTATAAACGATCAGCAGGCGCTGAGGTCATAGGTCACGTGACTGTGTATCAGATCAGTGATCGTCTTCTTCTCGAGTTGCAAGTACCCGATTCCCAGAATTTTAACTAAATAAGTTCAATACATAGAAACATCTAAGCACCGACGTGATAAAATCGAGGTAGTTTTTTTTTGTTTTTTTTTTAAAAAAAACGATCTCTTAAATCTTTTGAAAGGATAGCTAAATTTTTACCTTGTCCCAATCCTATTAATTACACTAATCGTTTTTGTAACCAATTGATTTTTAAACAGGAAAGTAATGAGAGACTTTTCTTGATGTTGTTATTATTTATTTTTTTATTAATTCCATTGGAGTGTTTAAAAAACAAGCTGCATTCTGTTTATATTTCGATTTTTCATTATAATGTTGAATTATTGTTAATTATATTATTATTAGTATTTAGAATTTATTTTATTTTTTTATTTGTTTGTTTTAAACTGGACCGTCAAATCAAATTAAATCTGACTGAAATCGAATTAATTATTGAATGAGTAAAGTAATAAAAATAATTTGATTATTATTTATTTTTATTTATTTATTTTTTGTAATGTTTAGGGAGCAGCATTTAAGAAAAACTCCGCTTCTCATTTTACACAAGAAAATAATTACAATGAAATTCTAAAGGATCTTAACATTTATCTAAGCTGGTTAAAACTAACAAAAACAGGTAAGAATAAATATGAAAAAAAAACTACAATGTAATTTTTATTTTTGTATGCAAAGACTAGGAAAGTGATTTTGTTTGCAGTTATTTAAAAGCAGATCATAAATTTTCTTAATTATAGTTTAAAATAGAAAAACATGGACTCCAACTATTATTTGCTTTAAAAGTTATCTCCAATTATAAACAGCTATAGTCATAAAATTTCTCCCCTTCCATTGTTTAAGTCAAATATAAGTCTCAGTGTCAATGCACATTTAAATTCTCTTATTTTTTTAAAAAATAAATAATATTTCTAAAACGATATTTTTTTTCATTTTTAACTTTCATTGTCATTGTCCAGACTAAACAGAAAAACACTTGTCATTATTGTTTGAAAAGGACCTGAGAAAATTAACCATAAACAAATAAAATATGCACTTACCTCTTGAAGCCTATATTTTTCTACAGTAAATAATGAATGTATCCTTAAAAGTGTTTTTTTTTTATACAGATATATATTCGATTTGATTTGGCAACATCGAGTAACAGACGATCAAACTGAAATTTGTTTGCGGAAGAAGTTAACTGCTCGTAGCTTCTGTACGCGGAAGCACACGGAATATACACCGATGAGATGAAGGAAAAAGCAATAATGTTGTAATAAAAAGCACAAAAAAGCGAATAAAATAGTAAGTTGAGAACTTCGTTAAGGTCAAAGCCTTTTTTTTTTCTAATTCTAAACCTAAACAGTGTTGTGTTCACCTTATCTCATAGAGAACCGGTCTATTTTGGCCTGGCAAAGTTCAAGAATAATTCGGCTTTGGGCTATAAGCTACCTCTAAACGAAATAAATTAATTCCACAGCATATTATAGCGAAAGGAGTTTTTAAAAAACTTTAATTGTGATAAAAAATATAAATTATTCTGCATCAATAATTATATCATACATGTAAAGAGCTGATAGAGGGAAACGGGAATCACACAGCGAAAGAGGAAATTTTGAAGTAACGACGTAATTTTTTCAAAAACGAAGAAAAAAATATGTTTGTTGGTGAAAGTGTATGCATACAGATTGCCACTTATGTTTGAATAACAAAATGAGACAAACTGTCTACTTCTTAAAGAAAGCAAGAAGGTATGCGCTCCTTCGTGTTTGTCCTGAGTTGACTTTCTGAGATTGTTATGGAAACTCTGGAATGCTTAGTATAGTGCATCGATCCAATGTTATCCTTAAGAAGTAGAAATTTGTGACATTTTGTTATAAAAACATAAATGGCATAATGTGCGCATCCACTTTCGTCAGTAAAAAATGCTTTTTTTATGAAGTCTTACGTACATACAATTTTCTTGTATTACTTTGATTCAATTTCTCGATTCAATAGATAGAGTGCAAATAATGTTACTTCAATATTTTCTGTTTTTTACCCCCTGTAATTCTGTACCCAACAGTATTTTATCAATTGAATTATCCTTTTTCAAAAAGGCAAATAGTGATTTCAAAGAGTAAAAAAGTTTACATTATATACAAAATATTGGACATGGATATGAAATTACATAAATGATTATTTTTTGACTATCTAACAGAAAAAAAAAATTCATATATTGGTAAATACGATAAATTTAATCATGTAAATTTATAGTATAGGTCATTACTATACCCTTAATAGTAACGCTTTTCGTATCAGTGCAGGATAAAAATTCGGAGTTGGTTAGATTTTGCGATGGTTAGTGCATGCATACAGTAAATTAGTTAATGGTCACTGTGTAATTCTGTACCCAACAGTATTTTATAAATTGAATTATCCTTTTTCAAAAAAGTAAATAGTGATTTCAGAAAATAAATATGTTCGCATTATTAACATGCAAAATATTAGTTTACTCCGAAATATATTTATACAAAATATTGCACATGGATATGAAATTACAGAAATGATCATTTTTTAACTATCTAAGAGAAAAAATTCATATATTGGTAAATACGATACATTTAATCATGCAAATTGATAAATTTATCTTATTTACCAATTGCATCATGCACAGGACATTACCATATTCTTAATAGTAGCGCTTTTCCTATTACTGCAGGATAAAAATTCGAAGTTGATGGTCAGATTTTGGGATGGTTAGTGCAAGCATACAATTAAATGGTTAATGGTTAGTGCGTAGTTAAAATACACGAAAAATATTACCAAAACAAAATCTCTTATTGGGTTTTTTTTTCATTCAGTTTATATTATGTTTTAAAATTTTAAGCAAGTGAATAGAAATGCAATTTTGTACTTATATGTTAAATATCAGTATCAAACTGTATAAATGTAAAGTAATTGCTTGGGTGTCTTTTATTTTTGCCTCCAGATTGCGCCTTTTGCTGTTGTATATGGTGGTTATTTTGAAAACAATATTTTAATGTTTTCTCAGTTAGCAGCACCATCTTTTGACAATCTTTGTAACTAATTTTCTAACTTTTTGATTAAAAAAAAAACATCATTAATTTGTTTTTCACATTTCCAGCAAATTTTAGTACACCCGGTAAACAATAAGAAAATCACCTTTCTTATAGTTCAGATCTGTCTTAATCTTTTTAGTTTTCTCAAGGAAAAGCACATGAAGCATTTTAATACTGCATGATCATTAACAATTTTGGGTTTATTCTATTAAAGCTCGTCCCACAGTGGACTGATCGTTAAGACACGGCTCCCAGCAGATCACCGAAGTCAAGCATCACTGGCTGCGGTCAGTGTGCGGGTGGGTAACCACTTGGATCAGCCTGCGTAGGGACCCGAGGGTGTGCGGTATTGGTCCGCGTTAAATTGTTCTACCGTAAAGTGCTCGACTTCGCGTGCAGGTCGTCGGGCTACCGAAGAGGGGGTGCCATTCCCTCTGCAGAGGATCAAAATTGTGATGGCATGAATTCGGATCATCCTCAGGGATGTTTCCCTGACTGTCGCCAATAGCCTATTGTACAGCTCTAGTGCGACGTAAATGAACAGCAACAATTATTAAAGCTCTTGTTGAAACCGGAACTTGGTTAGAACATTTTAATGAGTTTAGAAAATTTTATGTGTGATATAGGGAAAATATCGTTATAACTGTACCAAAGAATTCTTGGAGAATATTTTCCTGTATTTTGATAAAAGTCTGATTTTTCGTGAAAAAATTTATCAAGGGGAAAATAATTTAATCGGGTATAAATGAAACTAATAATTGTTTTTCAGTTTTGTGCTTAAAATAAAAACTTAAGCGTATTCCTTTTGCAACATAAAATGAGATCAAAATAAAACAATGTCTACTCGCTAATTTAAACTACTTTTTCACAAATAATAAATAACAAAATCAATGAGCGTATATATTATAAGGAAATTTTAAAAAAATTTAGAAAATTTAGAAGTTTCGATTGTTTCAAATAATTGATGAAATTGAGAATCATTATGAACAGTTTTTAATTTCTGTGTTTTTATTTATTTATTTATTTTTGCAAATTTAATCAAGTTTTGTTTTAAAAAAAGTGAAATAACTGGAAAGTTTTCATAGACTCAGTTCTTATAATTAAGTTTAACCGTGAAAAGGTCATTGGAGTGAGGAAGGAAAATAATGAACTTAGTCTTTTTCTGTTTAACTGTGAACTTGGTCTTTTTTTATATAACTTCTCATGTTACTGCTTAATTGTACTTAGTCATTTCTGTTCACCATATCGTACAGAATTTCACTAGAATCAAGCTGTGCCGGGGTTGAATTTTATTGTGAATCTGATGTGAATAGAAGATTTGCGTGGATTACTTGAAAAAATACTTTTACAAATTTAAACACTATTTTTAAGGAATAAACTCAAAATGGATACGTAAATCAGCTGTAGTTTGGTAAGTAAATTTAGAAACTAAAAATATTTGCTTTTTTTTTTACATATTTTAGAAACATCTAAATTACTTACATCTGCTGTATATACATATGTCAGGAAAACTCAAGATGAAAATTACAAAATTTATTTACCTTCGATTATTTCATTTTTTAAGAGGATTTTGTTAATAATCAGAAACTTATTAAATTTTAATTGCCGTGAGGATATTTTATTGAATGCTACAGTTGAAAAATTTATTATGTTTTAGCTAAAAAAATTATGATTTTACCAAGATTTTTTTTCATATTTATTGTCTTTTTTTATCGTATTGTTATATAGCTGTTATTTGAGTAAAATATTGCTGCATAACTAACATTTTGTTAATATAACTAGAGAAGAATTTTTTTTTGTGTTTAAGAGAAATTTTGTCAAAATATCCCTTTTTCGAGGAAAATTGACGTTTTTGTCAACGAAAAAAAAATTATAAAATTCTTTGGGGTTTTTATTTTTACTAAAATTAGATTACCCTACGGTTGTTGAACTGTTGACTTGTCTGATAAGATGACATTCAGCAGTGTTTAGCGAAATTTTCTTTTCTCGTTGCTTTGAACCATGAACCCTTTGCTTTGAACCATGAAGAAAACTTAGAATCAATGGGGAATAATAAAGAAAAATCAAACTCTTTACAGCAACTTAATAACAGATATAAATGTAATACAAATTTCCCTGATCAGAAAAGTTTTTGACAACATTTTCTAAAAACATTTCTGGGGGTTAAGAAGTATTAAGATCTGGATAATTATTGCCTGGGGTATTATTCTTATGATAGAATGGAAACTTTAGTCAAACTTCAGTGCACTATTTTGGATGGTCATGTTTTCCTTAACTGTGACAATTTAATGGAATCTACTCGTGTAACTTTCAAGAAAAAATCAATAACCGCCATCTTGCGAAGTCAACCATAAATTGGTATGCGGCCCGAGCGCACGCTTCCCAGTGAGATGACTCAGATTTAAATCCCTGAGTCGACTGGTCATACGAAAGCTGCTTTACGCTCGCATCGACCACAAATTTATTCTATAGAGTATTTTGTTAAAATAACAGTACTTATCTGCTTAAAAGATAGACGTCTATTTTTACATAACAGTATTTTTCAGCGAAGTGGTTTTATACTAGCACATTGGCTGACAGTTTCTATCCGTAAATTCAAGTGTTTATTTTTTTCCTTCCTGTATTGGCTGGAGTGAAGAATATTTTTTTTATTCATTTTGTAGTTCGTCCATCCCTATAAAAGGCAGTTTCAGCTTCAAACCCTGGGATATATTTTTAACAAATCCTTTGATGACAATTTATGGCATTTCCCCCCCCCTGGATGGAAAAAGACTATTAGTTTTGTTTACTGAATTTGAAAGTTTTTATGCTTTAGTGATTCAACTTATCCCTGAGATCCTCCATATGGTTCAGGTTTGGGTTCCAGGCAGGCTAGTTCATTTGATTAACCCCATTGTAACCATACCGATTCTTGATGAACTTCGCTTCATGCTAGCTACCATTGTCTTCTTGAAAATAAAATAAGTGTTACCCCTGAAACTGCCACAATTTAGGAAACCACTAAGTGTTGGCACTATCTTCCACTAAGATTTTGGCATTGGACTCACTATAAATCTGGATCAGGGATTGCAGTTCATAATATGAGAAACACCCAAACCATAATTCTACCTCCACCAATATGTATGGGTTGTCCAAAAATTATTGGTAAATAATGTAAGTAAAACAGTTATTGTAAAAAGTTACCTATTTTGTTTAAAAAAATTTAATCTTTGAAACGATAAATAGATAGCAAAATTTTCTCACATT